TGACACATATGTGGGAGATGAAAATGTTGATGATTTGATTACTGAAAGTGATGATGAGCAGGATAACCTTTTTGATTTGTTAGATGAACATCTAAATTTCATTAATGATCAAGAAACATCAGAAGGTGACTTCGGTGGTAAAGGGTATGAAGAATTTCTACGGTTAGTAGAGAAGGCTCATTCGGAGTTATATCCTAATTGTACAAAGTATTCAAAGTTATCATTTGTGGTAAAGCTACTTCACATAAAAGTGTATAATAGATGGAGCAACAAGTCATTCGACATGTTACTTAAGCTTCTAAAGGATGTCTTACCGGAAGGTAACTCCATACCGAATTCCTATTATGAAGCAAAGACTACGTTGCACAGCCTTGGATTGGGATATATCCCTATTCATGCATGCAAATATGATTGTGTCTTATATTGGAAGGAGAATGAGATTCTTGAAGCTTGCCCAATATGCCAGACATCTAGGTGGAAAGTTGATGATGGAAAAGGGCAGAAAATTCCTTGGAAAATTCTACGATATTTCCCTCTAAGACCTAGACTTCGTAGGTTATTTATGTCATGCAAAACTGCTGGTGAATTGAGGTGGCACAAGGAAAAGCGTAATGATGATGGTGAGTGGTTGAGACACCCGGCAGATTCAAAGGAATGGAAGGATTTTGACACAGAATATCCATGGTTTGCTGCTGATTGTCGTAATGTACGACTTGGTTTAGCAAGCGATGGGTTTAATCCATTTGGTAATATGAGTAATTCATATAGCATGTGGCCTGTCATTCTTGCACCATACAACTTGCCACCATGGATGTGCATGAAGGAGCCATTTTTATTTTTGACATTATTGATTCCCGGTCCTACGGCTCCTGGAAAGGATATTGATGTCTACATGCAACCATTGATTGATGAGTTGAAGGAGTTATGGTCAGATGGGATAGAAACATATGACACTCATTCGAAGAGTTCTTTTAAACTTCATGCGGCAATGCTTTGGACAATCAATGATTTTCCAGCATATGGCAATTTGTCTGGATGGAGCACAAAGGGCTATCTTGCTTGTCCTGTTTGCAACAAGGATAAACCTTCCCAGAAGTTAATAAGCAAAATTGGATATTTGAGTCATCGTCGCTTTCTGCCTATTCGACATAGGTGGAGGAAAGATAAGAAGTTCAATGGGAAACATGAAATTCGCCTTCCTCCTCCATGTTTACTAGGTGATGATGTGGTGGAACAATTGAGACATGTGACGGAGAGGCTTCCTGGGAAACATCCTGACTTTATTAACAAGAGAAAGCGCCCTGCCGAGGACTTAAATTGGGTTAAGAAGAGTATTTTTTTCACTCTTCCTTATTGGATGAAATTGAATTTGCGTCATAATTTGGACGTAATGCATATTGAAAAGAATATTTGTGATAATGTAGTCGAAACTTTATTAGATATTCCTGGTAGAACCAAGGATACTATTAAGGCTAGAGAAGATTTGAAAAACATGGGCATCAGGGAGGAATTACACGTTGTTAGAAGAAGTGATGGCAAGTATGACATGCCTCATGCATGTTATATTTTCACAAAAGAGGAGAGGACAAATTTTTGTCAATATTTGAAGGAAGTCAAGCTCCCAGATTCTTATGCTTCAAATATTTCAAGATGTGCCAATCCCAAAGAGGGCAAGATTATGGGGTTGAAAAGCCATGACTGTCATATTTTGCTCCAACGATTGTTACCTATTGGTGTTCGAGGAATGAAGGATCAACGCGTTAAAGTTGTTTTGGCTGAACTAGGGGATTTCTTTCATCGGCTATGCTCGAAAGCAATTAATGTGGCAGCATTGAATAAGTTACATTCTGATATTGTCACCATCCTCTGCAAGCTAGAAATGATCTATCCCCCGGCTTTTTTTGATGTCATGGTTCATCTAGCTGTTCACTTACCTCACGAAGTAGAACTTGGCGGTCCCGTACAATATCGATGGATGTATCCAATTGAAAGGTGTGTGACTACCCGAGCCTCGAAATGATTCAACACACTTAAATGTTTTTCTCTAGTCAACTATAAACTAATGTTTTGATTAATTTCTTTTTAGATATTTGAGCACTTTGAAAGGGTTTGTGCGAAATAAATCTCATCCGGAAGGGTCTATTGCTGAAGCTTATCTCGTGGATGAATGTTTGACATTCTGTTCCATGTATCTAAATGGAATTGAAACTCAATTTAATGCCAATGAGAGGAACTTTGATGTAGAAGTAGATGGCAGTTTGTCTGTGTTCTCAAGTAAAGTGAGGCCTCTTGGTATTGGGCACTATGTTCCGTCAACATTGGAAGAATTGAACATGGTTCATTGGTACATCCTTAGCAATTGTGAGGAGGTTCAACCGTACATTGAGTAAGTATTTTGTAATCATTATAATCTAATTATGATTTAGAAGTGATTAGCTTTCTTATAGTTGATGTGATCTTAACTAGGGAGCATTTGAGTTCAATTGATGGGCATGATCATGTGAGTAAACAAGAGATACACAAACGTGAATTTTCTAAGTGGTTCAAAGAACGGGTAAGTTAATGCAAGATAGCTTTTCAATAATAGTCCCCTCATATTTAGATATACATAATTAACCAAATTTTCACTTCATCATTTGTAGATGTCAAGTGCATCACCTCCCTCTCAAACTGAAAACATACTGGCCTTGCACTCATTATCTCAAGGACCTCTACCTTCTGTTAACAAATACACTGGTTGCATTGTTAATGGTGTTCGATTTCATACTAAAGATCGAGAAATTCGTCGTAAAAGTCAAAACAGTGGAGTTTTGGTGGAGGGTTATCATCTTGATGAAGTCATTAATTTCTATGGAGTGCTGGTGGATATTATTCGAGTAGATTATGTAAGAGATAAACATGTATATCTCTTCAAGTGTGATTGGTTTGATGTGGAGAAACGCAAATCGAGAATTGTGCAAGATGGTGCAATCACTAGTATTAGAGTTGATCGTTGCTGGTACTCTAGTGACCCTTTTGTGCTTGCTAGTCAAGTAAGACAAGTGTTTTACACGAATGATCCAAAATTGGGATCGAATTGGCGTGTTGTTGTTCACTTTAATCATCGTCATATATTTAGTGGGGAACTTGAGAACGCGAACATTAGTGACGATGAGCTGGGAGATGAAGATGCATATCAAGATGAAGAGTTAGTCGATGTGACATCTAATGTGGTCGATGAAGATATTTATATGTCATTGCATCGAGATGATGTTATACCTCAAGTGGTTGATAACGTATTTGTACATGGAAATAGAAGAGCACTATCTCCACAAGGCAATGCTCCATATAAAGGATCTGGTCATGGAAGTTACAGTGAGGGTAGTGTAGGTTCAAATTCATCAAGCTCTAACAATGAGGAGGGGAATCATTACATTCAAGCAGTTCAGAGGACAATGATGATGAGCATCTTTCACATTCTGAAGATGCTAGTGATATGTAGCCTATGTAGAACTTGTTGTCTAATTTTCAGAGCATCCTTGTATTGTTGATGAAATATTTGTTTATGCTTTGTGGTGGTTAATGTTTTATTTCCATAATAGTAATTTCTTTTGTTGTCCTAATGAAACCTCTTCTTTTAGTACTACGATGATTTATGATATAATTATTTTATCATTACCCACATGGTTTTCTATCTTGTCTAATGTTTATCTTTTTTTTTTCCAGGGAATGACAGCAGGACAGAGTCATTTCCAAATGAAAAGAACTACTGCCAGTGTATCGAAACCATCTTCTTCATCAATGCCAAAACGAAACTCTGTCTTGCAATCTCCCATGGTATCACAAGTTGGTGTCACCAAATCTGGGACGGTTCCTGCCAGTCTATCGAAATTGTCTTCTTCATCAATGCCAAAACGAAACTCTGTCTTGCAATCTCCCATGGTACCACAAGTTGGTGTCACCAAACCTGGGATGCTTCCTTTTGGGACTTCACAACAAGGTGTGTATAACCTTTTTTCTTTCAATAGCTACTGGTCGTTCTTTTCTGCCTTAAATATTGTCTGTTTTTCTCTTTGGTTCAATCTTTGTGGCTGTGAGTGTTCTCTTAGTTGTTGTCAGTCCCTCTCTTTTGTGAAAATGATTCACTATTAGTGAAACTTAAATGATCTAACTTCCATTATTTGGTTGGACTAGTCCCTGTCATGTTTCACTTTTGGCCAATTTTGAGAGGGAGTTAACTCAATCTTCAATTTAATTAGTTTTCCCAGTGAAAGTAAAGTTGATCCAATATTACTATACATATTATTGAGAGAGAGAGAGAGAGAGAGAGAATCAGTGGACTAAGAGGTTGGTAACCGTGTTTGTTTCTTTCCATTCTTCTTTGTTCTCTTACAGGAAAACAAAAGACACCTATTCTTTCGAACTTCAAAGGTGGGTTGTCATCTAGAAGAAAAACCCTACTAAGTGCTGGCAATGATATGCATGAAACCACACCTGCAAGTACTGAACCTCTACAGTCGAGTGAGGGTAATAGAAGAGTCTTAGTAGTTAAAGTTTTATTCAATTGTGAGAAGTTTACTAATCTTAAGCTGTTTGCAGCAAACACGATTCCTAATGTGAGTGAGAGCAACTTGAATGGAAGCATGACTGCTCCGTCGAGTGATGGTCAATCAAATGTACCCAGAAATGAGTCACCCAGTGCTTCTGAGGCAGCCATGGAAGAAGATTCCTCGCAAGAGATGGATGCAAGTATGTCATTTTTGTTCTTAGTTTATTTGGAACATATTTTTGTAAGTCATCACTCTAATCTAACACTTTGTTTGAGATGTTATTGGAAAGATGCGACTACCAAGAGGAAAAGGCAAACTAGGGGGCCCACTCGTGGGGTTGGGTTACACAAGAGAAATCATAGGGCCGGAAAAAAGTTAAAGGTAACCATTGATCCAAACTACGGGCGAGCACTGAAGCTAGTTGAGGATACAGCTGTTGGTACAGAATTAGGGATCATAGCCTCCCAATATGTCTGGCCTATCAACAAGAGTCGTCTAAAGACTCGAATTCTTCGAGAAGTATTGTTGAAGTTGGAGGTAAGTGGTTTAAGAGCATGAATTGGTGCATTTTCTGGTCCAGTTGTTTTTTGCCTTATTGTTTTCATTTAGATGGCGGTAACTGAACTAGGGCAGTCCTTAAGCATTAAATTTCAAATATTTGTTGGCAGACTAACCTTGTATCTTGGTGTAGGTGAAACTAAATATTGTGGACGTCAATGAACCGATTATCAAGAAATTTCTTTGGAAGCGTTTCGGCAAGATTGTGAAAGATAAAAGATGCAATTTCAAACAGGATCATGATGAGTATGCTAATGAAGAAGAAGCAAGGAGACACAAGCCACCTAATTTAGAGCAAGAGACATGGAATAACTTGTGTGAATATTGGGCAAACCCAAAAGTTAAGGTATTTTTAAAGTTCAAATAATATTCAGTATTGGTTATCTGTTCTTTCATGGTTGGACTATTTCCAGCTCCTACAAATAACCATAATTACAACGTAGGCACTTTGTGTGAAGAATAAGAACAATCGAGCTAAAGTGAAGAATTTGCATTGTAAAGGAAGAAATGGTTTTGCTCCATTGTATCATCATAAGGTAAACCTATATTTGTTATATTGTTGTATGTATATATGTTATGAGCAAATAAAGCAGTATGTCTTATGGTGTTGTAACTATACATACGTAGGTGATGGAGGAAGATAGTGGCATCAACAACAAAATGGATTTCTTCCGTTGGTCAAGAACCAAGAAGACTGGGGAATGGGTTAATCCACACACCAAAGAAACACATGTAAGTAAATTTATAAACTGGTAAGGGAAAATACCAAATTCTTAATCAGACATTCATTGTTATCTTTTTTGGTTTATAGGAAAAGATGGTAGAGAAAGTGGTTACAAGCAAGGACACCGATCACCCTATGACTGAAGATGATGCCTTTCATGAGACTTTAGGGGATGATCCTGGTTATTATAAAGGAGTTGGTTATGGCCCACCACGACCATCTACAAAAGGAAAAGAGGCTGTAGAGGTTGAAGTTATGGAACTGAGAGAGAAACTTGATCAAAACCAAGCAGTTACAGCTCAGATAATGGAAGAGAACAAGGAGCTAAAAGATCAACTTGATCAAAACCAAACAGTGACTGCTCAGTTGCTTGAAGAGAACAAGGAGCTGAAAGATCAACTTGAGGAAAACCGAATTGTGACAAATCAGTTAGTTGAAGAGAACAAGGAGCTGAAAAATCAACTACAAGAAAACCGAGAAGCAACTGCCAAGACCCAAACAGATTTGGCGAGCATTATGCAAGTGCTTCAAGCCCAAGGCATGATGCCATCAGTTACTCGTAAGTGACCTCAATTCCATTATACTGTAAACAACTTGGTTATTGACATGTTAGAGTAAGAACATGAAAAAAGTGACTATCAACTAAGATACAAGTCTGTTGTTTGGATTTACGGGAATGGATGCAAAAAGAATATACTTTGGAGTTGTTTGGTGTTGTTGCTTAGTACTATTTTGATGGGTGTCTTGCTAAGGGCTTTAGTTGAATGACATCTGATGGTTTGGATTTGTTTGGTGTTGTTGCTTACTACTATCTAGATGGGTTTTCATTATTGACTGTGAAGTTTCTTGGGGCTTGTTCTGGTTGTTGTGTACAATATAAAAACTTGGATTATTTATTGTGTGTTTCTCTACTGATGTTGCAGCATGTGCTACAACAACTGTTGTTTGGTTATTCAGTTTTATTCTCTTTCTCTTCATCCTTCCTTCTTTTCTCTTTCTTTGTTCAGAATTATAGCTCCCACCCACTGTCAAATTGTTTATATGTTTACGTTTTATGTAAGCTTTAAATGATACCAAATGTTATGTTTTTTTCAATGTGCAAGCTTACTTATTGAGGTAATGTTTTCTACATGTCAAATTTCAGGCAATTGACTGATTATGGAGGGAAGTTGGGAAGAATTTTGGGGAGCACTACAAGCTTGGTGGACAATATTTTGGGAAGTTCTATAAGCTTGGTGGAGTAAATTTTGTAAAGTGCTACAAGTGTGGCTCAGTAGACAATATTTTAGAGAAATAGATAATTGAGAACATGACTTCTATCATCTCATCATGAAGAAAACAATGTTAGGCATTAGTAGTAGATTGTCTCACTAGGGCACTAATGTATTGAATATGTGGAAACTTTCCGAAATTAATGCAGGCATGTGTTATATATATGATTGTGTTATGTAGATAGTAATTTAATACATCCATTTTTTTAGGATTATACATCCAGATTTTGAGCAAACTAAATTGTTCAGATTTTACAGTTCATTTTGCGACCATTTTAAGTGGTCGCAGAAAAATGCTTTTCTGTGGCGGCCATAACACGGTGTCGTCAAAGACTCTACACAGCGACTACTACGAGCTGGTCGCCGAAAAGTAATGTTCAACGACCACAATTTAAGTCGGCAAAGAGATATTATATGTCGAAAAAGAAATATTGACGACCATTGATATCGTCGTCGAAAAGAAATATTGAGCGACGAACAGAATGTGGTCGTAGAAATTTCAAAGTTTGCGACCATAAAAATGGTCGCAAGAAATATCAAGTTTGCGACCATAAAAGACGTGGTCGGCCCAAAGCTCATTTCACGACCATTAAAATTGGTCGCCTTAAAACAAGTTTTTGGCGTCCATTTGTTCAAGTGGTCGTTCTTACATTAGCCGACGCGGTATAGACGACCACTCCGGCGACTCAAAATTCTGGTCGTGAAATCGTTAGCCGACCATTATTCCAGTTTTGGCGACTCTTTTGTGTGGTCGCAAAATAGCATTTTTCTTGTAGTGAATTCATGTGCTTCTTGTTCATAATATCATAAGCAACAATTGATACCGTTTTGACATGAATCACATGCTCAGAATGACAATTATGAGGCGGGTGCACTGAGTGCACCCAAAAAAGTGAGTACACCGAAGACGCCACCATATATATATATAGGATTTAAACATAGGATTTATATCAAAATTATGTCAATCATCACTTATGATGTATGAACAATAACTCACATGAATTTGCACAAAAAACATTGAAGATTTACTTTAATTTGAAGGATTTAAAGTTTAGAGATTTAGGGCTAGTGTTAGGGTTTACAATTTGGGGTTTAGGGATAAAACTCAAAATTGGAGGTCTAGGACTTAGGGTAATCCGCTAATTTGTTGTTATCATATGTTATATCATCATATTACACTAATTCTGCAAATTAAAATTGAAAATCCGACACCCTAAGACTAGTTTTTGAGTTGGGTGCATTGAACGCAATCATTTTTGTGAGTGCACCGAAGTAGTCACCATATATATATATATATATATATATAATTTTTTTTTCTTTTCAAGTTATTTATTTTTGTTGAGTTTGTGTTAGTAAAAAATATACAATCTATAATTGAACTTTTTTTTTTTTAATAACTTGAATCACAGGGAACAAACGACTAACCAAGATAGACGACAATAAAGCATATAATTAGAGGTGGCAAAAGGATTGATTCATGGATTGGTTGATTGGATTGGTGGATCCATGGATCCAATGGATTGGTGGATTCATGGATTGGATCAAGTGAATTGGTGGATTATCCGTGAATCCAAACGACATCCTCAACCATTAATCAAGGACCAATATGTAAAATGTGAAAAGTTTAGATACTAAAATATCATAATGAAAAATTTGCCATTTGGATTCATGGATCAATCGATGAAATATGAATCCACCAATCCAATTGGATTGGATCAAATGGATTGAATTAGGTGAGTATTTTTAATGGATTGGAGATTAAGTGGGTAATTTGAGAGATGACCACAGATGCCCTAAATCATTTGAACAAATTGACTGGTCTTGCACACTAGGCATCACATAGAATCCCACTCTCACCATAAAACCTTATCCTCTCAACAAGACAAACTTCCAACCTCTCAACTCTCAAGTCTCAACTCAAAAAGGATTCGATATTTGTCCTCCAAACCAAACAATAAAAACCCAAGAAAAAGGAAAATTCTCAGAACAAGAATGGCAACTCCATTCCTCTCAACTGCAAACGCCTTCCTCTCCCCATCTCTCCCTTCCTCAACATCACAATCACCATTACCTCATTCCTCATCTTCTTCACTAGAAGTTCTACAGCCCTCGAGGACAGCCAAGAAGCTCCCCAATTTATGCAGAGCTTCCAATGAATCCTCATCAGCAGAATCCCCTGATGTAGTGACCAAAAGGAGAAGCTTAGCGATTTTCCTAATCACTGGCCTTGCTTTCTCATCACTTCCCAATGCAGCAGACATGAATACTTCTTCTGCTAATGCTGCTATACTGGAAGCTGATGAAGATGATGAACTCATGGAGAAAGTGAAGCTGGACAGGAAGAGGAGGATTGAGAGGCAAGGAGTTCTCAACTCTGCCAAGAAAGAAACAGGTACCCTTTCTTTTTTCTAAGTTAATTGACCCTTACCCATATGTGGAGTGAAGTAAAGTTTTGATCTTTGATGGTTGTGTTAGTAATTTGTTGCTTCCCGATTGAGTGAACTGGATGTTGAATTTTGTGACAAAGGGGGTTTGAACGTTGGCAGGGTATTTGCAAGATGTGGTTTACAATCTGAGTAAAGTGGGGCAAGCTATAGAGAACAGTGACCTACCTGCAGCTGGTTCAGTTCTTGGCAAAGGGACCAATGCTGATTGGGTTCAAAAGGCCAATGTAGCCTTTGCCAAGGTATGTAGATAATGATCAATGAGAAACCCACTTCACAGTTTTGAATGCTTCCCCATTTTTACCAAAAGCATCTTCACTCACTAATTGATTCTCCTTCGATGCTAATGCAGTTGAGCTCGGGCCCTGAAGAGAAAACCGAAGTGGACACCTTCAACTCCTCCCTAGCTTCATTGATTTCTTCAGGTGGGTTGTGTTTGCTGATCATGAAAGTAGAAGTTAATCAAATCAATATGAATCCTTTCAAATTAAACAATCCTTTGTTGTGATTCTTCTGCAGTTGTTGGCAACGACATCGAATCCTCGAAAGTCGCCTTCTATGCATCAGCCTCAGCTTTCGAGAAATGGACCACCTTGACTGGCATAATTACACAGCTCAAAGGGCTCTGAATATGGCAAAACACACAAATTGGCATCTTCATTTTCTAATTGTCCATCCATTCAAAAGGGCAATCCTTTCCAATTGCGACTTGCGAGCATTGACTGTATGTGAAGAGCAACCGAGTCTTCCTGTATCTGCATTTTATACTTCTCCGATTTTGAGAAAGTTGTAACCTCCGGCTAGAACTTGTTTGAGTTTACAAAGTTCGGCTCTACTTCTTCAGTAGGTAGTAATGTTAAGAGTTTCTCACCTGAAATGGTGAAAAGTTAAATTCCCACAGAACGCCTTGCGTAGATTGTGAAGGTAAATTACTCTGAATCAAATCACAAGCAATGGATGGATGACCAGCATTAAATCTCTAGTACAGAGCTTATTCCCACAACAGCAGTACATAGCAGTAAACCGACAGCGTACAACTGTTACAATTCTTACTTACTACAGGCTAACAAGTTGTGTGTCTTTCTTCCTACTTAAGTCTCTCCCTGAGGAGATTGCTACAATGCACACCTAATCTGCAGTTATATCACACCACTGTCTGAATGAACAATCAGAGAGCTGATGATGCTAACTCCTTACAACATTACGACTACTACAGTCATCCAAAATACTCACAAATGCCTAAAATGGTCAGGGGGGAATAAAGGGGTGGTGTAATACATTAACAAAAGAACAACCACCAAATGAAAGCCGTCAACAAGGAATTTCATCATCAGGTAGCGGTAGCAGTAGCAGTAGCTGTAGCAGCATGACTGCCGTTCTCAACTGATGCTCCTTCGACTTTCTCAGTTGGCTGGCTGGTGGTTGTCTCATCCAGTTTCTCAGCAGTCCCATTTGCTGCCGTCGCCTCTTTGTCCTTGGTGGACTCTCCTTCAGGTGCCGGTTCCCCTTTGTTGGTTTCTTCTTGTTTCTCCACCCCTTCAACTTCAGTCTTCTTCTCCTCTGCAATAGTTGCTGCTGCCTCAACCTGTGGTTGCTCTTCCTTTTCCTGAGTCGTCTCAGCCTCAGCATCAGTCTTCTTTTCACTTTCATTCTCAGCCACTGCATCAGAGATCCCCTTCTGCTGATCTTCAGCTACATCAGCTTCCTTCTGGGGTGGAGCTCCATCAGCTGCATCCATTTTTGCATCGGGATCTTGTGCTTTTTCTTCACCCTCTTCCAGATTTTCCTTAACAGCATTTTCTTTGTTTTCTGCCTCGGTATCGTCCTTCCCAGTTCCTTCGGCTTCCTCCATATTGGTGTCTTTGGCCTCCTCAGTTGCTTCATTGCCAGTTCCTGCGTCTTTAGTTTCCTTTTTGGCACCTGATGATGACCTCTTGCCACGCTTCTTTGGGGGCTCCTTTTGAGGAGATGGGGTTGCCTTTACCTTCTCACTGATCCTTGCTGACCGCCTTGGGGTCTCACCAGTGCCCCAATCAAAGTCAGATGCAGCTGGCCCACCAGGATGTGCCTTGAGATACTGTTCCAACTGTCTTCTACCAGTGATTTCCTCCCCAGTTGGGGCAATGAATGAGATTTCACTCTTCTTCTTGGGGAAGAACTGAAAAGTCAAAAAAAATTAAAAAAAAAATATATACGTGGAAGTGTTATGGGCAGCACAAACTCCATTCATGATCATGTATTCATGTTACTGCATTATAAATCACAACCGTCATAGATGTGCCAGGATGAGGTAACGATTTAAACTGGTGAATGAAATTCAACTTTGAATAAACTCAGAAATTGAATTTATATGACGGAAAACCATAGAAAAAGGTAGAATAGAGTCAATAGTCTTTGCACAGCTACAAGTTAAACATCCTTACAATAAAGGTGCGAAAAGAATGATATGAGGGTAGGCTACCAAATTTATAACATATATGGAACTCCTAACAAAGAAATAGATGTGAAACATGTTTAAAAATCTGTAAATGTATGCAGAAGGTTTATAAAGTTTTCTTGATATAAAAGTTCAGGTTAATCATTCAAGGTTATACCAAGACAGACCCGTCAGCAATCAAACAGTCAAAAAAAGAGAGAGAAGAAATCCAGATTGAAATATTGAAAAGATCAATGTTTACCCCAAGCAAAACCAAAACAAATATTAATTTCTGTCATTTGACAGAGAAAGTCCTGAACAACTAGCACTGTTGATTTGAGTACCTCCAACCATCAGACCATCCCTAGAATGAAGTCATCTTTGTATTCCAACCTTTTTCTTCCTCTTGTTCCTACTACTATTTCATAAGCTCTACGCAAACAAACAATGAAGCTCTTATCATATATGTCACCCACATCCCCAGTATAATTGCTATAACGTACCCTAAGCAGCGAGTTCAGCCTCTTTTCTCCTTAGCTAATTGTTCTGCAGAGCACTGGGCAGTTCAAACCTTATTGAAGCTAAAACTTTTCGTCTTAAACCACCAATTCACTCAAAGTGCCAAACCATACCCTAAAGCCACAGCAGCCAACTAACTAACCCTAAATTTTCAAGGCTTCTCCAATTCTGTTTTTGTTGATCCATCCAATTATCCTGGTCATCCCCTAGTGAGATAGAATATTGAGCATCTTCAACTAGTTATGCATTGGCAAATTACTCTTGTGAAAGGAAGAGAGCAAAAAGAGAGAACTTTTACTATAACTAGTACCCTGCAAATAGCTAAATGGATACGGGAGTGTACCAGAACAAATTCAGGCACAAAACGTCAAAAGCCAAAGGCTTCTCCTAGCCACTGAACTAAAAAGCACTAACATGTATAGTTCGTTTAACCTCCAAAGCTCTCACATTGCCATAACTATCTCCCAGTTGCAACAAGCATCCCTGTGGCAAATAAACCCCTCAACGGAAACCATCAAATTTCAAGCCAAAAAAAGGGGTCTTTCATTCATGCCAAGACCTAGAACAAGTGAACAACCCTAATTCGCCCCAAAAAAAAACCCTAATTGTCAAAACAGGGGAGAAAGGGAGGAAACCAAGTACAGTAGGAAGAAGCGGCATAGTTATTCTCACAGAACCACTCCCAACAACCCCCCACATCCAACCGAATGAAACCCTAATTTTCTAATTGCCCACACAGTGAGCCAGCTGAATTGAAATTTAGATACAAAACCCAGAGAAGCAAATTCATAGTAACAGAGAGGGATAATTGAAGAAGCAAAAAGAGGTTAAAGAGAGAGAACCATCTTCTTCCAGCCGGACGGAGCAGGGAGCTCGACCGAGAAACCCTCGTCCTGGACAAGAGTATTGGTCTCTTCCTTCTTCTCCGCCGAGTTCGCCATGTCGGTTCTCTTGCAAAACCCTTTTTCACCTAACTTCCACCCACAAAGCACCAAAGCGAGAAATTAATAAGAACCCTTTCGAACCTGCACCACCAAGAGAAGTGGTAGCTAGAGATGGGGATAGAGAGAGAAAGAAGATATAGAGAGAGAGAGAGTTCAATTTTACCCACCAGAAAACTGCACGCAAAAGAAACCCACACAAACAGAGAGAGAGAGACCCTCAAAAGGATATTTCGAGAACAACACTAGCGCACAAGCAGATGCCACACAAGCTCAGCTGAGTGAGCCAAACCCGGGAAAACAATAACAAATAAAGATTTAATCTTTTTGATAAAATAAGAACAATATATGAAGTAAGCTTTAGCAGAGCAGAAGAAGGACTGAAAGGAGGGAGTTATTCTGTCTCTTTCTGGGCTTTATCCGTTTGATTTTCCCATTTTTGTCTTCTCCTTTTCCTATTTTTTTCCCGACGAGAAAAAAAACAGAAATAAATTGAATGGTGAAGGCGAGATGTCGGGAGGAGGACACTTGTCGCCATCTCCACTGCCGACCCAACGGTCGGGATTTGTGCTTTCTTATTTCGTCGGTGACCGTTCGCTGCCGCAGCGTAGCTTTTTTGAAAACTTGAACTAAATTAAATAATAAATAAAAATAATCCTATTGGATCGAAAAGCTTATGTTAGCCAATCAGCTGCCGATAAATTTCCAAGTAATTATAATTTTTTTCTTTCAAGTGTATGGGTCATTAGGTTTGGGCCATTTGGAATGCAACATGGGCTTACGGATTCGTTTTGGTCCGTATACAGCTGCCGGTGGGCTGGGCTTTATCTCCATTTCTCACCGAAATCCATCAATCATTTCAATTCCAAAGCCGCCAAAGGGAATACGATAGAGCAAACCGTTGCTCTTGTCTTGTGTGGTCCAGAGTGGCCCGTTGCCAAGAAGAGGCCCAAGTACACTAGTTACGTTGCGTGGTAGTGGGCTTTTGATTAACGTAAAAGGCATATGGCCCGTATGCACATGGAGTGGAGCTTGAGAAGGGGCAATGTCAAACATGGTGTAATGTTGAAGAAAGAGGGGTAGTGTTGAAGGTGTGTAGATAATTAAGAGGAGAGATGAAAGAATAAAAGAAGCTCTTGTTCTGGAAGAACAAGAAAAAAAAGTGTTTGTGTTGGCCAAATGAAGCAGGTTCGAGCTTAGATCGTTAACATAACACGATGTTAATTGGATCTGCAGGGCAAATGACATCCACCTCTCGCACCTAGCATTGTACAACAAAGACGGATCACAAGTGGTAGTCAATTCTTGGAGGCTGAAGAGAAGACAATCTACAATACTTATGTGCTTAGCAAGAAATATATATACATAGTCATGAAGATTACTAGGGTTGGTAACTTGGTATAACTAGAAATCTCGAGTCATGTTTAAGTCTGCGAGCAAAAGGTTATAAGGCCAATGCATGCTTCTACTACAAACTCTTAGCCTTTTAGCCACCTAAGATTATCGAATGAAATTTCGATTTTTTTTTTTTTTTTGCTTAAAAGGTAAGTCACTCTGGTCGCTCTTATTTTCCCTCAACTTGATTTAAACGTTCGAGAGTCGCTTTACAAACCCTCGACATTCCACATGTTATGTATCCATGTATGTGGACAATATGTAGCTAGGGAAAGTTAGGCAATGGGGATGGAGAGAAGAGAAGATACATGGATAGTTTCGAAATTTAGATGCCAAGTCCAACATCAAGAGCTTTTTGTAGGTGAGACAAACAAATTGACCATGCCACATCTCTAGGTCTTATAACTTGAATATATAGCTAAGCTAACACAAATATATGAATATGCACGCATCCTCTTCTTGACCCATCACCGTCGATCATTGCACATTTGAGCCGCATGCAAGTACTCTCTGATTATCATCACTCACCCAATTAGCTATACCATCTACAATCAATGAAGTTTACATAACGTATAACCTATCCACTTCTCCATCTACATGCCTAATTGGTAGGCAGGGTTGCCAGTTCGGTTTTGGGTTTCCGATTTAAACTAAAGCTGAACCGATAAGGTGTTTTTATCGGTTAAAATCGAAATGATAAGAAACTGAAAATTTCAACCCCAATAAACAACCATTGCACAATATGTTTGATTTTCGGTTCCTTGAAACCATGTCGAACAATTAAACCACCTAATGGTTTGGTTCGATTTCAAGGGAGGGTCTTGCTTCGATTTCTTGGTTTCTTGAATTCCAGTTCGGTTTAACAGGAAAAAAACCGATATCCCAGTCCTATCAGTAGATTCGTTCGGTCAAGCTGCTAGATGGTTACTACGATTTAAGAGTTAGGATCAGCTATGGATTTAAGCTTTTGGGTATGTGACAAGACACACAATATGGTGTCCATGTCTAGCTAGTTGTATACTAAACTTAACTAGGTAAAGTGATCAAGAGGCAACTATATATATAGCGACGTCTATGACTTAGAATAGTTAGAAAGAAACTATATATCTCATTTGATCAGTTGGTAGGGAATAGTTGAACCCAAATGGGCTTAAGCTAGTCTCTTTTGATTCCATGTTAGGAATAACGACATTTCATCCCATATTTGTGTATCTTCTTCTTTGTGGATCGGCTCCTTTGCAAAAAGGTTCAAATGACATTTCATATCATCAATAAATTAACATTTCATGCATTTTATTGTTCATCGGATTGATTACATAAGCGATCACTCGTGTTTGGAGTTGCTAGTGTTTAAATCTCAACAAATTGGACACTACTTGCTCTACTAACTAACTGATCAGTCATTTCGTTAGTTTCTATCCATTTGTAGTCCGAAATAACAGCATCGTCATGAGATGTTGTTAGCAAAATTTTTATATAAAGAAATTTCATGTGGCCCGTAATAGTGTAATACAAAACCTAACCAAACCCTAAGCCACTTGACCGACACCCCACCCACCAACCCACACTAACCGATCTACAATGACCATGTTGTTAGTTTTCATATTTCCACGAACGATATGTATTTTTATTATTACATTCCTATAATTTAATCATGTATTAGTAATCGAATCAATATGACTTTATCACGATTTTGTCACCGATTTATAAAGATGCCTTAGACCAAGTGTCCTATCTTATGATCGAGCTCCATCGGTCCTTCAACTTTTACAATCCGTGAAAGTCACAAGATGTGTCATTCTCTTCCATTATTTCCTTCGATCCCTCTTACATATTTTAGTGTCTGCATGGGCTTGTCGTCTCGCCCTTTTACTTCCTTTCCTTTTTCAAGCATATGTCGTTTCTGGGAAAACAGTAACACAAATCTATCACCATTCATCCAACCCGGCCGACACGGACCAACAACCGTGGGAGTCAATGACCATACAACAAATTCGAAAAAAAACTTTTGCATGTTTCGATCAAAAGCCCTCATGGGGTAAATTTCATTTCTAGTCCTTGTCATTCTTTACACAAAATTGACTAGTTTCGTAAGTTCTCTGTTTGCATAACCGAGTCATATAAGACCGTTGAAATTAGTGGTTCGCGCGGTCCAATTCGATTCTAATAACAACGACGTCAGAATTTTCGTTCATGAATAGTCATCTATTTCACGAGTTCTTTTCGCGAACCTCGACATATGTTCTTAATTATCACAATAAGTCCAAACTAAGTATGTTGATAATTAAGCAATATGCGTAATGAACTTGTCTCCTAATTAGCAATTCGTGCAAGGTACACATTTTCCTGTCGATTCATATAAGACTGTGTTTGCACATGTAGATGCGCTTGTTTAGGGAGACAACATTTACAAGTTTCGCCATCATGGGATGGGGGCTCTGCTCGGAAAGTGTAATTTCACCAAGTGTGGGAGATTCATGGTATTTTGTTCTTTTATTATGAGTTGCTTGTTGAGGTTCATCATGAACCCATTTGACCAAATCGAATCACCGTTATGATACATCGTGAATCGGGATTGAGGATCTTATTGTGTCATTATCATCGTTTCGACGTTAAACGATCATAAAAAAAGAAATATTGATACCTTGATGAGAAGCAGGCAGTCAATTGATAAGATAAATAAAAGAAGGCAATGCCTTATGAAGGAGAATTTTAGGTTAATAGTATAAATTGCTCATCGATCTACTACATTTGTGTTCTACACTCCTCCTCGTCCATCAATGGCGAGCAAAGGTACGCAGTCTTCATATACACGTTGGTCCCCGTCGGCATTGAAACACGATAAACTTCCAGATAGATTATCACACCAGAACAAGAGGGTAAAGTTAGAAAACAGTTATGTCGAAGACGAGCTACGCGTTTTCGTATCGTAGTGAAAAGGCGGTGGTTAACAATAAATGGGCGTTTAGCAAAACAAGGAAATGGTGGTGGGGGATGGCCATGGCGATTAGAATTCATTGCAGAGCAGACAAGGAAAGGGACAGAAGCTTGAATGGGCAAATGCCAAGTACTCTACTGATGATGATCGCCAAGTTGGGTAAGTAATCGCCAAAGTTGAGATCCTAATAATGTTTCTCGACCGCTTTCTCCCCATCCTCTCCTTCGAGCCGTGGCAATTTGACACTAGTTTTGTAATGGACAAGCAAATTATGATGGTGTAGTTGCAATCTTCAAAGTTCAATGGGCTTTTGTGAAATGTCATGCAAAAGAATAATGATGGTAAGATATAATCTTACCAATTCAAATTACTGAGGAGCGTTTAGCCCAGAGGTAGTCGTTAGTAAATGATATAAGATTTATAATTAAAAAATCTTTCAAAACTCAATTTTTTTTACCGATTTGTTTTTGACATGTACTTCTACCTACATTTGAAATTTGAGTGAGTGTCAACATGCCTCGGCCCCTGATTCATCCCGTCCACAAACGAAAGTTCGTTGGACTTGAAGAACATTCTATATATTGGGACAACCGGGATTCAAACATATGACTTTTCGGCCAACGACCGGTAAGTCCAATTATTGGTGTAAAGGAATCATATAACTGTTTGGTTTGCTATTTTTTCTTAATGTCGTTTGTGACATAATATTAATTTCGTTCAACTGGTTTGCGACATGATTTTCTTGTTTTGTTATAGTTTTTTACTCTTTAATGACCCAGTAAGAGATCTACCAAAAACTCTCCATGAAATTACCCGTTCTTCTATTGTGTTTGCCTAGTTAGGATTGTAACATTACTCGATTTTGTTCTTCAATTTCGTGTTTGATCAGATCAAATTAAAGATTGTTCAGTCATCGTGATTCTTTTGGTTAATGTAGGTATCCATGGAAACTTTTTGGTTTTGTTCTAGTTGTGTTGTTCCACTAGACAAGAAAGTCATCAACCAAACGAGTGATGGAATTCACTTTTTTTTTTGCCCTTTGCCCTAGTATTTGCTTAAAAGTATCTGTCTTTTTTCATCGATTTCATTGTTTAGTTGATCAGATTATCTCGCTACTCTGAAATCTTTTTTATTGCAATAGTGTTTGATCTTCCTATATGGGTAAGGATGATATCTTCTGTCATTTAATTAGCTCGATTAGGGGTTCCATGGAAATTTCTTGCTTTTGTTGTTTGTTATCCTTTGATATATGTTGTTTAGTGGATACAAAATCTTGATGTCTTTGTTGCAATAGTTTTTAACCTTCCTATGAGTAAGGACGATATCTACTGTTACCGTTAGAATACAACTCTCAATTCTTTTGCTACTATTTGCATAAGGAAGTTTTCTTTATTTTCTTCTTTTGTTTTATGAATTTTTTTTTTGTTATTGTTGCAATAGTTTTTAACTTTCCTACGGGTAAGGACGATATCTACTGTTACTTAAAATAAAACTCTAAATTCTTTGGTACTTTTTGCCTAAAGGATGTTTTTATTTTTTTATTTTGTTCAAGTTGAACAATTAAATTTGATGTTTAATATGTGATGTAATTTTGGTTTTTTTGGTGTGGGCACTTCCAATAGGCATAGAAGTTATCAACATGAATAAGTTTTGGGTTTTCTGTAATCTCCTTTTGCTCTGCTATTTACTCTGATTTTGGTTTGATAGCGTTTGGTATTTTGACTCAGTATTATATTATGTTGTTCTTATTCCGTGTTAGTTTTTTTCCAATGTTTATGGAAGTTATCAACACAAACGTATTTTGGTTATTTTGTGATCTCCTTTTCTTCTGCCATTTTGATTAAATTTCTGGTATATAGATTCAGTACATCATATTCTTATTCTCTGTTAATTGTTTAACTATATTTTTGGGTAATTTTCTCTAGAAGATGGGAAATAGAATCAGCTCCCTTTACTTCACTTTTGAAGAAACGGTAAGGCATAGTTTGCACAATTTTAGTCTAGTTATTCCTTCTGAATCAAATATGTGGTACTTTTTAGTTTTTAGTCTTTTTAGCTCAATTTTCCTTTTTTCATTATGATGCATTGATTATTCTTTTCTTACTTGTATTGATTATTCTTCTCCGAGAAATGTTGCTGAAAGCATAGGTTTTGTGATTGTTCTATGTGCTGGAGGATTAAATGTTACAAATGTAGATTCAAAACTTTAGCTTTTGTACTTCTATTTGCCCATTTGCTAGGCTCATTTACTGGACCTATTGGCAGTACTGGATTGTGAAACTAAAAGTATATGTGTAGTGAAGAAGTGTTGCGGAAAGACGAGGTTTTATGATTGCTCTATGTGCAGGAGAAGTAGATGTTAGAAATAAAGATTATACACTTTGGTTTGTGTACTTCTTTTTGCTCATTTACTGGGCTTATTGATGGTGGATTATGAAAACAACTTGTGGTAAAAAAAAAATGTAGAATCTTCACTTGCTCCTATCCTAGAATTTTTGCTTGTGTTTGCTCATTTTCTAGGCTCCAATTTTATGTGGTTCAGTTTTTGTTGAGCTATCTTTTATCTTTATGAATTATTGTTTATTGGTCAATTGGGGTTGTAGCCTTCAAACTCAAGCACATTGAAACTAATTGACATGGTATAGCATTTTCCCCCCTATGAATGTGAGAATATTCGTATTCAACGAACAAGTGGAAAGTGCATAAGAAATGGACTAACTTTAAAAATACAATAACAGAAGTCATATAATAAAGAAAAGTAGAGCTAGTATGATAGTTTACATGCTCGATGAGGTTTAAAAGAAGAGATAGAATTGTTCCCAAAAATCAAAGAGTAGAGAAACCTATTTTCGATATGTTAGGTTAACTCTACTTTGATTGTGGACAATGCCGATATTGTATCACAGCTTTTTCCCCCGCAAAGTCTCATATTTGAAATTCTTATAAATCACCAATACGAATAGTTGATTTAAACTCATGGTAGGAACCCATTTAAACTTACAAAGATCGCGCGGCGCTCATCGCGGTACCTCGAGAGTTCGAGACAATCAAACATGGCTAGATAGCTACATATGCTTTGATCTCATTTCGGAATTGTGATAAAAAAAACATTCCCATTTCCATTAGTGCACATGCGAGGGAATGAGATTTGCCCTTAAAGTTAAAGATCGAGGCAAACTAAAAAAAACTCCCAATAAATTCTTTGTTGCTTCACAGGGAATACGAACCTAGCTAGCTTGTAAATTTCATCTTTACACAAATATGGAGAGCGACATTTGGTGTGTAGTTGAGAGGGGAATTTCCTTTTTGTTCTCAGATCACTCTCTATAAGGCCATATAGATCGATAATGAAGATCGAAGAGCATTTCCTGTTCTTCACTTCGATCGTATTCCATATGATCAAGATTCAAGAAAGGAAAAGGGCAGGCAGGGCCATAATTGGTCTTTGGGAGTGTCTCTCTTTTGTGCATTACAAAAAACCAAGACTTGATGCTTCAAAGTGCTAAGTGGGTGTACAATGATTGGTTACCTGATAGTTAATTATGTCACTATTGTGGAATAGAGATATTTCTTGTTCACGATTAGCTAGGAAGATTGTCGTTTTGCAGATTAGGTGTGTTAGAACGCATCAGGAAATCGATATTTCAAAAAAGTAAAAGAACATACAGATATACGTGGTAACACTATGCGTGTTAGCTAAACCACAGGAACAAGAGACCGGTTTCACTATACTTGATGGGATACATTATATAGAGATTGAGAAGGTGGCAGACTAACCTGATAAAATCAAGAAAAGAAAAGGTACATACATATTGAGACACCACTAACTTCCAGTCGACGACATATAATCTGTACTCAAGTCATAGCAACAAGATGGATCTTTTAGTTGAGAACTAGTTGATGTCGATATTTTGATGTCTGTTGAACAAGTAGTGTTTGCGTACTCTGTTTGGAGTTCGTACAAGTTCACCCATCAAACCTTAAACTTGCACGACAAGGAGGAGTTACAATTACTACGTCTCGTTGTGCTTGTTGGATTCAATCGTAGGGTTTTTTGCCCTAGTACAATTACTAGGTTTAAGACTAAACTGAATTTGTCGACTATTCACACGAGTCTCGAATAAGCTCGAACATAAGCAACACAATACCAAGATGCCTATAATTGAAATTCAATCATTACATGGACTCATATTTATCTCTTTTGTTTATGTACCCGATGTAGTGATGACAATGAGGCAGGATGGATCATATACCTCAATACATAATATCGGTTCCATACCAAGCTCGTGCCAGGTCGACTAATGTTTATAGGGTATGGGTTGAGGTAGATCGACCATTATTATATGTTATTTGAAAACTAGGAGTAAATAGGTAGTAGTTCACAAATGAAAATGGAGATAATCGCCGGACTAGTTGAGTCTAATTAGTTGAAAGTTGAAGTGTTGTACTTATCTAAAGTATGATCACTAGATAAAAACATATTTAAGAGTAGTTAGAACATGAAATAAGTCAAGAACGGGAAGGGGCGTGACGAAAAATAGTACTCATGTCTCGCCCGACACTACTACACATTTGATAATACCTACCCTGCACGAATCAGGTCGAATAATACTCAGTTGAGCACAAATAATTACACTAACTTGATGTCTAAGAATGGCCTCGTTTTCTTGCTAAAGTTTTTGTGTGCATTAAATAGCTAGAAAACAACCACAAAAGTTGAAACCCTAGAAAGTTTGGAAGAGAATAGAGATAGAGAGATGGAGGATGGATCGCCCCCCTCGTCCGCTGTCGTACTACTACTCCATCAATGGCGCTCAGTAGAAGTGAATTGGGAGAGGGGAAAGTGTGGTCACATTCACTACTCTGCTCTGCTGCATCGCCATGCCTACAAACCTCCATCTCTATTCACACAAACCCAAAATTCAGAACAACACAAAAACAATAGTGTGGAAGAGAGAGAGTTAGAGAGAGAGAGAGAGTTAGAGAGAGAGAGAGAGAGGATATAGAAAATATCTTGTGGCTATGAAAAGGAGTAGTTCTGGCAAGTTAAAGCTACCCAACTTTACATAGTTATAGTTTAGCTACAACACCCGTGAATGAATTAGGAAAATAGTTTCTTTATATTAGACAAGAAAGTATAAACCCTAATTAGTAAGAACAAATTAAAGGATTGGCCTTTATTCCACAAGAAGGGGGTGAAAAGGATGAGGTGAAAATCATTGTTTCTCATTTACTTATGGCAATGTTGAAAATCGAAAAATCGAGTTGTCAAAAACTGGTGTCGATAATTCAAGCGTGATTTTTTTTTTAATGTGAATCATATCTAATTTATTTACACATGCACCCGCGTTAATCGAAAATCTGCCGACTAATTTCCATTATTCGAATTGACCAGAGCCTCTACTATCATGTTGAGAATGAGAGAATCGGTTGGATCTCATTACTTGAGTCGTATAGTGCATACATTTACCGATTACACACTGATCCGAAATCGAGGTGAACCCCACTTAACTAGCCACCTAGTTTATCTCCCCCTCCTCAAACCCTAATTCAAGTGGGAATAGAACCCCTTTTCATTCCTCAACTGATTGGGTAACTAAACAGTAGATTTCACCCCCAACCCCCAAGTACTACTTACATTAGTCTTTTCACTTGAGACTTGACATCTAACTGTATGTCCATTTGTGTTGGGAAGAGACCTGCCCACCCAAAAAAAAAAGTCTATCTACTGTTATGATACGTTATAATGGTAAATATATAGGCTGTAGTCAGGTATACCAGAGAAAAGCAAATCAAAGCAAAACCCATTTAAGCTACAGGCTGCCTCCTGAGAGCTGCTAAAAGCAAGAGAGGGGAAAAAAAAACTTCTCTCACAAAAAGGAATATGTGAAAAATGAGGGTTTTATACTAATAATTATTATTTTGTGTATATATATTTGGGGAGTCCAGTTGCCTTTGCTCTATCACCATTTGCAGGCAGAAAGAGAGAGAGAGAGATAGGGCAAGAGAGAAGCTAAGAAAGAAAGGGCTTGCTGTAGAGCCAGCCACCTAATTTTCTGAAAATTAAACCTCCTCTTCTTTCTTCCTGTTTCTTCTTGTTGATCTCTTCAGCTTGTTAAGGAAAGAGGGAAGATCATCTCCATGTCTAGCTGCATAGATATGGTGCCTGAGCAACTCTGCTACATCCCTTGCAACTTCTGCAATATTGTGCTCGCGGTAAGCTCTATACTCTTCCCTCTTAATTCTTCTACCTATCTGCCTATCAATCAAGCAATTGGGATTCAATTCATGGATATGAAGATATAACAGTAATGGTGATCTATCTATGCATGTGAGCTAGCAACCATTAATTTAAGCAGAAAGTTCTCTCCTTTCTCCTTTTCTCTTGGTGGGTTTTTGGTCATTTTTTGGGCTTCTCTTGTGGCAAATCTAGAGAGAATCTTAAAGAGGGGGGAAAGTATGGTAAATTTTGTGTCTTTTTTCAAGTTTTCATGGTGGTTGTACTTCTTGGGTGATGAATGATAAAAGCTTCCTTCAAGAGCTGAGTGTATGCTGGTTTCATGATGATCAGAAGTGACAGGCATGCATCCTTCCACTCAGAAGTCCTTCTCTTTCTTTGACAGTCAAGAGAAAAAGTGAGAGAGAGCCATCTCTGAAACAAAGGTCATCGTCTGTCACAAATTGCAAGTGTTTTTTCAATTGATGATGAAGACAACTCGTCCTTCACAAACCATGGCTTCCCTCTCTCTCTCTCTCTCTCTCTATCCATCCATAGCTGTCTCTACTCTCTTTAACCCACTTACATAGTGCCTGCGCCACAAACAAGATCTCTTTCTTCTTCTCTGTCTCTCAGAGACATTTCGTCGAACACTTAGGGGACGAACATCCCCGTCCCCTCGACCGAGTCCCGACCCAGCTATCAATTCATGCAATTCCGAATGTTTGAAATCATGGGTTTCTCTTCTCCCTGTATTGGAATCAAACCCATCAAAGCAAAATGGAAAAAGGTGAGATCTTTGAGGAGACTAACTAAATTTTATCTTCTTTTATCTATGGTGGCAGGTGAGCGTTCCATGCAGCAATCTGCTGGACATAGTCACCGTCCGATGCGGGCACTGCACGAACCTCTGGTCGGTCAACATGGCCGCGGCCTTCCAGTACTCTCTCTCTTCCTGGCACCACCACCACCAGGTAACTAAACTACTTTTAATTTCTCTCTTTCCTTATAGTAGTAGCTAGGCGTGGCTGCAGCCGCCTCCTCTGCAATTCTAGGGTTTCTTTTTGGGTCACTAGTTGGAGAGATGGATGTGTTTCTTAAAAGAAGGGATCTATTACTATGTATGCAATGTTTAGACTGTGGCGGCAGATGCTGCCTGCAGCCGCTAATCCCTGGTTTTTGCGGCTAAAAAAGCAAATACCCAGCTGTTTGTTTTTGTTTCTCTCTCAATAACACCTACTAGATGCCTATTTTGACTACCCAGTACCTTCTCTCTCTCTCTATCTAGCTAGCTATGGCTGCCTTCCTTTTCTCTCTCTCTCTTTCAGAAAAAGAGAAACATTCAGATTCATGATTTGATGGGATTTGTGCTGATGAGATGTGTGTCCTGTCGTTTCTCTCTGGTTAGGGTTTGTTTTGTTTGGTTCTGCCTGCCTGCATTACTTTCATACATTCGATAGGATTGGCCTGGAACAGTAGCATTAGTTATGTAATAACTAACGTATTGAAAGTTATACCGGAAAATTAGTAATAGAGTATTTTGTATTAAATTTGTGGTTCAATCGTTTAATACGTTTCGTATCACAGTCTACATTTAAGTACGGTTTCTAAAATGTTGCTTTCATTTCATATCATGGGCACATAACATACTCTAGTCACTTCAATATTGTGAATTATAGGGAGGAAATGGATACCAGAACAACAACGTTGCTAGTAACTTGAACTATCACCATGCTGCTGCTGGCTCCTCTTCATCTTCTGCCAAATCGAGCCCGGCCACGACCAAGCTGCCTGCAGCCCGATCGTTGGCCGCGGCTAACCTAGCTGAAGAACGGATCATCAACCGACGTGAGTATATCGTTCATCAGAGACGATCACGCGTGTTGATCTTAATGTTCGAACTTAAAGGTGTGGTGAAACTTGTTGATATGGGTTGTGTGTTTTTTTTCGGTTCATTTTTTCAGCTCCCGAGAAGAGGCAGCGAGTGCCTTCTGCGTACAACCAGTTCATCAAGTGCGTATGCTATAGTTTGGAGTTAACTCATTGAATAATACCTAACAAGGAATGCCTAGTTGTGAAATGTAACTTTGTACATGTGTATTGATTCGTGTAGGGAGGAGATCCAGAGGATCAAGGCTAATAACCCGGATATTAGTCACCGCGAGGCTTTCAGTACCGCCGCGAAAAATGTAAGTTCGTTTATGGTACATCTTTAATTTTGAGCAAATTCGATGTAGGTATACATGACTTATAAGTAGATCTAGCTTGATATCAATTTTTTTGTTTTGTTTTGTTTTGTTTTGTTTTATTTTGGGACATGGACAGTGGGCACACTTCCCTCACATCCACTTTGGGTTGATGCTCGAGACTAACAAAAAGACGGCCTACTAAGCTCCGTCCATCATCATCGTTAGACGACGTTCATGTAAGTCTTATAAGATGGAGAGATGTGACTATCTAACTAGCAAGTAAACTGTACATATTTCGATAAATCGAACTAATGTTGTATTTTGTTGATATATTTTAGGGTTGAGAGGAAGATGGTGTAATGTGAAGGGGTTTGCCACAATTTGGAGGCTAATGAGTGCTAATTGAGGAGCGGAGGGCTCGATATGGTTCCTGCATGGATGGTCTTGATTTTTCCTAAGATTATGAAGTTGTAATCCATTTTTAATTACCAAAAGCATGTTTTATTTTTTTGTTGTTGTTGGGTTTTTTGGCTTTCTTTGCTGGAATATGATGATGGATTTTAAGGACATATACATGGAGAAAACCTGTATATCTATCTCGGCTGAGATAGATGTACACATATGCAATGCTATGTTCCTATGAAATACTTGATGTTTTCGTTGTGGATGCTCATAATATTGAGAATGCTCATTGCAATTCAATAGGGGTCGTTTTGATTAATCAATTGAAAAAAAAAAACGAGACAATTTGGTTAAATGTCTTATTTACAAAACAAGTCATTTAATTAAAACGAGCCAATTCGAATTGCCTGTCCCCACTCCAGACAGTTGTAATTGCCTCAAAACGAGCCAATTTGAAATTCCCCAGACAGAATTGCTTCATTTAAATTTTGTGTTGTCAAACGGATCAATTTGAGCAGATTGTCTCAAAACTAAACAATTGGATCAAATTAATCTAATAGAATTTCCCAAATGGACAATTAAATTAGAATTTATTGCAACAAATGGACAAAAAATTGTTGCAGTTTGTTTGGATGTATTCAAATGGCATTCGTCTCCTTCCAAGACGGAAATTTGTATAATAATTTCGTAATGATTTTCTGTACAATCATTACGCAATGATTTTTGCCCCCTGGATTTCGGTTAATTTTTCAATGGAAAAATGCATACATGTGAGTATATATCCAGAAGCTGGACCGATCAATTTTACCAGCCGAGACGACAGTCAGTCGGTCAGTCTGCTAGCGACTGAATTTCAGGCGGGCGCGCGGTGCCGTCGTTTTCACCTCTGCTGGCCGGCTTTTTACATGAATACGGTGGACATCTAACCTTCTCTTCTCTTGGGCCAATTTTTGTTAGCTAGCTACAACCAGAATCCAAAATTTCATGTTCTCGATTTTGGATTAGAGACATTGAAAATATGTGGACCATAATCATGATTCAAAAACGCGTGTTTAATCCTACGGTTAGTAATAGGAAACGTCAAAACGTTTCACTTAGGGATAACCGAACTCGTTTTCATGCAAAACATTTCGCTTACTGAAATGATAATGTGTTTACATTTCGTTTATGGTTAGGAATAGACATAACTAGAACATGTTTGTGTATATATTTATGTATATCCTTATTTGATACGCTTCATGTTTCCTTCTTTTTAATGGACATTTCAAGCTTTGACTCGGATAAACGGGTAGCTTAAGTACGTACTACACAATGTAAATCATCATGTCGTATCTTATTTGTTTCTTTATTGCATACCCGATTTGTAAATGATTTGAATATAAAACTCTCACGATGAAAAGATGTTACAAGAAGCTCAGGATCCTTATTATCTTTTACGCTATAGATATGATTCGCACATCGTCGAGATTATTGCAGTCTGAAATCCGACGCTCCTAACACTTATGACCTCTGATTTATTAGGAAATTTGGTTATGATCATGATTCAAATAAGGCGCTTGGCATTTGGCAATGCCATAATTTCTAGGGCACTCGATTTTTTTTTTTTTTTTTGTCATGGGGAGATCAAGGATCATGAGTATCTAGACATATAACATATTTAAGATCACAAATTGGACCACAAGATACATAATGACAACATTAATTATGAAGATAATACAAGAAGCTAATTTCCACGTATATAAATATGAATGTGTTTGTGGATGTGACATGGTCCCAACTATAGTTGGTCATCTAGGGATTGCACATTTCACAAGAACCACATAATCCAAATTGAACACATTTAATATGAATCGACATACATGTGTGTCATTTGCAATGTCTACGAGGGACAAAGAAAGTGATTGGTTGCCAAATTGTCTTATTAATGTTAGCCACGATATAGCATATTCCAACTAGTTATACTCATCAAAATTTGAAATTTTCCCCCCATCATCCTGATTTCGGGTACTCTGAATCTTACGAGACAAGTCTAAGACGACACAATATACAATGCTCTATAGGAGATACGTCATACGACATACGGACTTTCCAGTCGTGTTTGACATGGTCAAACATCTTTCCGGTTTGTTGTTTCCTTTCGGGATCGAATGTAATCGGTGGTTACATGTATGTGATGATAACAAAAGGTGGTATCTTTCCCTTTCAAAAAGCATATAGACGCATATATTTACCCAAAACTTAAAGACTTAGCCTGTCTACCACTCACTTCCTCCTCAATCTCTTTGGCCTCCTGGCAAATGGGGTAGCCATATATATACACATATCATCATGATCACTAGATTAAAGAAGGGCATTATGGTTTGAGATAGGGCACTAGCTTAGCTAGTTGGTTGGTAACTGACTAACTGGTTAAGTCTCAATGCTAACAAGTAGTATTGCTATGATGATGATGATGGAGGTCTCCAGTTATATGTGTTCTGGTCAACAATGTGAAACTGGTCTCTCTCGTACGTGATTGGACTATACGTATTGTATTAGTTAATCGTGCAAATATGTGACTTCTTTTTACCCCCTTACTTTATTGATGATTAGGGTCATCCTACCAAATCCCTCTAGCAAGCTAGAAGTATTTTAAGGATAGGGTTTGCTGTTCCAGTTGCCTTGGTCAAAATCTACCATGGTTTCACTTATGAACTTTTCTCTTTTCATAGTGGGGGTTTCATTTGTAAATGCCTAGAAAAGAAAGAAAAAAAAGTGTAAAAGAGCAAAGGCTATAATTTGTTTCCTTGCTTTTATACGGATATAATGGCTTTTTTCTGTAATCCTTTCACAAACAATATGGAAAGAAGGTTCAATAGTCTTGTTTGTGGATGAAAGAAAAGTTGGGTCTAATTCATCCCAAAAAAAAACGGGTCTAAATAGATTGCGAATATGTACAAATAGGGTCTAAATAAATGTGTACATGTTAGGGCTGAAAATGTAAATTCAATGTAAAAAAAGCTCTATAAATTAGGGCATGAATGTGTATTTGCTTGGGATGAATGTATATGATCTAAGTTGATTCTCTCGTTCGGTCTGATTAGTGTTCTAACTTTCGATACAAAATTATATCCTACATCATCATGAACAGTAGACTAAAGGAGCGGATGATGACGACCCTAATCTCATATATATAGTAACTGACATCATCATCATTATTCTTGAAATTGTCTGTTCCATATCGTTTCACAACATGGTCCGATATGATGTGAATGAGATTCGACATTAAGAAGAGTAATGATGAGATGCTCGCGAAACGGACTGAAGAGTAGTGTGTCGCACGCGAGACTATTAGATTTCCGAGAATTATATATATAGCGAAAACCATCCAAATTTTTTTCGATCCTGGGTTGACGAATCGAGAAGAAACAAAGCATCTATGCTAGATCCCATCGAGCCAATAACCCCTGTGCAAGATGCTTGGTTAAGTTTCTACCACCAAAAGAAAGCAGGAGGGCTTTTGATTTTAAAAGTTGAGAGAGAGGGGTGTAGACTGTAGAGTATATGTGTACTTTGTTACTATAAAAAAAAATGCATGCTCCTCCAAATTTTTGCTAGGGCTTGGTGGGCATGAATGAAGAGCAGACAGCAGCTAGCAAAAAAAAGCTGCTATGCATGGACGGCCATGGCCAAGAAGAAAAATGTAGAAAAAAGGCGAGTTTCTGACAATCGGAATCTGAAACGTCAACTTCATGTCTGTCTGGAAAACGCAATCAATGGGGTTTTCTTTTCTTTTTTTTTTTCTACTTAATTGGCGTTGTTTTGTTTATGGCCATGGTTGTCACGCCGGCCGGCGTGCCACCGGTTCTACCGGGTTCAACCGGTACCGGTCATAAAACCGGCATGATACCACCGGTATGACCGGCATGATCGATATACGAATCTCTAAGTAAAATGATCTTATTTTAGAGAATTTAATTGATAAAAATTATTTTATTCTTTATTTTATGAGTATAAAAGTTAAATATTGATGTTATTTGTTGGATTCAGGTATAAATGTTTAGGTATTGACGTTAAATGTTATGTTCAAATATGAGTATTTAAATTTTATTTGTAATATTGACCGGCATGAACCGGCACAAACCGGTATGTGCCACCGGTTGAACCATTCCACTTGCTAAACCGGCACACTGGCATAAACCGGTTTGACAACCTTGTTTATGGCTCTGTCATTTCATTCCAACTTTCTCCACCCGCGCCCCACAACCTCGCCTGCTTCGGAGTTTGAGCTTATGCACTACACATCCAGTGATCCAGCTATTGGCAATCCGCCAACTTTGAAGTTAGAACCGGTGTTTAGCAAAACCGTACTTGTTCCGGCGGACCGATCGCTCATTTGGAATTTAAGTTGGTAGACGGCCGTTTTTAGCGGATATGAAACGATTGAAGCATGTCGCTTCGTTTGTTTGGAATATAAACAGTGGACCGAGGGCTTGCTAGTGGTTTGATGCTAAATCGTACGTTGAAACGGGTCTGGTCTAAGTGAATTGCTCGTTTGAAAACGAAACCCAATTGTATCCAACCCATTTTTTTATCAATCATGGCTAATGGGTCAATCCCACTCAACCCGTCAATTAGGAATGGCAATGGGGCAGGTCCGGGGCGGGTTTCTTGGTGCCCAGACCCGCCCCGTGGCAGGTCGGGTACAGGTCATGTAATTTATTACGGGTTGCGGGTCGGGGTAGATCGACCCAATGGGTATGCAATTTATATGAAAAACATTAGAAATATTCATTATTTTTATTATAAGACCAAGAAAACAAACAATATTATGATAAATGTAGTTAAATTATTGGAGAAATTGAGGGTTTCACTAATTTAAAACTTTATTATAGCTAAAATATGATGTAATAAAAGGAAAATCCTAATTAATTTGACTGAGATTACAAGTAATTTAAGCAAGAACGGGTCGAGAATAGGGCGGGTCAAGGCAGGTCGGGTCAATGAGAGTACCCCATGCCTGCCCCGGTCACGGGGCGGGTCGGATCCGCCACAAAACAAACCAAACAGATCAGATAAAACGGGTCAGATCGAAATTACCATCCTACGGTCAATCCAATGTAGATTTGAGAACAAGGTGCTATTTTACTTATGTTATTTATGTTCCTTCCCTCACCAATCCCTGTCACACTCTCTACTCTTTTATAATGACTATTTCTCTTCGCCAACAACAATCCACCAAAACCAAAAAGGAGAGCCCACTGCAAAATTTCCCACCCCTTCAAGCATATCTGAGATTGTCCATTTTCATCCATTCAATGATCATTCTCCTTTTGAAGTGGGATCCATAATGTAAAAAGCCTACCAAAGCTTGAAAAACACCATCTCCTGCAACCATATCAATCCTGTCCTTTCAAGTTGGCATCCAAAGCAGAGAGATAAAGAAAAGACCCATGTATGAAAGTTGGTTCTCCTCTCCCATAATGGGAATGGAAGCCACCAACCAAACCCTACTACACATTATTCCAATATATGGCATCAATCAATCACATGCTTTTGCTTCCTGCAGAAACTGAATTTTCTTTCTCATGGATATTGTTCGAGATAAATACAAGAAAAAGGGAACTAGCAAGCAACTCATTTCGTCCACCCAAGACAGCCTCTTACCCAAGTTGGCCAAATTTGCATTCATCTTATTACTACCAGAGTTACACAAATGAGACATTCAGAAAGACTTTCTCCCACCAAATCAGGATACGAATGAGCCATAAAGCATCAAGATACCACTTTCTAGTTTCTTCTCACAAAACTGGAAGAGTAACTGTGGGGGGTAGAAAGGAAGTTGGAAAGAACACAAAAAGAAGGGTCCTAGGAACATCAAATTGAATTTCTCAGTAGCACACAGAGTCTTTCCCTATGGAGCTGAAAGAAACCCTACTGCTCTTGTCTGATCCAAACTTGAATTTCAGATTCGACGTCCCATCTGGTAGGGAGCTGCTGCTGCTGCTCGTTGAAGGGAAAGAGAAAACAAGGGCAGAATTAGTGCCCTTGTTTGAGCCAAAGCTGTAGGTAGGGGTTGACTGTTCACCAGCTTCCGGCTGATGCAGACCGTTTGCAGAGGAAGATGGCATGGAGGGAGTCGGAGGCTCGGAGAACACGCCTGCTGATGATGCGGGAACTTGGAAACTAAAACTCGCGTTGCCATCAGAAGACGCCCACTTCTGTTCACGCTTTCCAATGGCGATAGAGGACAGAACTGGTCTAGTCCCTGAAGAATGCGCTGGAGGCTTCTTTTGTAGACTTGAAACCTAATCATAATTTTAATAGAAGATACATGGAGGACAAGTTACTCGAACAATTTCATTGAGATTTTAAATAAGGATAGTACTCAAGAGATGCATTGAATACCTCATTCGCTTTCACGATTTCTGAATCCACATTTTTCTTTAGAACTGGTGAAGGCCCGGGATCAACAGCATTACTGCCAATTGTTATGCCAGGGGCAGAAGATTTTCCATTCACATCATTAGTGGTCTCCTGAGGATCCTTGAAAAGGGACTTCCCTCTATCTTCACTCCAATGCAAAGACTTCTTTTTATTATCAGCCTGATTAGAATTTCCTGATGAATCCAGAATCCCAAATTGAGGCAAGCTATCACGCTTGAGTGGCGTGAAAGCAGTTATGTCAGAAGAAGACTCAGGCTTCTTCCATGAAGTGGCGAGCCTTAATTCATCAGACTTTTGCTTTGGAGTAACTGGGTTTCTGTCCAGATGCTCCAAAATCTTGCGAGCTACCTGGCTAGAATGTGAAGGAACGGTAGGAGTACTGACTTCGGAATGAGGCTTTCTTCCCGTTTCTGATTCTTTCTTCCAAGCAGAAAATATCCCCTCTGGCACATCGATGTTTTCAATTTTAGGAGTATCCACAGATGGCCTGACAAATGGAGATCCTCTAGCTGAAAGCTCTACACCAGCACCCTGCCTTCTTGTTCTTCGGATAGGTCCTACAGATCCTTCACCAAAATCCAACTTCCTCTCCCTTGAACTGAACTATAATTCCAACCAAACATTGCTAATAATTTAGGCAATGACTTCGATGATCAAACTTCTCTTTAAGTGCAAGGTTATAACATTTCAGCATCAGAAGCATATGGTAATATGAAAACTACCTGCCCATAAGTGGATGATTGAGGCGGCTGAAATGGAGTTGACAGCATGTTCAGGGATCTTCTACTGCTCCCTTGCAATTGAATCAGCTGGTTGAATTGAAGGAAGCAATCATGGATGAGCAACAGAATCTTCAAAAACAGTAATGACTTTTACCAATCAGCTTCTAACCTTGGACTTTGATTTTGAGGCAATAGCTCTAGAATAAGGGGTCCTAGGAAAACTTTGGAGCCCGAATCTCCCGCTTTGGCTGAGGGGTGCAGCATACTCATTCTGATCTCGCACCCTGGCACCTGGCCAGCATGGTGACGGCCTAATAGAAGATGAAGGGGTAAATGGTTGTAGTGCCATCTCATCTCCACGAGATGAAGGCCCTTCATCTTTTACAGCTGCATCCTCTAATCCTAATCCTGATGTCCGTTTTTGCATGTACGCTTTGGCAATTTGGATTGGTGAAGCACCAACTTCATCTTCAACCTGCATAAGTGCACAGAACTATGAGATGATCTTGCAAGCAAACAAATTTTGGATAGCATTTTTTCTTTAACAAGCTAAGAGCAGAATATAATCACAAGCACCAAAAAGGAGCAAAATTCAAAATTCATGATTTGTCATGCTATACAAAATATGTGGATAACCCAAAGTAAGATTATACCCTACAAACTATCTTTAGATAATTCCCACTTCCACAGTTCCACATACTACTCTCACCAATGTTGTGATAATCGATTAGCTTATGCATAAGCATAACAAAAAGCAAGCTCTGCGAAGGATAGGAATACACTCTCATTACATAAAGTGGCAGATGGAATGTATATAATATAATCCACTCACAGTCGACTGGATAAGAGGAGTTGAGCCTCCCCAAGTTGTTCTGTTCGTATCTTCATGCTGTACTTCAGTAGACTTTCTTGAAGTTTCAGCCCAAGCTGCAGGCTGGAAAAAACCTTGTGTAATTGAACTCATGTGCTTCTTCTCAGCTTCTCTGCACCTTTGTGAATCTTCAAGGAAAGCCGAAGGTCCAGCATCCCGCCCAAACATACCAGAATGCTGCTTCTCTTCCTCCTTATTGGGAGAATTAGCAGCCCTTGAGTGAATTATCTCAATCAACCGATTGACTTCATCCCTGCACAGCAAGTGGGACCTTACGTTAAACTTCACTAACCAGACCAGACCACAAGACAATTTTACACCATATCAGACTACAGGAAGATCTCAAAGAGCTGAGAATGAATGCACAAAAGAGCTTCACCTAGAAAACTTTTTGTTCATCAGTAACTGCTCGATTGTAGAAACCCCATCAAGATCAGAAGTGTTCACTGTATGATGTTCTTCAACTCTTTCAATCTCTGGATGAGAATTTAATTCATTGGTGACTTCATTAGTGCCACCGAGTTCAGTTGATCCCGAACCCAGATGCTGCAATAACACCCCAAACCCGAGTTCGTTCAAAACCCCTCGGTTCACTACTAAGAAAACAGGAACAAAGCATAAACAGAGTAAAGGGCAAAGGCCTCACATTGAATGACAAACTGATTTCATCCCTTCCGACATTTTCTTCAACCTGATTGCCAGACTCACCTGTTAAGATGAGTAAAACAGCAATTAATTAAAACAAATTACTCGAAAACACCCCAAGATCGAAGCTTTAACTAGTTATACAGTCAATGACGCCACGATTCAATCATACAACCCTAATCAATTAAACCGACGATTGAATCACGAAAGAACAAGTGAGCAATTCAAAATAAAATGAAATTTTTAAAAAAGTCAACCGTGATCATCTTCTTCTTCTTCTTCATCTCCAACTCCTCGTTCAGCAGCAGGAGGAGCTGGGAGGGCATTGCCCGATTGAGAGAAGTAGCTGGGCAAAATTAGGTTAGCGAGCTTCGAGAGCCACGGCCGCGTGCGCTGTGCCAAGCTCTGCTGCGGCCGAGCATAAGGCGTAGCAGCTCTCCTCGCGGGACGCTTCCTGAGCTTGCCGCCGGCGCCTCTGCCTTCTTCTCCGGCGGGATACGGCTGGCGGGGCTCGCTGCTCCTCTCCATCGGGCCACCGTCGAGGGGAAGAAGGAAAAAAGGAGGGCAGTTGAGACTCGAGAAAGGCGATTCGGAAAGCTAGCTAGCGTTTAGTGAGGGCGCGGGTTTTCGACATCTACTGCCTTTTTTTCGGTTTTGTGGGGGCGGGGGACGGGAATTTGGGGGTCTTGTTTTAGCTCTTTCAGGCTGGCCGCCGGCGACCGGAGACGCGAAGGGAAGGAGCCGTGAGGTGATTTTATTAAACGTGCCGATTTAGGGTTTGGTTAAGTAATTTGGGAAATTGGCTGACGTGCTCGTGGAGGAAAGTAGGGGAAGGACGGCGCCGTTTTATTATGGGAGGTGTGTTGTGGAGGGGAGATGAGTCACATGACACGTGGCTGTCGCGGCTCACGTGGTGTTCGCTGAGGTCAGCGGAAACTGAAAGAGACAAAGTGGGAGGAGGGAAAGAAAACTAAATGCATTTTTGGGCTCCGGCCCAACTAAGGCAGGTATTAGGCCGAAGAAAAATTATCCTGCTAGCTCCAGTCTGTAAAAGCCCATGAGCTTGGAGGCACAAATCCAATCGGATCAGGGGTCAGAAGTCAGAACCAAGGATTTAGCACATTAATTCTCTGAAAATATTGAAAATTGATCTCATTTTGTAGAGCACAACAAATTTGTTCCATATGTGCAAAAAAAAATTGAATTTCGAGTTAGAACGAAGAAAATAAGAGTTTATTAAAAAACTAGGAAAAATAAAATGTTTTTAATTCACAATCCTTAGATCTGGATTTTCTGGACCCACTTAATCCAAATGTCCAGATTTAGTTAGTCATACGTGAGTAACTTACTGACAAGCCCCAAAGTGTTAACTGAAAGCCAACAATAATATACATAACTAAAACACAGCGAAGAATAATAGAATATAATACCAATGACATCCTAAGGAATACAAATAACCTCTAAATATAATTTGTTTCCACTTAGCACTTATTGTAGGAGCTGAGGAACTCGGGGAGGAGTTAGAGTGTTAACACTAACTCCAGTCAATCAGTACATTTCGTTTGGATGACTTTTCTTTTTAAATGAGTTGACCACAATTAATGAATGAGAATAGGAAAGAGGGACACGTTTGGTATTATGAAAAATTGGGGAAGGGATGAAAGAAGGCAGGGGGGACCACGAAGCACGTCACAACCTTCTCCAAGCATGCTACAACCTCATCAAAGCATGCCACAACCTCAAAGCATGCGAGAACCACAAAACATGCCACAAGTTTATAAAGCATGTCATAAGTAGTGGACTTGTTTGTAAATTTTAAAAAGTTGAGGTACGAAAATGTCAGGGGGAAAATTTCAGGTACTAAAATATAATTTTTCATCGATATTTTTAGTACTCGAATGTAAGGGGGAGGAAAAGGGGAAGAGGAAGGGAGAAGAAAAAAGGGAAAATACTATAATACCATTAATAAATGTGTTAGTATGATGATAACACTTGTGGTCGTTTGGATGAAACATTTTCAAAATGAGTCAATTAGGCTTAAATATTTTATTTTAGAAAATAAGATAATTGTACAAGAAACTTTACACAATTATCTTGTTCTTTGACATAAAACAATTGTCATGAGACATTTTCTGAAAATACAAATTTTCCCTCATTCTTTTACCCTTCTCCACCTTCCTCTTAAGGGTTGAGGTAAGTAGGATCAAGTACCTTAACCTACAAACCATCAACCATTGCTATGGGTTAAGAATCTCTAATCAAAGTCAGATTATCTTCGAGAGAAATTTTACAATGCTATATAGTATTGGTGCTATAGGTTTTTGCCTTTATGGTACAACTTAAAATTGTACATTTAAGTTATGGTACAACTTCAGATTGTACCTATACTTTTTGTACAAATTCTTTTATGGTACAACTTGAACTTGTACCTTTATGTGATGGTACAACTTAAAATTGTACATTTAAGTTATGGTACAACTTCAGATTGTACCTATACTTTTTGTACAAATCCTTTTATGGTACAACTTGAACTTGTACCTTTATGTGATGGTACAACTTCAAGTTGTAAAGTTGTACCATCTACAAGATATAAGATGGCAAAACATGGGTTGCTTTTGCAGGGATTTGAATTTGCTGGCCTCTGAGGAATTTCCGGAAGGGCAGTTTGGACAATTCACCTGCCCACTTAATGAAGTTTTGCGTTTTGATTTTCTCTGATTTTCTCCATCAATCCTCCCTTCCGCTGCCGTCATTTACTGGGCCTAATTTATGGAACTTCAAACCACAATGGGTCCAGACAGCTGCGGCAGGCCCACGGGTGTCAACAAACGCAATTAATTGTGATCCATTGACATTAGTGGAACTAATAAAGGGCTGTCGTTATTGTCATTTCAAAATAAATAATAAGCGTTTTGTTTTCCAAACCTCAATTACGGGCTCCAAAAACAGGTCATTGAAGGGTCCGATTTGGGTTGTGTTTTTTATTTTCAAAGTACCATTCCAGACTCCACATATGGATCGTTTAATAGATCTTGAACTTCTGTACGATGCTTCCCACTTAACAGAATCCATATTTGAAACGAATAAAAAACAAACCCACCGAAAATCGAGCAAAAATTCAATCTCCGTCTTCGTGCCTTTCACGCCGTCTAGATCCAAGTCGGCGATCATTTCCTCATCCCCTCGCTATAATCAAACCCACAAAAATGAAAGGTCAGAACTCTAAATCAGCAACCAAGAACCTACAATTCGATATGCAACCAACAAAAATGCATCTTACCTTCGCCTCCGTTGTCATCATTTTCGCCGACGTACATCGCTATCATCATCGTCGCCGGTATCGACCGCCGTCAATTCTCACCATCGCCACGAGAAGCCGCTGTGTCATCGTGGCTCTGAAGTCCGATCTTTAAAGCTCCAGTCGAGGAGATGTTCCGAGCGGGCGAATTCACCGTAGGAACAGGCGAATAATATATCTGAAAGGAAGAAGAAGAAGGGTTGTGTTTATTTCCTTTTTGGTAGAAGAAGGGGTTTTAGTAAGGGAGGAAAAGAGAGTTTCGCGGTTGTTAATGAAGAGTGAAGTAGAGTTTTTACTTTTTAGGCCTAAAAGAAGAATTTATATTTCACTCTCCCCCTTTCTCACGTGCTCGCCATTTCTCAAAATGGCTTTCCTTTAAAAATAGTATCTTTAACCCTAAATTAATTCAAATTTATAATTAAATACAGACAGTAATATATATATTTCATTTTCAACCTTTTAAGTAGTATCAATTTAGAGTACCAATTTTGAGTGTTGGGTGTGATAACACCTTCCCGTACGTAACTGTATTATATAATGTATAACTTTAATTCGCATATCACAGTTTGGTTGCAATCCTAAGGTTAGGACCGGTGCAAATATTTTTTGATCCACTACAAATTAAGATTGATGGCGACTTCGAAAAGATTGCAAGCGGTCAGATTCCGTGGGACAGTTGCGACAATATCCATTATTCTATATAAAGTGGTTTGAATTTTATCCATTACCTAAAAAAATCAGGTTGACAATCAAAGTCATGTTCGTACTCTATTGTGATTCGGATATCCATGAGTGATAATTTATTTTGTAACTCCAATCGACATGTTTATATTCACACTAATGCTCACATTACATAAGTGGAAACGTAAGATGATAAATCACTAGAATGAAGATAGGACACTTTGTGTTGAGATCTTGATTCAACCATTTCATACAACCAAACTGCATACCGATATTTTTTGGTGGGATCGATGATACGGTACAAGTTTACAAAATACATATTAAATTTAAAAATGTGGTAATCAACCCACCAAAATTTACATATCATAGAAATCGTTAGTAAACGGGATTTTTCGTTTTACGTTTCATTTTCGTAAGCCTCCAAAATTTTCAGCTAAACAAGTTTTCTTCGGTAGGCTTTTCAGGAAATGGTATTTCTCTTTTGTTCGAGTTCTTTTTTCTAATTTTGAGAAGAAGAAAAAAAATATATAATGATTACTAAATGGACCCCTTTCCCTATTAACAAACTCGACTTTTTAGGTGAGATTAATTACAAGAATTTGAGCAAAAATTGGGGTTACGTAAAATTGTACGAATTTCCCCTAATAATTTTAGTGCGATTTTTAAGTTGGGCACAAGGGATCCTAATTTCCTTCATGCAATTGCACCAACATTTTCTCTCAATAATCATATTATTAATTCAACCTACATCGATATACGGGGTTCACAAAGACAATTGGTAATAACATATCAAGATTCCACTTCAACGTTGGAGTTTCACAAAGAAAGATGGTTGGAGAATTTCTACAACTAAACCATCACCATTCTTTGATATAGAGTTATGCAGAGGTAAGTTGAAAGCATGGAGGTAGGTCTATGTCGATTTCCTCTCCAGTACAAACCATTTCCCTTGAACTTGATTAATTGGTACGAGAGTTTATTACTTAATTCCCAACCGTCTTGCTAAACAAGAATTAGTTTGGTAACATACAAGGACATGCATTTAGATTCTTTCATTTTGGGGTTTAAGTGGTTGAACATGTGTATTTTCTTTTTAGCTCTAGAAGCTAATTATATCATAGTTCATATTTAATTTTGGGGGGTTAGGCATGCAACAGTTAAATTTGGAGATAAATATTTGGTACTTGGAGAAATCTGACTCATTGACCTGTTATGAGCAACAATTTTGTTGAAAATGTTCTCAAACTTTTTATGTTGGTGTGAGCTTTTAAAATATGTCTCTTTAAGGTATTGTGAAATCATAAGACATTGGTGATATTTTGCTTTCAATTTATTGAAATACTTTATTTACGACTCTAATATATTTTGTGCGTATTAAGTGAATTTCAAATTTACGAGACATAATATCAAATCTGAGACCGGCAATTTCAGTCCCTCATTTGTTACTATAATTTGCAAAGTGTCATTTCAAATAATATAATTTCATATGTATAACCTTCGTCGTGATCAACAAAGATGATAAATACTATAATATATTTTCATGGATAATTTTTGTACCAACTTATTTTCAATGTAATCTTATGTTCATACCTCTTTTTTATGTGACTTCATTTCATTTTATATATATTGGTTGTACCAAAATTACTATATGACCTACTTTAGTAGTGAAGACAATTACTTTTTTTTATTAAATAATTATATTTATTTCCCATATCACATTTCTCATAAGTCATATCCTTATTATATTGCAAACACATTATGCATAATTGAATTACCGACATAACTAAGATATAAAGACACCTGTGACATGCATTTATGGGCATATATTATATCAATTGTATAAATGTTATTTTAAAGTCTAAAATCTCTCGGCCAACGGGCCGGACCCGACGCTAGTAACATAATGGTACAAATTGCTTTATGGTACAACCTAAACGTATACATTTAATGTTATGGTACAACTTTGAGTTGTACATTAAAGCACCAATGCTATATAGCATAGTAGAAGTGCTCTATCTTCGAAGACATACCCTGACACAAGTACTTAGGTTAAAGTTAGATATCATCAGTACCGATAAGGCGATAACTATCGTAAACAAGAAATCTCTAACTTATCTAAATTCTGTTTTATTTAATGTACTTACAAATTATCCCCTAAATATAATCCTGTTCAAATGTATCGAGCTAATTCAAATACAGATTCCATTCCAAATGAACAGAAATTACAAAGACATGAAGCATCCCATCACCCTGTAGCAGAATGAATGTGTTCACTGTTGGAAAACGAGTTTGAACTAATGACGATGGAGATGGAGCAAAAGCCAGAGAAGCACTAGTGACGATCCCCACACCCTCCACATCTCCGTGTCTTCTGGCTCCCATGATTGAGTCTTCAACCTCTGAAAGAACCCTAAAGCAAAACAATTCCACTCTATTCTGCAACAGTAAAACACAGCATGACTCTTCAACAGTCACAAGTCCGCCATAGCTAACCCACCACTAGCATGTTGTTGACAAGAAAGAAGCATCACCTTTTCCCATGATTCCAATATTCCATCAAGCCCATCTCAACTCAAGCTCCCTTTCTGGCACATCACAACGATGGGTTGCCAGTAGTTCAGTATATATGTCACAGCAAACAATTTACTGCAAAGTGAAAGAAGAATTACCAGCTGAGTGAAGAAGAAACAATGGACATCCGAGTGACACCATTACATGTCAAACAAAATACAGCACAGAGAAGAGAACCAAGTTCCTTCCGCACTGCTTTTGCCTTCTGATTCCAACATCTGCAGAAGAGAAAAATATCAGAAAGCCTCTGCCTTTATTTCCAGGGGCTCTCATCAGGTTTCGATTTGTTTTGGATTCTGACAATATCTAATCCTGGCAACGTTTAAGAATGACTCAGTCCAATAATTACACAGAGAAAAAAAAAAACCATGTTCAAGCGATTTTAAGGGGTGGTAAAGATTCTCCCTGCTGCTTTTCTGAGTGGTGTGTAGCACCGCCCATCCACTGCTGTCCGTCCCTACAAAAGCACCAGTCTTTCGTTTCCATAAACTTCCCCATCAATCAAAATCCATAGCTATGAACCAGTGGTGTTTCTTCAACTAGACTTACGAGGGATGAGAGGAAGTTTTGAACTTCAGTTTATGCTGTCAACTCAGTTTCTAATCAACAACAAGAAAGCCATCACTGCCCCCTTTCGATAGGGGCAGCAACTCGGCACACTATATATGATGCTGGTAAGCGGTTGGTTGGAGAGATGCGAAAAATGGAATTCGAGAAAGGACCTGTTGTTCCACCAGAGAGGAGAGATGCTTATAGAGTTGCTTACATAATCCACTTCTTGCTTGGTGCAGGCAACTTGCTTCCATGGAACGCATTCATCACTGCCATCGACTACTTCGGCTCTCTATACCCGAACAAACACATCGAAAAGGTGTTCTCCGTGGCTTACATGAGCTCTTCGGTGCTGGTTCTGGTGGTGATCATGAGCCAAGGTGGTTGGAGCAGCAGGATGAGTTGCAGGCTGAGGATGAACTTAGGGTTCTCCCTCTTTGTTCTCTCCATGATGGTTGCTCCAACTCTGGACTGGAGCAGCAGAAATGGCTCGATGCCCACGGGAGCATATGGCATGACAGTTGCATCGATAGTGGTTTGTGGATTTGCAGATGGATTGATTGCTGGTAGCTTGATTGGTTCGGCTGGGAAGCTTCCAAAGCAATACATGCAGGCAGTTTTCGCTGGAACAGCCTCTTCAGGTAAACCACTTTTATACATCACAGTAAAAAAAGTTAAAGTTCTGTTGCTTATACCTAAATCACCATTGCATTGCCACAGGGGTTCTTGTGTCCATCCTGAGGATCATCACAAAGGCAATGCTCCCCCAGACGCCTCAGGGTCTCCGAACGAGCGCACACTTCTACTTCATTGTCAGCACCGTGATCCTCCTCTGCTGCATCTTCTTCTGTAACTTGCTGTACAAGTTACCAGTTATGCAGCAGAACCGCAACAAGCTTGATGTTGTCGCTGATGGTGATGATTCAAAGCCGAGATTCTGGTCCGTGGCTAGGAAAATCCAGTGGCCAGCTGTTGCAGTTCTGACAATCTACCTCGTCACTCTCTCGATCTTCCCAGGATTCCTAGCAGAAGATGTCAAGTCAAACCTGTTGAGTGACTGGTATCCTGTTCTGCTGATAACAGTATACAATGTGTCGGATTTCATAGGCAAGTCCGTGACAGCAATATATGTTATGAAGAGCATCAAGAAGGCCACCTGGGGTTGTTTCCTGAGGCTGCTGTTCTATCCTTTGTTTGCAGCTTGCCTCCATGGACCAACCAAGTGGCTGAGATCAGAAGTTCCAGTTGTGGTCCTGACATTCATGCTCGGCGTGACAAATGGGTATCTGACAAGTGTCCTAATGATCCTCGCCCCGAAATCGGTTCCAGGTTCCGAGGCTGAGCTGGCTGCAATTGTGATGATTGTGTTTCTAGGGATTGGTTTGGTATCTGGATCTGTTCTGGGATGGTTCTGGATCATATGAAAAAAGCTCCATTTCCTAGAAGAAGTTCACATGTACTGCTGCTTTGATCTGTGGAAAAAAGTTAGAGCAACTAGACAGCAGCACATTGTTTGTAATCCTTTCTTAATCAGCTGCAATTATGATGATCATTACATTAACGGTGCATATCAACAGCTACTAATTATCTTTCATCATCCAACTTAACTTAATCAGCCAGCAAACAAATGGGTTTTGCCCATCCTGTGAAAAAAAGTGAACCTAACTTCCCATACGGAGACATTCACGGTAAAGCCATGTGCCACCAGAACAGAGGTGCAACATGGAGCTCCATATTAATCAACTTACCTGAACAAAGGACACATCAAATAATTGAACCTTATTTCCCTGTATAGGCCAAAGGTAAAAGGGTACTAAGAAAATTCCAAAAGAAGCAGCAGCCTATGGAAGTGGGATGGGTACACTGAACATTAGGAGGTTTTGTCAACAGCAATCACATGTATATGTATGGACCATAAGAACCTGCTTTAAAAGCACTCCAAGATAAGAAAAAGGAATGGGCAATCAATACCAATGTGAGAAATCATAGAGGAGATTCAACCGGCTTAACAGCGAAACCATAGAAAAATTGTAGCAAGAGCATCTTAATTCTGATAAAATGTATCAATTTGATCTGCGGTACCTGATCTAACTAGCATGAATACGCAACACAATACAGTATGAAAAACACTGAACAAAGCCTTCATTAAGCTCCATGGAAGATGATGAAAAACCTTCGTTAAGCTGCGTGGAAAAGAGGCTGCTTGAGCAAACAAAGGATCTATGCCTTTTGGCATCCGCAAGGGATGGCCTTTACCTTTTGCAGCAGGAAGAGATCATTTTTGTCCCCTTGTCTATGGAATATTCACATATACACACAGAGAAAGAGAGATTGAGAAAAAGAGAGACCGAGTAAGCCAAAATAGACTCATTCCATTTCTTATTACGATTCTACAAGAGAGGTACTAGCAGTGATTGAAATAAGAAAAGCCAAAAGTGTTAACAAAAAGGGCGAAGGGGCTATAAACAAAAGGGTGGCGGGTTAGAACTTTAGATGCTATGAAATCTGAAGCGCTATGTTACAAGATTTTCTGGCCAAAGATTCAAGCTTTTTCAAGAAGCAGCAGCTATTGGAGGAGGGAGAGGTGGAATTCCATGGAAATAATTTGGTGGTGACAATTTGTTCATCTCTGGAATCAAATCCACTCCCCTTTGTTCTTCTTCCTCTTCTTCTTCTTCGGAATCCCAAAGGAAATGAGCATATGAAGCAAGAACATAGCTGCCAATTACCGAAACAAAAACCAGAAACATCATTACTACAGTATTCCAACAATCTTTAGGATTAGATTAAAACACAAATGTTAACAAACAGAATCAAGAAAAGGCTCAATCCTTCTTACCAATCATCAGGAGCAGCTTTGACAGCTCGATCGAAGTAACTTTCAGCTCGAGAAGAGTCCTTATGGCTCTGCCATATCAAATCCGCGTACATCGAAAGAACATCGCCGTCGTTCGGATTAGCCAGGATTGCTCTCCCGCAGTACTCTTCCGCTTTCACGAAATCCTGACGAACCTGCAAAACATTCAGCAACGCATCCATTTTTTAGCACAGAAAACTTCTATCTTTCCTTTCATGGATCCCCAATTTTAAAAAATTCAATCAACTCATTACCTCTTTCAGAAACTTGGCATAATTGCCAAGAAGAAGCGAATTCCCGGGATTCGCATCGATCATCGTCTCGTAATACACCTCCGTCTTGTAATTCGAATCCCAGAACTCCGAATTCCCATCTCTTCCGCCACCGTTGGAGCTTCCACCGCCGCCTCCGCCGCCAATCCTCCCGCCGCCGCCTACCAAAAGCGTGGCCAACCCACCATCCGCAGCACAATCCTCTCCCAACCCATTTGATCCCAGGAAGAACCCACCGCCCAATTCTTCCGTCTCCTCCTCTCCCTCGACAAAGACCGTGTTCACCGGCTTCCTCCTCGGCACCACCGGCGAAAGGTTCCTCATATCCGTCTCCGAGAGCGCTCTCGTCATCCCGTGGGGAGACGAGGAAGAAGGCGAAGGGATGAGAGTCGGAGGCGAGGCGGTGAGCGAAACGGATCGGGTTTTCGCGAGTGAATGCCGGGGGAAGAACTCGGGCTCCACCGGCGGTGGCTGCGGATCTTTGGAGTGTGGGATCCAGGAGTTCAGTATCGGAGTAGAAGCGCTACGAAGAAGCATTTTTTTATGTTTCTGTTTTTTTTTTTTTAATATGAATTTCTCACGATGGAAAGCTCGAGTTTTTTCTTCGCTCTGTTTTGCTGCAAACTTTTTTGCTGGTGCAGGGGAAATGAAGAAGAAAGGAAGGTTTGATATTTATAGCCCGGAGGGAGCGGAAGGGATGAATCGGAGCCGTTGATTCGTCTCTGCTCTTCGATCTGGACGGATGAGAAATAGTCCGTGTGATTCACGTGCGTACATTTCGCCTCCGTTTTCAGTCTGTCAGTGCCGCGTTTGGCACACCAAAACCGGGCTTTTTCGTTTCTATAATTAGACAAAAAAAAATCTATTTAATGTTATTATACCATTTCTGGAGTTATTATTTCTGCTTCTTAATATTTTCTCACTAACACAGTAACCTTGCATTATTGAATTGGGCCTCTTCGACGTATAATAGTACATAAAATACTAATTCAGAACATGGTCACGTGACCATGGAGAGGAACGTTTCCCCCCGGCCGGCCGGCCGTCAGATCCTAACGCTCCGCCTCAACTGATGGCGCGTAGGCCGTGAAGTTTATATTGTCGTTTTTAGAGCAAACAAAATCACAGGCGTTTTTTTCCTGGCGACTGGGCCGTCGGAAACTGAAATCGGCGCGGAATACAGAGCACCCAAAGTAAAAAAACCAACCAATAATCAATAAGGTCCTTATCGGTTTTGGTTTGGTTTGAATAAACCAAAAACCAAACCCATAATTTGAGAAGTTAAAAAATGGAGTAAGAAAAGACGGAGAATTCAAAATCAAACGGACATCGCCTGTCCAGCAATATCCTATTAGCGAAACAACGTAAACCCCCGCATCGTTTACTTGGTCGGATTATCGTTGTAACTCGTAGCAATTCAACGCTGTGCAGGATAGGTTGTGCACAAGTCAAAGCCATCGTGCTATGTGACAATGAACTAATTTGTTGGTTCAAGTGAACCAGGAGAAGAGAATCAACTATCAAGTTGAGCTCCATTCCAATCCACACAAATAATAATGAAATAATAGAAGAAGATTCTCCTCCTCTGTAGTGTAAACGTCGGATTTATTAGCTGCACATTGCGAGATTTGTTGTGGACGGTTCACGGCTGGGCTCGGGGGCATTGGTGGTGGTTGGACTCATCTCCACTGGGCCCACAGGCCGTGCTGCGTGGAGCCCATCAGCTCGATTTTTTTCTTAACGGTGAGCTATGGGCTCGCGTGTCGCGATCCATCGCCATCTCCTCAGTCCGGATTTTTTTTGTGGAGCCCAGCTGCAGAGTGCAGTCTGGCCATTCTCCGTTCTTTGATTTGCTTTGTAGAGGAGAGGAGAAGAAGAGGGGAAAGGAAGAGGAAGGGGGGCTAGAATCCGTCGTTAGATCGATTTCTATCGTTGCGTCGGTTGAGTAAGTGGTATGATACGATGAGGGAACAATCGGTTTATGTCGGTTTAATAAAATATATATGTAGAAATATGAAAACCGTTAACAACAAATGAATTTAATGAAAATAACAAATACTCGTGTTTACATACAACATTTCACGTCGACATTCAAACATTTATGCTAAAATCCAATGAGACAAGAAACGTCATTGAGGCGATTCGAACACATGACCTCGCCTAATGGAAAGAGGTTACATGAACTCAGTCAAGTGCAATCTATTACGTACGGTACATAGGTGGTTGGCTGAAAACATATTGTAATTGTTTTACCAATCTGCTAGGTTAAAGCCACAAGCACGCGGCTATAAATACCTTTTTCGGCTTTCGCGTAGGAATTACAATGGAGTAAGGTAATCACACTTAACGATAGATACTTGTGTATTTATAATTTAAATAATAAGGTGTTTCGAGTTACAACTTGAAATACCAAGGTAAAACAGGACAGGACGATACAACATTATAAAGATCGACATATCAAACCGTTTCTCATTGCTCACAGATCAAATAATACCCGTCCAAAACATATATCGAGACTAATTCAGGATTACATAGTGATTACAATTTACATGTTTTTTTTACATTATTAATTTAATGACATTGTCAACAAATCAACAACATCGATAGGCTGTCTGTTGTTTTTTGTTCTTGAAAGGGAGACCCAAGGTTGGGGAATTGCTGGGAAATACACAACTGGATTTCCCATTGGCTGTAGTGGAATCAATCGAAGAACATGTCAAAACAGAATAAATTGACAGAATTGAAAGAAGAGGAACATGATACTTTTTTGAAGCTGAAGGTTTATTAATTAGCAGAGAAAAAAAAATCCCACTCAATTGCATTACAAAGCCCTAAAGTTATAATATATAAAGCTCGCGACAGCTGCAATTTTGTTTTTGCGTAGGAGAGAAAGGGATGTTGTGGAAGTTGAAAGACCAAGTTGTGTCCAAGTGTGAAGGAGATAGATCGATCATAGCTGGCCAGGAGAGACAAATAAGAGCCTCAAATATGATTTATGATACCACTGATCTTCAATGAAAGGCTGCAAATAATTATTTAACAAAAAAAATGGAGAGCTTTCCATTAACGTTTGTTATGCAAGGGGATCACCTTCGTATTAACTCGAATTTTGATACCTGTACTTATTTAGTACGTGGGTGTAAAAAAATTTCCATCATACATGCCATTTGTTACCACCCCCATTACCATTTTGGTAGTATCCGGTACCACCTTCGTATTAACTCGAATTTTGAATAATTTTGTTCAGAAAGAATGAGTTCATCGTGATCTATTGAATACATAAATTTATGTGGATAAAGATATCATGACCAAATATACCACCTTGCAGTGGCGAAGCCAGAAATTCGAACGAGTGGGGGGCAGACTTGAATTGTCGTAATTGTGGGAGGGGGTTAAAGCCTTACCGACAATTTTGATTTCGAAATTTGTGCAAATATTGCATGTAATTTTACCTATATTTCAAAGTTGGCGAGGTGTCACGGCCCCTCATAGCTTCAACCTAGCACCACACTGCCACCGTGGTATAAGGTGGTAACTGGTGGTAGAAGATGATGAAATGTGGTAAATGACAGTTAGTGTATTCTTATTATCATGTATACAAACATTCTAGTGTTCTACAATATGGTTTATTCATACCACCATTGGTACACTTCCATACCAAATGATATCATCTCGTGTACATACCAAGCTAGTACCACATGGTATGGACCGGTAATAAAAGTCTTTAACTTTTTCCCCCCAAAAGTTATCAAAGTGTATGTCATTTTGAAGAGCACAATTAATCTAATTTTTTAGCAAATTTTTAATATTTTGACTTAAAACGAAAGAGATATAACCGGCCCGTTAAAATTTATTCACAGAAAACTTGGTAATCTTTCCTGAATGATATAGCCTTAAATTTATACCTATACGTACACCCAGAAATTATGCACTTAAATCACTCTCGAACTATAAGTGAAAAGTCCTTTTTCCATAGATACTCTGATGTCTTTTAGAAATATCTATGGCGAAAATAATCTTGCACAATGGCATTCGTCCTTGAAGCTTTGATAATTCCCCTCAACTGCGACATCGTTTCATTATTCTCTTTTTCTTTCTTTTCGGCCTTCCAATGAGGCAACTCTGGACCCAATACGCACACGACGCCCGTCTCTCAAGTCTCAACCAAAGCTTTATGTGATGGTTTTTTCAGCTGTCTTCTTCTTCTTCTTCTTCTTCTACACTGTGCTGGTGTTTAGCTCTGAGTGGTTGGTCCTTCTTATCTAGTCGATTTGTCTTTTGTTCTTTCCTTCGTACTCCCTTCACTATCGATTGTGCAAATCATGGAGTTTATGTCACTTACTTATCATAAACATCAGTACACATCACAACAACGGTGAATATAAAACTTTCCACTTAAAAGTACTCTTATCGTGTTCCCTTGATCAACTCATTCGATTATGGGTAGGCTACGAGTGAATTATATATGGGATGGGTAATCGTCGGACAGATGAGAGTGTATATGAGATTTGCTTTCATATTTAATCTGGGTATAGGTCGATTCATTTCTTGTGCGTTGTATTAATCACCCCGAATATCTTCAAGACTAGACTATATGTCGATAACAGGAACTCTAAGTGATGGGTGCGCGTATCGTATTCTTTTTTTTAACTTTTTTATTGGGATAATATATTTAGTCATTGTGTTATTTAAAAGATTCGAACAGGTTTAAATCCCGTGATAATACCACTAGACAAAGACCTTGTCCGTCGTATTCATAAACAACATACACCTGATGAACAGGAATGGAAGCTAACATAGAGAAGAATATACCGCCTTGACTTGAACCCAACATTCTTAGAGCATCCCCATTGGTATTTGCTAATTGCAAATCATACACAACACACTCAAAATGCAATTGCAAAGGTGATTGGACCATTGTAGTGGGCACTTGCTAAGGCGCTAACTTGCATTAAATAAAATTGAAGATGCAAGCTACACCTACATATATGAAAAGAAAAAATGATAATTTATTTTATATTCCTTCCTTCATTAATTTTTTTTTTTTTTTGGTAAAGCATTAATTTTTATTTATTATAAAGTAACTTAAACACATATATATATATACAATTGCAAATTAATTATATTGATGTAGGATTGTATGTGCAATGAAATAAATTTGAGTTGAAATGCATAAAGTTTGAAATGACAAGCTCACTATGGAGTATGGAAGCTCTTTGTCTTGACTCTCATCTATTTATAGTAATCGAGAAAGGGCAAAGAATTGGGCTTCATGTTCATTCTGGTCCAGCGAGTCTTGCAAAAGCCCATTTTCAATTACAGAAATAAGGCCCATTTTCTTAGCACAGGCTTCAGACCAAGGCTTCGAAAAGCCCATCTGCCCCAAAATATCGATTTTGAGACAGCTAAAGTTGACCTTTTATAGGAAAAGGATGTATTTGACTAATTATTGGATGTCTCCGCATGACGAATAGGAATAACAATTTTGACTCATATTTTTCTAAATTACATGTAATTTTACTTAAAATTGTAAAACAGAAATGATCTGATTATGACATGTCCTAACTAGTTAGTCTCATGGATTTGATCCTTGGGATTTGGTTTTTTGGTTAACCAAACCGAAACGATTAAGAATCTTATCATGTTTTGACTAGCCCGAACCAACAAAATCCGTAATGGTTGTGGTTTTCATTTTTGAGAATTTCTCTTATTTGACTTTTCATGTTTAATGATCTGGTTAACCAAACCAAATGGAGAGCCATAATCACAACCATTATACTAATTGCAAGATTATCTCAAGCTACAAGTTTCCCCAACACACAGGGGTTTTATTTTTTATTTTATATTCACACGTGGCTCCCATTTCATTAATCTATTTTAATTGTTGCTTTCCCTCTACGTAATGATGATTTTTCGTATCTCTTTTTTTCATTAATAATTATTACTTCAAACATAAAGCAAAGCTCGTCATGATCATGAAAGAACACAAGGCGTACACAGTTCAGTTTGGTTGAGCTATATATGAATTAAGAAAGGGTTTTAGTTGCAATCGTTAATTAATTAATAATTAGCTCGACAATTTAGTTATAATCACTAGTTTAATCAAGTCGTTTAGCTTGAGCCGCCTAATTTGGCCACCTCGACTTCTCTTAGTTCATGTCATAATTCCTTTGGATTCGGTCTCGGCTCTAATTAACGTCCTTAACAATTTAATGATCTTTCATCTTGACAAAAAGAACTGAAAATTTGAACCAAGAAAACATAGCACACCACGTAAGAAAGTGGTAAAAGTCCTTACCTAAATATCTCTCAACAAGTTTTAGGTATGTCCCGTGACTATGATCCTAATGTCCAGACCGTTAGGTGGACGTCCTAACACGATCGACAACTGTTGGATGCATGTGTAGTGGCGGAGCCACATCAGTCCAAGGTGGGTCGGCTGTACCACTTCGACTTTGCAACACACGCGAAAGTTATTAGTAATAGGATGCAGGGAGGGGCTAATCGCTGATCTTCCTTTTACTCGAACGTACGTGTTTACACCGTTCGGCTGTGAGCCATTTAACAATTTACATTTTAGCATCTAATTTATTTACTCATGATCAGCAGTACCTAGTATCTACATAAACATGACCTCGCCGGTCTTTTATCACCCATCTCGCGATCCCTAATACAACCTCGTCCCCAAATTATCCAACCCATTGTCTTCTAATCTAATCGGACCACGACTAGGGAATTCCCACAAGTCATAACCTAAATCCAATAACTATGTCGGCTTGTCGAATGCTCGGTTTGCCCGCTTATCATAACTCGTCACTCGCCGTTCACATGGACGACCTATACCATCAATGAACCCATCTTAGCGAAATTCATGACTACGCCACTGCGCCAAATCAGAGTGCTAATGGCATGCACTACGACCCTCGCCAGATTTGGACTTGTTAGATAGTAGTACTGTAATCCCAAGTTGATGGGATCAGCTTGTACATATATATTTTTGCTTCAAATGGTCGATCGACAGACAGCTACTGATGTATACCAAACTCTTCTGCTTGTTGCATCAACTGTATCACTCGCACGTGATGCATTAGTCTTAACCTAAACGATAATGGCATGCATTAACAATTCCTAATCTTTGTGAGTTGTATTACACAATAGTCTTAACCTAAACGAAGATGTCTCGGCAAATGATGCATCGCATAATCTCGTCTTGTTAGATGTACTTCGATAGCATTAAGATGAAGCTAAGCCACTATACCAGAGTCTAGACCTTAGAATTGACAAGTGTATTACAAGATGCATGCTTTGTCTTTGGACATTTCGTATGACTGCTCTCTTCGTCGTGGATATTAAAGATGTAATCAAGATATATGAAATCATCGTGCTCATTTTGTATGGCTATATCGTGTTTTCTAATTAAGATATCAGAGTGGTTCTACTTACTATAAACAATTAAGAGCTCATTAGATAGATCATTTTTCCATGAAGGGCTGCTTCGTGAAAAAATCCCTTGCATGCCTACCTAGCTAGGGGCAGAGCTAGATGGGCTTTGGAAAATATGTCGAATCGAGATTTTTCATGCTCAATTTCATCACTACTAGATATCGTGTTTTCTCTGTCCCTACAGATCTATTGTACTTGAAGCCGTACGTTTGCTCGTGAGTTATGACCATGCAATCTGCTCGATCGTACGTATTTTTCGTCATTTTTGAACTCAGGAACGTAAATCATTTCAAGTACATGAAACTGAACCTTATTCAAGTGAAACCTATTGTATAATCACGTGTTTTCATCTTTAGATGGGCAGATACTAGATCGTGTTATCTCGCCAGCGACAGATCCAGGATAGGGTACCACACTAAGATCGTGTTATCTGTTTGATCGTGTTTTCATCTGTCTCTTTTAAACTCGTGATAAAAGTCATCTCAATTACATGAATCACGTTGGAAACAAAGTTCACTTTCAAGAAACATGACAATACAACCAGTGATATTTGAAACTATGCATAGGGTATAGTTTGATCCCCTCATATAAGTTACTCAATAATTCAAATATATGGGTCCTCCATATCCATTAACTTTGGATCCTCAGAAAGCTAGCTGCGAATTACCAAATTCTCTTCTGTGCATGTTGCGTCAACTAGCACAAATGTTACATAATGATGTAAAGTGTAAACCCGAAAAGGCGTAAAAAGGCCAAAAGAGAAAAGGAAAGAGAGAAGAGCTCGTCGGCAGAAAACTAACATGGTTGGATGTAGAAATGGCAATGGGCAGGTCCCGGACGGGTTTCTTGGTATCCAGACCTGTTCCGTGGCAGGTCGGGTCCAGGTCGGGTAATTTATCATGGGTTACGGGTCGGGGCAGGTCGACCCAATGGGTAAGTAATTTATATGAAAAATATTAGAAATGTTCGTTATTTTTATTATAAGACCATGGAAACAAACAATATTATGATAAATATAGTTAAATTATTGGAGAAATCGAGGTTTTCACTAATTTACAACTTTATTGCAGCTAAAATTTGATTTAGTAAAAGGAAAATCCTAAGTAATTTGACTAAAATTAAGTGTAATTTAGGCAAGAACGGGTCGAGAATGGGGCGGGTTAGGGCAGGTCGGGTCTATGAGAATACCCATGCCCGCCCCGTTCCACCTACGGGGCGGGTCGGACCCGCCCCAAAACAGGTCAAACAGGTCGGGTAAAACGGGTCAGGTCGAAATTGCCATCCCTATGGTAGTGCACTAGTGCTCTTATTTAGAGAGTTCATTTGGATGGAGAATTTTAGCCGATTAAATTTGATTGAGACAAATTCATCACTTTTACAACATAACATTTGGATGAAGCGATTTCTCTTCAGAGGTGGAATAGATAATTGAAAATGGCTCATTTTAATTATTTCGTGTTGTCTATCTCGTGTATATTTAGTCACTAGACCATGTGGTGTGATTGGCAAATGTCCCCCTCTTCTTTTGACGAAGATTGACATAGGTTTTTCTCATTCAAATATAAGACATTCACGTTGAACTAACGATTATACCACATGATCAAATTCTCATTCTAACGTTATTCATACTCGTTGTGAGTCGCAGTTATATAATTTTATGTAGGAGTCAAAATCACACATGACATAATAGAGAGGGAAGGTAAAACCTACTCAATTGTCAATACCATTTACATAAAAAAAAAAATCAAATTACAATCCCTACAATTGTCAACTGGTCCAGGTCTCTGTTCTAATCCGAGAACTGTTGCTTGCTCAACATCTTCCCTCTTCATCCTTTCTTCCGAAAAAATTATTCTTAAATATCGGTGATACCTTGGAGCGCTCCAAGGGTGAAGACAATCGTCGATATTCCCTTTTTTTTTTCCCAACAGACTTTGTGTTCGTGACCATTACCACCAACCAATATCCTTCCTTCGCAATTCTCCTCTTTTATCCCCGGCCATTCGACGACTGCCTCTCCGGTGATCGGAGATTCCCTTTTGTTGACTGCCTCACCGTTTCAAATTTCCGACGAATTGAGGATCTCGTCGGAGTATTCTCCATCATTGGTAAAGCATCCTTCCCTTTTTTCATTTCCCCCCCTTTTGGCTGCGCGTGTTCGGATTCCGGTGCTTAGATTCTGGAAATTGAGAATAGGGTATTGGCTTCCTTTTGTCGAAAGAATCGAAAGTTGATCGCTTTTTTGTTTTCTCTGCGGGGGCTGATTTGGGTTGGCGTTTGATCGGAATAGTGAGGAGAAAGGTTTCAATGCTGGCTGAGAAGCTCCGGGATTGGGAAATGAGCTGCCGTGCCTGATGACGAAGGTAAAGAGGAAAGTCGGGAAGTATGAGGTCGGCCGGACGATCGGCGAAGGGAATTTCGCCAAGGTCAAGTTTGCTCGGAACCAGGAGACTGGTGAAAGCGTCGCCATTAAAGTGATGGCCAAATCCACCATTCTCAAAAACAAAATGGCTGATCAGGTGCTCTATCATTCTCCCTCAGCTTGTGCATATGGTATTGAGTATTGGCAATTCTTTTGCTGAGTGAATGGGAGGGGAGGAATGGGATGGAAAGATAACTCCTTTTTTTAGCTTTACTATGTGTTTCTACTTGATGAAGAAGTGTTCTAGCTTGAGCAGGATAGACTTTATTCTTGTACTCTCTTTTTGATTTTTCAATGAGAATGGCTGGTTTTGGGGTTTCAGATTAAAAGAGAGATATCGATCATGAAGATTGTCAGACATCCTAATATTGTTAGGTTGCATGAGGTATTCTCTTCAACACAGCCCATTTGGTGATGAGTTCATTTTAGCAATGGAACCTTTAAGTAGTCGTGCTACTTCCCTGTGTCCCCTTCTGGTAAAGTAAGTAACTTTTTGTTATATGCAATACTGTTCTTCTGTTTGTAATTAGGTTTTGGCAGGTCGGACGAAGATATATATCATTCTTGAGTTCGTTACCGGAGGAGAACTGTTTGATAGAATTGTAAGCATCTTTTCTACCTGCTTCTTTGCTCTTTCTTCTTTGCCTTATCATTGTCAGTGCAGCCCTATGAACAAACCCCTGTTAGCTTGGTGTTGTTTTCCAAGAAGTTTGAAATGTGGTTGTTGCTCCAATAGCTAATCATAACATGTTCAGAGGCTAATTGGCATTTTTTCCTTGGATGGACTTTCAGGTCCACCAAGGAAGGCTTAAAGAGCACGAGGCAAGACGATACTTTCAACAGCTTATAGATGCAGTGGACCACTGTCATAGTAAGGGTGTGTACCACAGAGATCTTAAGGTGAACAACTGTATGTAAAAATTAACTTCCTCTTTTAGCCAGTTTGAGTTAGATGTTCTGAGACCAATCAGGAAATTTTCACTCTTGTGTAGCCTGAAAACCTTCTTCTTGATGCTGCCGGGAATTTGAAGGTCTCTGACTTTGGATTGAGTGCGTTGCCTCAGGATGTAAGTAGCCAGTTACTAGCTTAATCTGTCAGTGGGTTTTGTCTAGTTAATTCACCGCAACCAATCCGTTAGAACCTTCATCTGTGATGCAGGGTGTTGATATTCTCCATACTACCTGTGGTACACCGAATTATGTTGCCCCGGAGGTACTCTTCTAACCAAACATGAAATATATGTTTTAACTCACCACTTGATGTTTTTCCTTTTCATTCTAGTCAAGGACTAAGTGTTGTCTCCACGGTTGTGTGGTTTGTCGCTTATGCAAAGCTCTTTGGGAGTTATTCCACTATTAATATCATTTCCAAAAGTTGGTCGGTTGTTTCAGGAGTCGCTTAGATTTTTGACATTGAGGAACTGTATTTCAGGTGCTCAGCCACCAAGGTTATGATGGGGCAGCTGCCGACATATGGTCATGTGGAGTAATCCTCTATGTTCTGATGGCTGGATATCTTCCATTTGATGAGACAGACCTTCCAACTTTGTTCAAGAAGGTTAGGTTCTACTTTCATTTTCTTGGTACAGCTGAGTGGGTTTCCGGATTTATTAGGTACTTTGTGTTTGAGATTGATTGTTCTCGAAGAAACAGGATACACACATTCGTCTTTTGGCTAGTTATAAAGTTCAGCACTGCATATTTTGATGCCAAACATATACTATGGGTGTAAATTAACTGCTGCATAAATTTTGGTGATTACGTAATTTCCTTGTGAAGTTGTACCTGTATCTCGATCTAGTAGGGGGCATGACTTATCAACCAAGCGTTTCAGGATTGCCGTTTCGTATATAAAGATAAAATTGTTCATCTTTTTGTTCATTTGCAGATAAATGCTGCAGAATTCACTTGTCCTTTTTGGTTTTCTCCAGATGCAAAGGCCCTGATAGATAAGATACTTACTCCCAATCCGAAAAAAGTGAGTACTGTTTCTTTTAGTCAAATGATTGTTTCTTCATGTACATAGCCAGTTCTTAAATTGCTGCTCTCCTCAAGCTGCATGGTTAATGCACACTTTAATCATTGTTGTTAAGATTGTCTCTGTATCAGTTTTCATGTTATCACAAGAGGTCAACCTTCCAGGTTCATGACTGTAGTCGTAATTTACCATCTTTTGCATATGTAGGTAGTCATAATAGCCCATTTGTAAGAGCATGTTTTTTTTTCTCTCTCTAAGCAATTACTCTAACACGCGCCAACAAGTCTAGCTATGGTTACATCCTGATAAAGCAATTGCTTATTAGTTTTGACTTTCAAATATCAATGCTGTGATGTGATTTAATTTTATGTATCTTTACTTCCTGCAGCGCATAAGGATAAAGGAAATTAGAAGAGATCCATGGTTTCGGAGGAACTACGTGCCTGTGAAACACACTGAAGAAGTGGAAGTGAATCTGGATGATATTCGTGCAGTCTTCGATGACATCGAGGTGGGTCAAACATGCTCACACCAGAATACTTGTGCAAGCCTTCATAACTCTGTTTTGCATCTTTCTCTAATTGTAGTGTTCTTCATATTACAGGACCAATATGTAGCAGAGAAATCAGAATGCAGTGACACTGGACCATTAATAATGAATGCCTTTGAAATGATTACCCTTTCCCAGGGGCTAAATCTATCAGCACTGTTTGACAGACACCAGGTATATATTTCACCACCACAGATATGTTGCTAGCATTCATTCTAATGAAGAGGTTTCACTCTGTTGAAAACTTCCTCAAAAATCGAATTCATGGAGTGCTGAAGTTTGAAAGCCTTGCTATCTCCACAAACTGGCCTTTTTTTTTTTTTTTGCTGCTGATGCTGAATCCATTACCTGAATCCATCAAAAAAAATTTCCATGGTCAGGACTATATAAAGAGGCAGACTCGTTGTGTATCCCGAAGACCAGCAAAGGATATAATCTCAACAGTCGAAGCAGTTGCTGTCTCATTTGGCCTCAAGGTTCATACTCGTGGTTACAAGGTCCAAGCTTTTCCTAACACTACCTCTACTTTCCATAAGCTTGATAGCATTGTTGTTCTGGGTCATGTTCACTTCCTGCCAAATCTGTATAATGGACTTCACATGATTAATAGGAGCTAGAAACTAAATTGCATAAACGAAGAAGAAAGGAAATGCAGCCGAAATAGTGTATCAGTTCTACACAAGCATCTGAAATAAGCCGATGTACTAAATAAAACTCCCTTGCAGATGAGGCTTGAAGGAATGTCAGCGAATAAGACCGGTCATTTAGCAGTGGTGTTGGAGGTACTTTTCGTTACAGGTTGCTGTCTCCTCCCTCCATCCTTTAGCGGATCTTAACCAGATTCATCCATTGTTTTATGCTCTGTAGGTTTACGAAGTAGCACCTTCACTGTTCATGATAGACGTGAGGAAGGCATCAGGGGAAACTCTCGAGTATCACAAGGTAGGCAGCTCTCAAATATGATAACATCTGCATCTAGTTAGTCTGCCTCTCTAATTGTATTTTCTAGAGACGATTAGAGTCAAATTCGATTTGTGATGGCGTTTGTGGTGTGCAGTTCTACAAGAACTTCTGTGCAAAGCTCGACGATATCATATGGAAGCCAGCAGAAGGAGCAAACTCAGGCCTGCTTCGAACGATGACTTGCTGATCCAGGGATGCCAGAATGGGGTTTTCTTGGGCGTGAAGCAACTAAACTATATATACGTAAATAGTCTCTCTACGTGCTCTGTTCGATCCTGAATTTTTGACAATCATGTTTCATCCTCTGCATACATCACCATGTCCTGTCTTCTGGAAAAAGATGAACTCCCAAAGCGTAGAACTACCACTCTGCCAGGAATGAGTAAATTGAGCTCTGGGTTTCTAGTGAATCTGCAAATCCCATGCAATCGAACAACTGACGAAAGAGTCTGTTTTGTTACCAAATATCAAATATGCACTCTGGATGAATGTAGAAGCATATCAGACTGAATTGGTACTCCTATCACTTTTGCAAGGATTGCATAAGCAAGCACACTACAAATTGGTCTCTGTCAACAAGTACAAATAAGATTGAGCTCAGACAACGAAAACACGATCACTTCAACCGAATCTAATTCCATGTCAACACGAGTATAATCTGTTTTGCTTCAGCAATGGTTTTACATGTATCTGTTGAAACGTCCATCACTCTGTCTTCATCCTCTACTCCTATACTCCCGATCATATCCCGTTTTATAATCTTCATATCTTTGAGTTGATGGCGCCAACACTTACGTCCGGTTTCGCAATGACTATCATAAGAATCTCTCATCATAAACTGGCGGCATATATGCTGTCAACAAATCAAAAAAACCCAACTCCATTATGAAGAACAAATGTATTGGTAAAAAAAAGACGGCTAAACAGCTGGGAACAAAACTATGGAGAGGAAGGAGCAATGCCCTAACGACAAAACTAGGGGGCAAAAATAGCTGAAATTGTCTTGATAAACTGTAAAACATCGTACCACGGGAGCTATTGAGCCGCCTCTCAATTTGAATGACGGTCGAGTGAAACTTAAATAACTTGGATGAAAATTCCAGAACAAGCCGTTAAAAAATGGAGTTCTGTCATAACCTGAGAAAGCCCAGAAGATTTTCACATGTTCGATTGTCGGAATATGCAAATCTTCATGAGGTTCTCTCCAAATGACCTGCATATAATATGTAAATAAAGCGACACGTTTTTTATCGAAGTGCAATTAGGTGAAAGATAAGTTCACATACCTTATGCTCTCGTATAAAATCGAATTCAAGAGTGAGGCGAAACCAAGATCGTGACAGAAGCTGCTGCTGCGTAAGAAATCTTCTCAAAGCGTGGAAATCGTTTCCATCCGCGTTAGAGCCAGAATATCGCACATCAACAACAGATCGACCAGCTTCTTTGCAGCAGCAGCAGCAGCAGATATCAGCAGCCTTACCTAACATCTCAAGAAACGGATCAATCCTTCCCGAGCAACTGAGACGACACAATTCCGAAGCATCCATGTCGATCACTCGCAGCTCGTTCCATGAAGACAGATCAACTTTGGAAAGCTTATCGTTGTTCACAATGTTCAGTCTGTGTACTGTGTCCAAACCTTTGAGGGAGAGTGACTCCAAAGATGGAGCCTTTGAAATCAGTTCATCAACCTTCCACCCTGCCCATTTGCATGCTTGATAAACTAGGACAGAGTAAAAAAAAACTTCGTTGCAAAAGGAAGATTGGAACTAATGAAACTAGCGGTTTAAAGTGGGTATGATTTGACAGCAAAAAAGAATGAATTCCTTACCGTTAGCTACAACTAGTTTTTTCAGGTTTGGCATCAACGACACCACAAAATCACCTCCCATCGGCGCTTCATAAATGAGCAGTTCTTCCAGGGAGTCGACCCCTGTAATCTCCAGATCCTCCACCGGGGATTCGTCAAACCGCAAGGATTTCAGGCTGGGAAGATTCCGAACCTGAACCCTACGAATCCCCACAATTGAAAACAGAGTCACCTCCTGTAACAGAGAGGCGCCGGCGATGATGCTGTTCAGAATTCGGCCGCCGTCGTGAGGGAAGGTGACTCGGGAGAGAAAGAGCTCCCTGAGGGAGCTGCCGAGGCCCGCGAATTGGGTATCTTTGAACTGATCGAAATTGCAGCCAATTCCAACAATTCGTCGAGGAAATCGGAGCAGAATTCTGCGGCCCACTCCTTTTGACTATTGAAACTGATTCTGACGGCTTGTATGGCGGTGGTGATCAGGGTATCGTCCCTGCTACTGCAGCTGAACTTTTTTTTGGCGGCGGCGGCGAATCTCTTCGCCGATTTCTTCGTTGCGAACTGGGTATCGTGGAATTCCAGGACCGGGTAAGATCGCCAGAGATTGGCCCATCTTTGAGACAGGACGCTGGTTTTCGCTGCTTCTTTTGAGGGTTCTACGCGAGTGAGGATGTTATTGATGACGTCGTCGGGTAACTCCGATATCCGGTCGACCTCTTCTTCGCCGGTCGGGATTTGGTTAGTTTCTCCATGGCCATTGGTCTCCAGGCGGCGGCGTTTCCCCATAGGTTAGGGACGGGTTGGAAGAAAGCTTGAAGAAGAAAACAGGGGATGGTTCCTAATTCAACCCTATATTATTAGGTTTTTGGGTTCTGGAGTTGGTAGCCCAAAGTTCCGATTAGTCGGAACTAATGCTGCCTAGGTCGGCCAATTGATCCTTCTACTTATTGAAAAAGGATTCTGTTAGTCAGACCCAATGCTCCATTGTCTCCGAGTCCGAAACGGCTACTTGGTTCTCAAAGGATCGTTCGGTGGCGCGGCTATCAACCGAATCAAATACTACTCGCGATACACGATCAACGATAATACTTGAGATGATCATTTCGTGTGGCATGCCTTCTTCGGAACACCTGAATCGAGCAATGACATGAACTTTTCGGAACCATGTTTAAGGACTAGAAAACAATACGCACCATGTTTTATTGAAGAGAGGGGCACGGTAACAAACCATGAACATAACATGGAAACTGTTCAAACTTCAAAGCAAACCCCCCCATAAGAAAGACAAACATCAAACATAAAGGCTTAAACATCAACATCAAGCAAGACACCACACGATGATTTGATCTTACAATGGAGCAGACAGACCGAATTTATTCTTTATTCATAAACATAGCAACACAAAAGAGACTTCATAACCTTAAACCAACAAAGTAAATTGAGAAAAGCTGTAGTCGATCTGAGTGACAGAAGCTTTAAAAACATCTGATGAAAGAGATTGCAGTCCAGCAGAAACCCAGAACAAAGAAACGATCGTCTAAACATGGCGATATTTGGATAGAGAGAGTCCCACTAGTTGAGACTCACAAACTAAGAACTGTCTTTTTTGTACTTTTGGATGAGGGGAAACTGTGTGGCTTTCTGGTGACTGTAAAGGGGAAACAATGGCTATGATCTATGGAAGGAGTAGGGGTGCCATAAACAGACTTGGTATAAGCCTGCAAAAAAAGAGGGCAGATGATGATGGGTGTGAGGAAAAAAGGAGTGATGATCTTAGCCACAGCTTCCCCTGTGAAACAACCAAAAAGCCTGTGGTTTGTTTTTCTTTTTCGGGTTTGGCTTGGTTTAGTAGCTAGGCCTATTCTGCTCTGGGTTAGCAGATTAGGCCAAAAACACGACCAAAAACTTTGCTGGATTCTGCTGCTGCTGCTGCTGGCTGCTGTGCTGACTGTGATCTACGAATCTACGACGAAACTGAAACGCGAACATACTGTGTTTCTCTCGATCTAGGACAGGATATCACATCTCCACAAGCTCTCCACTAAAACCTCGACTGTCTTGCTGCTGATGCCATTGCAGTGCTGTAGGTTCAACCCAACAAGAGTCCTCCCAATTCTCTTCAAACAAGTCAGTACCTTGCTTGACAAGTAACAGCAGCCGGACAACGAAAGCACCTGAATGTTGAGTTGATTGGCATTTGATAGGTACCCAATCCCTGCATCTGTAATCGCACACCTGGACACGTCGAGATCGCTGAGGAACATGCAGTGCTCCGCGATTGCAGCCAAGCTGGCGTCGGTGACCCTCCTGCAGCCGTCGAGGTTCAACACCTCGAGTGATCCACCGTGTAGCCTGGCCAACGTCGAGACCACTTCGTCGGACAAGCTCGAGCAGTCGCTGAGGTTGACCTTCTCTAGACAGGCGTTGCAGCTCCTCAGCAGCAGGAGAAGCCCTTCGTCAGTCACTCCATGAAGCCCGGACAATTCGAGTTGCTGGAGTCGAGGGCAGAGGTTGCCTACAAGAGCTAATCCGAGACTGCCGAACCCTGGGCAGTTCTTGATGGAGAGAGAGCGGAGTGAGCTGCATTGAGACAATGATGATAGTGAGAGCCCTGCTGTAGTATCCTTGATTCCCATGCACCTCACTAGGCTGAGTGATTTCAACTTGGCTCCACAGTTCGAGATTGCGCCGATGATTCCTGATTCTGTAACTCGGTTGCATTCTTCCAGCTGCAAGCTCTCGAGACAGCCTGCTGATCTGGTGAAACTCACCAACCCACTATCAGACACGAACGAACACTTGCGGAGGCAAATTTGTTTCAGGTTCGGGCAGCCCTTTGAGATGGCTTCCAGGCCGAGATCTGTTGTCCCCCTGCAAGAAGTGATCACCAAAGAAGCCAACTTTTCCAGTCCTTTAGCACTGCCCATGACCCAAAACCCCTTCTCGCTGACAAATTGGAGGCCAGTGAGGACCAGACTGGTGATAGACTTGCCGTAGTATCCAACTACTGCGAGAGAGAGATCTGTGATGTTTAAAGACTGAAGCTTGACCTTTGATATTGCTGTAGACGACGAGAATAGAGCTGATAGACCCTGGTCGCCAATGAGAGGGCAGTCCTTGATGGATAAAGATTGGAGCTTGGGACAGAACTTCGCAACAGCTTGTACCCCGGCATTGCCAATCCTCGAGCAAGATTCGATGCTCAAAGATGACAAATTAGGGCAGCTTCCAGCGATTGCAGCCAAACCCTCGTCGGTAATTGAAGGACAATGGCAAAGGTCGAGCTTTTCAATTGAATGGCACTCCTTTGCTATAGCAGACAACCCTTTGTCACTAACCCGAGGCACATTCCATAGAGAGAGTGTTCTGAGAGAAGGGCAGCCGCGAGCTATTGCTGATAGACCAAGATCAGTGACTCCATGACCAGAGGAGCTGCTGTTTCCACGAATGCAAAGCTTGCCAAGACCTCCCCGGCTGCTTGTCCCCACAGCAATGGCAGCAAGTCTCAAGTCGGTTGCTTTCTTCCCTTCCAATGACCTTGTGAGACACCCATCGAGCTCCTCCACGCTTTCACCGCTCGCCATCTCCACATCGCCGCAACCCGAGACCGGCTTGCAGATTTCGGATCTCCTGATGCTGCTCAACACCATGAGCCACTTCTTAGACACTGAAGCGCACGCGCCCCTCTCTTTGCCACCGGGGATTCGCCTGAGGATCTCGAAGAGACACTCTTCTGGGAGGACTTCGATTGATGGCTGCCTATTGCTTTCCTCGGAATTGAACGCAAATGAGGAGCTAATCCGAGCCCTCTTGCAGGCAGGGCTGTACACATCTCTAGCAATTGAACACAACTGTGCCAATTCCATGGGGTTTGAACGAAGTGAATACATCTCCCCGTCGCCTGAAAAAAGACCCAAAACAAACAACAACCCAGAACAAAATCAGCTCAAACTTCTCATTGGGGCATTTCAACAAACACAAGAATGCAAAAATAAATCAGACAGCTGAAATCCCCAATTTTTCTCAATACCCATCAAAGCTATCATCAATCAGATTGAGAAAATCAAAACAAATGATCAAGCAATAAAAAAAAAACCCAATTAGAGAAAAGAGCCCAGAAAGAAATAACTCACCATTACTGTAGTTAACAAGAGCAGGCATGATTGAACAATCCCAGAAACCCGTAAGAAGAAGAAGAAGAAGAAAATTCCTTGAAGAAGAACGAAACCACCGCAGAAACTTGAGAAAATCAACACCAGGAAGAGAACATACACCAGGATCAAAGAACCCAGAAAGCCTGAATGCATTCAAAAAGTGAAAAGCCGACAACTTGAAACCCCCTCTTCAAGAAGGGGGCAAAAAAAGGAAGAAGAGAAAGAACGAACACAGAGAGGAAGGGAGAGGTAGAAGAGGAAGAAGAAGGAGAATGAAGCTTTGGTACTCTCTACTCTGTTTCGAAAGAAGAATTTTTTCCGCAACTTTTTAAAGCAAACGGAATCATCGAAATGTATTTATATATCACAAAGGGAAATTAAACAAAAAGGAAAGAAAGAGAAAAATTCTGTGTGTGCTTACAGAGACAGCGATTGATGCAATGGCTCTACTCAGCTCGGCTTTCATGCATTGAATCCTTCCATGAACCTGAATATTTTTTTCATCCGGTCCAACCGTCCCGCCCCAATTTGCTCTATGGCTAGCTAACTCCTTTTACTAATTCTTTTCTTTGTAGTACATTATAAATTTCATATGCATATTGTGATTATATATAAGAGGTGATTAGAGATTAGTGATTAAGTTTCAAAGGTAACAGATTGATTAGATTCTTGAATAATGGGCAATACTGATTTTAGGTAATATATATTCTTTATTTTAATTAGTGTTTTGCTTAAATGCGATAAAGCCGGGTTGGATAAACCTTGTGTACAATTGAAATTGAGATTTACTTGGCATAAATACGAATCGAGAATTGAATTAAGAAGATATGGATTACTATGGCTTAGTGAATACCTGTGAGATAGCATACACACGAAGTAAGTTTTGATATTCTGGATAAACCTTGTGACTTGTTGACTTGATACTAAAAATGCGTGGATTTTCTTGCTATAAGTACGAATGAGAAATTAAATAAAAACTGATAATAAAATTAATATGGTTTAGGGAATATATAAAATATCATTCTCGAGTAATGCATTAATTTTTGTTACAATTTGTAATTTGTCAATTCCTGATACACATTGTGACCTTCATGACAATGCCTGGTAAAATGAACCTTGTGACCAGTTGATAGTGATACCAAATGTGTGTCGATCTTGCTATAAATAAAAATCAAAAATTGAATTCAAAAGATATGGTTTAGATAATACTAGGAGATAACATTAGCACTATACTAGTTTTATATTCTAGACAATTCCTGTTACCTGCTGATACTAAAAGTGCGCCGATTTTCTTGCTATAAGTATTATTCAACAGTTAATAAAAAATGATAGTGAATGAGTATGGTTATGTGGAATATTGGAAAATATTATTCCACAGTAGTACATTATTTTTAATTACAATATTTACATTAGTTCTCGTGACCCATTAATATCTTAAAATGTTGAAATTTTATTAATATATTATTGGTTTAAACATATAATAGGAACTAAATTCAAAAGATAATAAATGTTGATATGGTTTATCAAATATTAAGCGTATGGTTTACGAGTAATACATTAATTTTTTACCGTTGATACTTTTCGAACTCATGATAGACCTTGTAACCTATCAATACTTAAAGTGCACAAATTTCCTGAATACATCATGTCATAATTTTCTCATTCTAATTTTAACTCCATAATCTTAATTGTAACATGACATTTCTAATAGCAAACAGTATATCCCTCCGACATTTTCGGATAATGTATTAAATCGCTAGAAACACGTGTATTTGATTACAACAGATAGTTCACCAATTCTACCGATGAAAGAGAGCGTGACTTGTTAATAACATTAAATTAGAACCTTCCCATCTTAAAACATAAAAGTATGTACATTTTTTTCTAAGTAAATCAAACCACAACTTTCTGAAAATAGCTACCCAATGGAATTTTGGTTCCTAGTGTGCACAATAAATCAAACAATTCAATTTACATGGTATTGGTGGTGGGGGGTTGAATTTGGAAGTCTGACAAATAAGAACTTTTGCAAGTTGATTGAGCAAGTAGTGTTGTACATGGATGGACCAGAGCAGCAGAAGAAAAAATGGGTTGGCTGCTGGCTAGTGGGTTAAGCCAGGTGCATGAATGAATCAATGAATGTGCATTATATTTGGTTGGCTCTGGGTTGGGTGGACCTGGCTAATTTTGGTTCGAGTGAGTTGTTTCCATAAGTTAATATATTTGATTATAGTAATGGCAATTGGGGCAATTGGGAAGAGGGCCTTAGGGATTTGGGGGGCAGAATTAGTACTAATTAATCCATAATTTTGGATGAACTTGTGCCAGCTGCTCTTCGTGTTCTGTTTTTATAATTTGCTAATCCAAGTAATTAAACCAATTACCTACCCCTTTTGGGGTCTGGATTTGGTTTAGACTTTGTGCCGTTCTATTTTTTAAAACAACAGATTTGTGGCAATTTGATGGGCTTGTATTAATTATTGTATTTAGTTTGATTAAGTGTCCACTGATTGCGATCATGATGTAATTAGGGTTGATGTTTTCATGAGGAGCAGGAATGTTTATAATGGAGTTTGGGTAGGAATAGAAGTTTTTTTTTGTCCAGATGACTTAAGTGGTCTCACCTGTCTTTGACAAGTTGTTGGTTTAAAATTCTATTATCGATGGGGATGAATAATCGAAGATTTCAACTAGAGGAGACTAATTTTGAATTCGCCTTCTTCCTTTGTTTTTCTTTTGTGCCGGATTATGCATTTTTTTTAGATTGAACTATGCATTTGAGTACTTGTAAATCACATAATTAATCTCAATTACATCAAAACATTCAATCTCAAATACATAGGATGGCAAGTATGTGAAAATTCCCTCAAATTATAATGGGCAAACTTCATTTACAAAACACAATAAACAAAACGTATCCACCATATCATTATCATCGCTAGTGGGTATGTCATAATTGCTAATAAGTGCATGAAACAACTTCTAGATGGTCCTTCATGTTAATGTTGTCTTTAGTGTTAGTCAATGAAGCAATTAACATGATCCTTAGAGTTTTCTACACTAATCATACACCAATTAAGTTACATATCTAAGAGGAACACTTGATTTCCACTCCTTCATTGATTAGCATGATTAAGTAATTTATAGGGCTGATTAATCGCGTGAGTCAGTTGAATTTCACCCACTTAATCAATCCACCTGGTAAATAGATTATCATAATGAAATGTTACGCCACATCGATTGGTCATAGAACGAATAAGATGAATTTCATCAAGCTAATTCATCTATATGATAGTGGAAGTGAAACATTACCCATCTATACCAAATTTGCAAGTGTCACTTACGACTCGTGCACAACTCATCCAATCATCCGGTTGGTTAACTAATCTAATTGAGGACTCCAAACCCACCTGGTAGAATCACCACCCGTCATTTTCACGAGTCATCTCCAAGTAACTCGATTAAACCCACAAGTCACCCAATCTACTAACCAATCCTACATTATCATGAATTTCAAGTTGTAATTAGGAAAGCTTCCCCAAGAACATTACATAACTAACTTATAGTTCATGTTAAAAGTAATTCTCTATGGATGAACCAATGAAGAAGTCAAACCAATACCTTCTTCAGGGTTTCCATTACTAGTCCTTCTTTCACCAATCTCCATAGGTCAAAAAATTTGGTTCCTTCCCCACACAACAATGCATAAAGTTTCCATCTTTGATCTTCCTACCAAGAGACAGCGAAATTTCTCTGCGGTTTTCACTTCTTTAATGTTTTATTTGGGAAATTTTTGGATCAATCTTGGTTTGCAATTTACGACATTGACTACATCTTTAGGAAAGGGAAAATGGGTCTTTGAAAGGTGTAGAGAGAGAGAGAGAGAGAGAGAGAGAGAGAGAGAGAGGTTCATTGTTTGCCACTTTGGTTCACTTGTCTTGGACAAATTGGGGATGTGATGTAAAATATGTACACTGCATTGAGCAATTTTGTTTTTTCCTTTGTAGGGTCACATAATATTCCTTCTTCATTCCTATCACTCCATTTTTGTTTCTTCTTCAGCTTGTTGCCTTAAGGGCCCATACCCTCTCAAAAGGGTTGAAAATATGGGATGACAATTTCGTTTTCATCATAAAAAATGGATTTGATTTGGGTTTGGGTTAGGATCAATGCATCTTAATGTTCATGTTGGATACATCTCCAGATGGGATTTAGGAAAATTGATAGGTAGAGTCGTTGGGATGTGTGATTTGACTTGTAAAATTTGATTTCGTATCTTTAAATTGAAAAAATTGACATCTTTTTTGTTTGTTTCATTCAGAGAATCCGACCGTTCTTTTAATTGAAGAATTATTTCATGAATTGAAAGAATTACAAATCAATTCGTAAATTAGTTGACTCGATATATCTGAGATTTATTTGAACTGAATTAACCTGTGTATTCTTATTCATTTTTAGATACATAAATTATCCTTAACAAATATGATATATAACCTTTTTTGCTTTGTAAACATGGTATTCTTTTGAGGCGAAAAATAAAAAAAGATTGAGAAGTCATTATTTGTTAAAGAAAAAAAAATGTGTTTGTTTGTAGCTAGTCATTATTTGATGAAAATGAGAACACAACAAAAATTTTGGGACGAAGAAGAGGTTGAAAAATTCGAGGAGTAAAGGAAAATTTACGAGGATAGTTTGGAGAATACAAAACGAAAAGGAAAATAACATGTACGTCAACCTCCAAGTTAAAAAAAAGAAGTGAGCATATACTAATACATTTCTCAATCAAACAAACTCCCGAGAAAAGTTCATTCACTTCAAATCAAACAAATAAAAGATACCTATCTCTAAATCTCTTGCAGACCACAAATTTCACCCAATTATATCTCCATGTTATCGAAATTTACATATTTACAAGTCATGCCTCCAAACAACCAACCCCTTATTTGCATCTCATTTGAAGAAAAAAAAAACAAGATCTCAAAACTTCCTTCACAGGACAGACAAGCCAACTTATGTGTTCGAAACTGATTCGACTTTTCATATGAAAGGTGGTTGTTTTGCTCTTTAACTTCATCGAAGAAGTGTTAAAATTTTTTGCAAAAAAAAAAAAAAAAGAAGTGTTAAAATTCCTCCTCAGAAATAAACACCCTTGATTCCTTACCAAGTAACCATATTCTTTAGTAATAAGTTAGGCCGTCTTCTAGATTAAAAAAAAATTTAATTACTTTACTTGTGATTGTGGTAATAACTACAAAATTAGGTCAAAATCCCAACAGAAACAGCTGCCCATTTTGGTCCCCGACAAGATTAATTACCAGCCTTAGCTATAGGCTACTTCACGTAACCTTATTTCTTACTTCATGAATTGTTAATTCCTAGTGCCAAATTGAGAGTAGTTTAATTTTCCATTATATATATGTCGTGCATCATCTCCTCATCTTCTTTCCATCTGGTCTTTCATTTCTTCTACTTCAACTTGCAAGAGTTATGCTTGAAGACTCTTCCACGACCATAGTTTTAGTTTCTCTTGCATAGAACATATATATCAAGAAAATGAATGAACATTTTGGGTACTAATTGGGACTCAACTGGCATGACCGATATGCGTATTGGGTTGGATCCAAATGAACTCATATGCACTCTTAATGGATTTGAATTAGGCTTCAATTATGTCCTATTTGGACAAATTTATTTGGGATAAACCCAAACGAATCTAGAAAGTAAAAGCTCGGCGAATCAACACAGATGGATCGGTGGCGTTGGGACAGCAAAGCTCGGCGGCAGGTGGCGTTATACGTGGGGAGGATGGTAGATTCTTAGGCGCTTTTGCCATGAATCTGGGAGAGGGCTCGGTTACTCGAGCCGAACTGATGGGCATTATTCAGGGTTTGCAATGCGCGTGGGAGCTTGGAGTTAGGAAAGCAGTCCTCCAAACGGACTCAAAGGCGGCGGTGGAGCTCATAAGTTCTGCTAGCTCACTTCATCCCCACTACCAGCTTGTGCTTCAAGTGCGAAGATTGAGAGAGCGACAATGGGAAACTGAAATTGAGCATGTCTTTCGGGAGGGGAACGTCGCGGCTGACTTCTTGGCGTCAACGGGGCACTCCCTGCCCTTGGGAGTTCACTTGATTTCGATCCCGTCTCCTCTTCTTAATTTCTGGTTGCTGTACGACCTGGAGGGGAATCAAAGCCCCAGGCTCATTTCTAGTGGATAGGTTGGGCGCCCTTTAGCGCCCGTTGCTCACAAAAAAAAAAGTAAAAAATTACATTATAATTGAATACCTATTTTCTTTTAAAGTTACAATATAAAAGGTTTAATTTAGACTCAAACTAAAATATCAAATATGATTATGCCCAAAAGAAAAAATACACAAATTTAATTCGACCCGAATATTGAGTTCTTTTTGCCGTCCCTAATTTTCACGAAGAGAGGGTCGGTCACATGCATGATTGTTGTCGTTTTAATCAAGTGTACATGAAGCTATCAAATGAAACACGATTACGTGGTCGACATTTGGGACGAAATAATTAAAAGGGAATCGGTTGGTTAGGTGAATGAATTTGTGAAACGAGAATTTGAAAAAAAGGGGATCATGTTCATGGAATCCTAATTAAACGCTTTGGTCCCCATTGATCCCCTTTTTCTTTTCAGGTAGGTTAGTGTTGTATGGACTACGGATATGTCGACTTAATTATAATTATCTGTTATTAGCAGAGACTAATCTTACGTAAGAAATGCTTCTATTCTCCTCCTTTCTTGCACTATATAGTGCTTTTAAGTACTTAAGTTACGTTATCTAAGCCAAAAGTACATGATTGACCTGATCCAATATTAATAGCTGATTAAATCTCGAGGTATGATTGACATCTGCAAACTTTAAGATGATGAGTCTGGCTTTCGCGAGACTACTTGATTTATGATAAATTGAGTTCTTGGGGAACTAATGCATACTTTATTATATGATATTAGAGTTTTTGATAGAAAGTTTTTCGTGTTTAAACTATGTATCATTGCTCTCAATACTGATTGTTGATTTAATTATAAGGTATGATAACTTTACACAAATTTCAAGCCTATATGTGACAAGAGCTCTCTACATGATACAACAACGCCCGAAAAAGCATATAACAATTAGCAAGGCCCTAACCCCTACACCGACCGTCAGAATCCAAAATAGATATATCGAGTTTCATATCTCGACCTTGCCTCGCTCACAGTTCTGACTCCGCGACTGTAACCAGAGTACTCCAGAAAGCCCTACTTGTTACTTCCTCCACATACATATTGAAATCATGACAATTTGCAAAGTCACATCAAACGGATGCAATGAACATGTAATCGATGATGATCAAGATCGGCCCATGATCATTTCAACAGTATTCACTATATTCTATGGGTAATTCAACCTCTGCACTTTCTCTCCTCTCCCTATCTATCTATCTTTCTTTCTTCATTTTTGTTCAAAGATGACGGTAGAGCCCTAATGATGCTTTTAACCAAGAAAATAAAACAAAAAACCCAACCGCAAACATTGATATAACCAACAATTTGTCTTAGTGTTGATGGTGAAAATTTTGTGTGGATGAAGATGTGCCATGAAGTTAATGAAAGTTGACGAATGTCACTAATGACTTCCATCTTTTCAAATAACGTTGTTCAATTTTTCTTGTGAGTTGGTTATCCCTTTTGGTAACGAGTTTTCGTGAGATACCTTGACATGACAACCATTCATTACGTACCATAAAAGTTTTTTTATAGTATATATGTTGGATGATAATCATGATGTTAGATAGTACCATTTATTTAACAAATGGAATGGTATACAAGATATTAATTAGTATGTATCATTCACTTATGAATTGGATGCATGCTACAATAATAAAAAGATGACACTATCTATTTAAGAGTTGGATAGTATTCATGATCATTGGACGACACTCGGAGTACACTAAATGGTCATCTCACATTCAGTTTATCATCCACACAACAAAAAAACATGTGTATACATGCGTATGGCAAGGACTAAAGTATGATATATATACATCTGCGCGTGTCCGCTTTGGGCCAAATCCGTACGAATTTACTCTTGGGTGTCCTCCCCAAAATACCTCGTACAAATTGGGCTAGATGGATACTAATATACGAGAGTCATTTCCTTTATGGTATTTGAATTGTCTCATAACAACTTGATCGATATATGAGTACGTACAGCTGCTCGAGCGTTGAATCAAAGAGATTGATATAGCAAATCAAGAGAGCACGTATCCTTATTAATAACATGCCATGCATGATAACAACGAGCCAAAGAACAGAAACCAAAGAAGATTTTGTGGGTGGGTGGATCTTGGGAATGGGGGGAAGATCAAAGAGATACGATCGAACCGAAACAAATCACGGTTGTAAAAATTAGGATTTGATCAGTTGACCAGCCGAGCTGGCAGTTTCAAAGCCAGGAAATGTACATGGACGGCTCGGCCAATATACATAAATATAATCCATAAGGATTAATGAGCCAGCAAAGAAACCGGCCGGCCGGAAAAAGATTTCGATCCATAGTGCCAAACATCAAATTCGATTTCATTACCAAAATTAAAATATTACACTTTTATGTATGTATAGCCTCCACATTTATACACATTCATGACTCAAAACGGCAGAACTATAATATTACAGTTTTAGAAAAATGCTGAATAAAATTAAATGATTGGATAGAGATATATTATATATATTTTAGAAGCAGAATTTTCAGGGACATAATGTCTAGACTATTGCCTTCTTTCTCTGCATTTTGATGGATCTATTTGAGACACGTGCAGCTAACGTGAATTTGTTGGGGCTCTGCCCAGATCTCTAATTATAAATATTTAATCTCAATTAGTTAATTATGGTTAACTCTACTACATTATATATTAAAATTGTCTTCTCTGTGACATCATAAAATGCCTTAATTAATTTACCGACTAGTCTACGAACAAAGAATGCAATGGTGCTGGTCAAAATTTGCAACGCCGGCCGGAGCTCTACACCTGTCTTCACTACCTGTATTTCGACTGACGGTAATCGTTATTTATGTGATTATACATGGCTAATTAGCATAAATGGTAACAAACCTTTGCACTTAGTACAAAATGGTCACAAACCTTTAATTTGTAACAATACGGTAACAAAACTTTGAAATTGTATAAAATGGTCACCGCTATTTAATTTATGACCGTTTTGTTTTAAGTGCAAAGATTTGTTACCGAATCGTTACAAATTAAATATTGGTCATGTTTTGAGGTAGGGTAGTTTGTTCGTTAAGTATATGACACTAACCACTTGAACGACATATAAGATGTCATGTCATGTGTTCATCCACATATTTGCTTTGACGAATAAGAATGCCCTCAATTGACCTTTCAATTTCGATACCAAGAAAGTAAGAAAGTAGACATAGTTTTTTCAACTAAAAAGCAGTCTGGAACCCGTTTGTGAGCCATTGAGTTCTCTCATTGTCATCCTAAACAACATAATATCATTCACATACATTAACAAAACCACCATACAACTAGAGTGAATTGTGACGGTGATTGAGCGTTCAAACTTTTGAACTTAATTTGTACAAAACGGTCACCAAAAGTCTAATTTGCAACGACACGGTAACAAAAGTTTGAACTGGTATGAAATGGTCACACTGTTTAATTTGTGACCGTTTTGTTCTAAGTAAATAAGTTTTGTTATTAAATGATTACAAATTAAAGGTTTGTGACTGTTTTGTACTAAGTGCAAAGATTTGTGACCATTTATGCTAATTAGCCGATTATACATTGACAAGATCGAACATATATACAATATTAACGTACGTAGTATATATACTTATCGAACCCAACATTTTTCATTCACCATGATGTTTTTTTTAGTTTCGATTGACTCGTATCATATCGATCCAACATTTTACGAACAGTATTGCCGATTAGGGAAGTGGCTTCTGATCTTAGACATTAGAGAATGGAGTTTCGCATTCCGGGGGAACGAACAATATTTGCTCATAAATTGGCTCATTTTTGTAATGGATAGTGAAGAAATTGTAGTTTGGGAACATTGTTTTACCCCGCAGTGGTAGCTGATGTTGTAGCCCATGAGGCATTCTCTACTTGATTTCAATGAAATTACATTGGTTTACCCTAAAGAAGAAAAAAAACTGTCTTCCTCCTACAACAATGTCACAATTCTCGAGAGTAAACAATTAGTTAAATACCATGTTGACCTGAACACTATCCCTTTTTATCCCACTAGTTTGCCCTAATTCAAATCTGGGACACTATTATTATTAATAAATATAATTTTTCATTAGACTATAACTTTTTTGTTGTTCTATTCTAAACACTGTGTACTAGAAAACCCCAAATTTTTTTATCTTTAATTATTTTCAAAACCTGACAATTAATCTAATTACAAAGTTACCCTTAATTTGTATTAATTTTATAGTTGTACGAAAAGTGTTGAAAGTGTTTTTTCCAGTTTTGAGTTACATCAATAACAAATTTATAAGTCCAATATGCCTCACTTCGTGAATGATTGCCTTATCCGATATACCGAGAAACCAGAAGGGAGATAAGGATTAGAAACCAGACCACAAACAGAAATGGAGCGAATATATAGTTGTACAGTGTCTGCATCTCAACTTCTTCTTCTTCCCGGTTAAGTTCAGCTCAAAAGAGCAAAGCCTGCAAACATAACAAAATTCTCAAGCAAATAGCCAAAGACGAGAGACATGTACCAGCTTTCCTAGCTTACTCATTTTCATCAAAAAATAGATTGAGCAGAGGTAAGTAGCCGTTATTGAGGGAGTCACTGGTCCAAGTACTGAGGGAGTTTTCGATGCAGCTCTCAACGAACCCAAAAGCTTCACATTCCTCCTCCGAATACAACTCGAGCAATTCCTCGTACCTTGGAATTACAGTAGGCCAGCAAGGGGCCTTCGACACGAAGACCGCCCAACGAGGAGCATCCACTCTTAGTTCAGAGTAAAACTCTAGCTCGCCACCCCTCCTCAAATCGCAGGACAAGATAGCGGCGGCTTCCCCAGATTCACAAGGAAAATGATGAAAGAAGACAATCTCTGGCTTCTCTGGATGCAGAAAAGAATAACGGATGCTCTCGAGTTCATAGTTACACCTCGATGTCTCGAGCAACCCTGGGCTTTCCAATGCATCTAGGAATGGAGCATCATTAACACCAAGGTCATAGTTACGAAACCTTGATATGTCGCAACTTGATGCCTTCAACACCCCTTCACATACTTTCCTCCAAGAACACCGGTCTCGTTCCAATCTCCACACGCTCGAGGCGACCCCCCTCGAACAACCAGGTGTGGGTGCTTCCTCGAGTACAAATACGTGCAGGGCACCATTCGAGACGGAAATATCCCACCACGGATTCGCAAAGAGAGGCGAGGCATCGATACTAGTGGGAGGCACGTCCAGGCGGAAAGGATCGAACACAGCAAGCCTTGGATTATACAAGCCAGCTTCTTCCTCTTGGGTGTCAAGGTAGCACCAAAACAACTCCCCATTGCAACACACTGCATTTCTCAAATGGAACCTGAGATGGGCATCAACAGAGACAGCCTCCTTCATCCATTCTCTACGCTCGGAACAGAACACGTCCATCTTCAGAGTATTCAGATGGTTGTACATACACACCACCCGGAATAGATACTCGGAATACACAGACACCTGCCCATCCCCAAGATCTAGACAATTCGAGATACAGGGTTCGCAAACTAACCTCGCAACCAATCCCGAGCTCCCGGTCGGCCACAGAGGCTGCAGAGGAAGCGGGAGCCATTGCTTCGTGAAAGGATTGCAGACAATGTACGATCTGTACACTTTAATGGCGTGTTCACGAGCATCCCAAGGAAAGCCGCACAAGAGCAAGTCACCGCAGGAATCCAAAACTACCAGACGCACTCCAGGAGGCGCGGGGACGAAGCTCTGGATGATGGATTCCGGGTCGTCTGAGGGAAGAATCAGAGGTGGTCGCAGCTCGCTGATGCTCTGGTGGTGAGAAACAAAACGGCGATTGAAGCTAGGGTTGGAGATCAGAGACCTCCAGCGCTTGCAGACGGCTTTGCTCTGCCAGGCGTATCTAGGGTTAGGGAGTCGAATGAAAATTTCTAAGAGGAGATCGTCCCCAAGTTGATTGATCATGGGGGAACGGACCCGCTGTTGCTTACTGGGTCGTGGCTCATAATCGGAATTGCAGATCTCGGTCGCCATGGCAACACCGCCGGAGGAGAGAAGATACGGTGGTTGTAGGTTTGTAGCCGACGACGAGCATTGGGGAAGAACATCTTATAAAGCCACTGACTAATCCTTCTTCTGTTCGGCTTCATTTTTTTTTTTTTTTTTTTGATAAACTGTTCGGCTTAATTAATCTCACCACCAAAATATTAAATTTCATGTTTTTTTACTACATCCGATGAGCCCAGATGGGCTACATGGATTGGGCCAGTGTTTGATGAAAGATGGGCTACATGAATAGGCCCAGTGTTTATGAGAGAATGTTCCAAGACTTGTTTAGTAGTAATGTGGGATGACTTATCCTATATTGCCATCTCCTTGTTATATTGTCTTCTCAGTCATCAATAATAATGTCCTTTGCTATGGAGATTGTCCTCGATTTGTCCTCATAGGGGTTTACTTATCCTATATTGTGACCAAGCGTCGATCTCAACTAGAGGAAATTGCAAATTTTTGTGCTCGATTATCGGATCCCTACCTAGTCATTGGAGATTTCAATAGCTCCTTATATCCCCTTGATAAAGCAGGAGGATCCCCATGGCGAATGGATAAAGCTCGTCCACTGTGGGACTTTGTCAATCTTTTAGGTCTATTTGAACCAAATTCCCAAGGTCGCAAATTTACTTGGACAAATCGGGGAAGGAATGGAGTCACGATTGAACAAAAAATAGATAGAGTCTACGTCTCTACATCCTGGATGAACATCTGGCCTTCGACGAGCATATATCATCTCACAGACAGAGGATCAGATCATAGGTTACTTTTCCTGCAGACACATCCTATGATGGCTAAAGCAAAGAGACTATTTCGTTTCGATCTCAGGTGGATCCAAATGCCGGAAGCTGAGTTAATAATCACTTATGCTTGGAATCTAGAGGTAGCAGGCTCAATTCAATACTGCCTATTTAGTAAGCTTCTGCGAACTAGACATGCGTTGGTTGGTTGGTCTAGAGGAGGAACGTCTAACTCAGCAAGGTTAATAAACGACCTAAACCGCGCACTAACAGAGGCTAGATCTAATGCTTTGGTAAACTGGGCCTTATTCAAATCATTGGAAAAAGAATTGATTGTCCAATATAATCGGGAAGAAATATTTTGGAGACAAAAATCCCGAACTAATTGGCTACAAGGTGGGGATCAAAATACCGCTTATTTCCATATAGTCACCGCAGCCAGACGACAAGCCAATACAATTTGGGGTCTGGAAAATTGCCAAGGGTTGTGGTGTACTGCAGAACACGAGAAATTGAACATTGCGGTGGATTTCTATAAAGATCTCTTTCTAACACAATGTATGTCCACAATTGACTTATCCCACCTCCCAGTAGAAAAAACAGTGGACGAGATCCAGAATCAAAGTCTCATCGCTCCAATAACTCAAGAAGAAATTAAGAAAGCGGTGTTCAGCATAGGCAAAACACAAGCCCCAGGCCCTGATGGATTTACAGCAGGCTTCTACCAAAATTATTGGGAGCTAATTAATCAAGATGTGATCCAAGCAGCATTGACTTTTTTCCATTCTGGGCATTTACTAAGGTCCTTCAACCGTATTTGGATATCTCTAGTCCCCAAGGTGAACAACGTAAAAACCATGAAAAACTTAAGGCCAATCAGTCTATGCCAAGTGATTTACAAAGTTATAGCAAAAATTTTGGCAGAGAGATTGAGTAGAGTGCTACCCAGGATCATATCCGAAACACAAAACGGATTTATATCAAAGGGCGTCAAATTTCTGATAACATCATGATCAGCCATGAAATGGTTCACCATCTCAAAACCTCAAAATCCAAGAAAAAAGGTGGATGGCAGTGAAGTTAGATATGGAGAAAGCATATGATCGTATAGAATGGCCTTTCTTGTTCGAAATGATGAGGATTCTTGGTATACATCCTAGATTCATTTCTTGGGTAAAAGAATGTGTCACCACAGTGTCATACTCGATTCTCATTAATGGTTCCCCATCAGAGTATTTTAGACCTTCAAGAGGACTAAGACAAGGAGATCCTCTATCGTCTCTCCTCTTCGCCATCTGTGCCGAAGGATTTTCTAGTATGATAAGGAAAGCTACCTCTGCAGGATACCTTGAAGGAGTCAGAATCCGCCCTAGTTGTCCGATAATTTCCCATCTATTTTTTGCGGACGACTCATACCTATTCTTATCCGCCTCGCCGGAGTATTGTACATCTCTCCTTTCCCTTCTACAGGCTTATGAGGATCTGAGCGGACAACGAATAAACTTAAACAAATCAGCCGTCCTTTTCAGTCACAATACAGACCCTTCCCAAGCTCAAATTATGGGAGCTCAATTGGGTGTTGGTACAATAGGAGAACAAGTTTCCTATTTAGGACTACCAGCCATCTTATCTAAATCAAAAAGAGAGACGTTCCAGTTCATGGAGGAGAAGCTTATTAAGAAACTACAAGGGTGGAAACAGCGATCACTTTCGAAAGCTGGGAAAGACATTCTTATTAGAACTTCGGCCACTAATATACCAGTACTAGGTATGTCATGTTTCAAGCTCCCAAAGGAAAATTGTACGCGCTTAAACAGTCATATCGCAAAATTTTGGTGGGGTACGGCACAAAATTCAGAACACGCAATCCACTGCCTGTCTTGGAAAAGCCTAGCTCATAGCAAGTTCCATGGAGGTCTTTGATTCAGGGACTTTGAAGCCTTCAATCAAGCGTTGTTAGCTAAACAATGTTGGAGAATATGGACCAATCCAAATTCATTAATCTCCCAAATATATAAGGGTCGCTACTTCACCCAATGCTCGGTGTTGGAAGCATCAATTGGTTCAAACCCTTCGTGGGGGTGGAGAAGCCTACTCTTTGGAAGAGATCTGCTCCTACAGGGACTAAGATGGCAAATAGGTAATGGCCATAGAACCCGAGCATTCATTGATAAATGGGTTCCGGAAGATAAACCCTCAACCCCAAGTACTCGGCCCCATATTCAAAATGGATCACCTATGGTATCTTATTTCATAAAAGAAGGCCGAGGGGAATGGGACGTTTCAAAACTCAAGATTGCTTTGAACCTCAATCGGTCAATCTCATAAGGAAAATTCCTCTTCCTCGGTACCCACAGCAGGACATTAGAGTGTGGCATTATTCCAAAGATGGAAAATACACTGTAAAATCGGGTTATCACTTAGCTCTGGAAATAACATTAGCATCAAGTCGAAAACCGATAGTGCATATCATCGATCCTCCAATTTGGAAAAAGATTTGGAATATCCAAGTTCCGCCTAAACTCAAGTTCTTCATATGGCAATGCCTCAAAGTCATACTACCTACAGTAGTGGCCCTTCATTCTCGTGGAGTAAACTGTCTTAAACGATGCCCTGTCTGCTGGAGACATAGAGAAAGTATTGAACATCTATTCTTCAGATGCCCCCTAGCCATCAGATTGTGGACTTTAGTGGGATTGAGCAACTTTATTGAGACCGCCCAAACTGTTAATTAAGTCTATGGTGGCGTCATGTCATGGTCTCCGAGACCTCCCCATTCCACATTCTCCAATGCGTTTGTTTACTTTGGAGAATCTGGAAGTCTAGAAATGAAGTGACCTTTGAATTTACCCAACCTCATGTCCGTTCCCTAGCCAGACAGTTCTACAACCAGGTCCTCAAATTCTCCAGTCTTCTTCCCCCCCCCCCTCCCGCAGCTCTCTACCACCAATCTTGCCTGCCACCACTTGGGTCCCTCCTCCAGAAGGTTTTTTGAAGATCAACGTCGACGCAGCCGTCAGTGCCTCCGGGTGTTCGTCTGGGCTTGTTATCCACGGGTCAGACGGGCATGTGTTGTTGGCGATCGGGTTGCAGCATCAAGGTATAGTCAACCCTTACCTGGCTGAGCTGCTAGCGCTCAGGGATGCTATTTCCTTTGTGGCCTCAAGATCCTTGACCCATGTGATAGTAGAAGGTGATTCCGAAGTGGTCGTCAAGCAAGTCCGTCAAGGCGTCTCAGAAGACTCGATTGGTGGTCCGGTGCTTCGAGAGTGTCTTCAGATCCTTAGCTCTTTGTCTGCTTGTATAGAGTTTAGGGCGGTACATAGATCCGCCAACAGTGCTGCCCATAGAGTGGCGCGTACAGCACTGCTTTTGTCTCTTGTAGAGCTAGAATCTTTTGATTTTTTGGGGTGGCTTCTTTAGAGTCTCTTAGGGGTCCTGGGTAGAATTGTAAGCTTAACTATTATTTCTCATTGATATCACTCGAAAAAAAAAAGTAATGTGGGATGACAACATGTGCTAAACACAAGTTTGAATTTTGGAGCAAACAATCAACGAGGGAAAAGAAAAAGAAGATATTAATATTAGTGCTGTTCGAGATTCATTACAAGTCGATTTGACATTTAGTGGTTAACTATTAAACAAAAATGTATATCGAAAATCAAAATGATAGCGATTCTCGATTAAATGTCTAGTATTGCTTGTGTTAACCGTTATTCCGTTAGTTTCATGGTTAATCACTAACCAATAACAACCTCCACATATGGAATTATTCTCTTGTATAATCTGTCTTCTTCAGTGGAGAGCGGATCAGTAGCTATCGCTGTGATCTTATCCATGACATCCGTTGGCAGCCATTGCTGGAAGAGCTCCACCCGCCATTGGTCGTCATTCATGTAAGCAGCTACTGGTTTTTGAGCCTCCATCTCCGGGATCGGCGACACTGCAACATCCTTCAGTGGTACCTGCAAAGCCCAAATGTCAGTCCAGAACTTGGTGTTCTTCCCATTTGAAATGTTCCAAGCACATTCTTTCCGGAGAGTAGGATTAGCTTTGGTTATGCTTTTCCAGGTAAAGGAACTTCCCTATTTCCCCTCGAGCATTGAAAGTCCTTCTCTATTCCGCCCGTACTTCCCCCGCACGACTTGAGTCCACAAAGTATCTTTCTCTTGCAGAACCCTCCATCCGCTTTTTGCCAGGAGCGTTGTATTTGAGTATCTTAGTGAACGAAGACCAGCTCCTCCATTCTCTTTCGGTTCGAGGAGCTTCTTCCATCCCACGAGGTGAGAGTGTTTCTTTAACATATATTAAAGCATTTTATTAACGGATTGTAATTAGTAATTACACTATGCAACTATCAATTGTTCGATTCCCTCTGCCGATGCACTCCAAAGTGCAAACCCCAGTCCCCAGCCTTCTTCCGTTTGAGTTTGCTTACTTTGCCTCCGCACTGACATAGGGCTTTCTCTACGCTCGGAGTTTGCTCAAAAATTCAACAGCAAAGCATGGATAATCACTTTTAAGAGTTCAAATTTATAATTTAGTCACCTAGATAAGATTAAGGAACTAATTAATTAGCTAACTATTTTACATTAGTAGGCTTGAACATTTATATATTACCATTATCATTCACCAATATGTTTATAAATATATGGTCCATACGAGCGTACATCCGTCCATTTTTGTTATTTAGATATTGAATTAGTTGGAGTTTGGAGTATAATATATCTAACTTATAATGGGTGAACTCAGTCTCCAATTTTTTTTTTAACTCAAATCATAAGATTCATTCAATCTGAAAATGAAAATTAACGGTTATGATTCATCAGAATTATTAATGTACACTTCTAATTTGTTGGAATTATCCGTGAACTGAGGCATGCACTAACTTTTGCCATATATATTATATTATAGTCTAAACAAGGTACAAACTCATTATTCAATTGGCAAAAAAGTTGATATGTATTAAAAATCTGTGGTATGTTATAATCGTTTGAGTTACAAGTATAAAAATAACAATATAAGAACTGGAGAAAATAAAATAAAATAAAATAAAATAAAATAAATACATGTCAAATTAATCCCGGGCAAAAAGCTAGTGGAATTTGTGAACGCTTTCCTTCTTCAAATCATTGGTGGTCCTGGATGAAATATTAGGGATGGACTCTTCTCTATACGAGCCTGTAAACACTTACCAAGCCCGAGCAAAAAGCCCAGCCGCAAAGAAGTTCGCGGCCCATGAAATTCTAGTATAAATATAAGCGGATAAGCTTGTAGAAAATATAATATTAAAACCATAAATAAAAAAAAAATATTAAAAGAAAGCATAGCAACTAACAAACTTTTCACTACTAAAACCGTTACATGAGCTCCGCCGCCTCAGGCCAACACTACAATTACCACCCTACCCCTCTCTTCGTCTGCTAAACTAATCCTCTTTGCGTTTTAACCTTTTTCTTTCTCTGTGGTCCCTTCTGAAACTTTCCCCAAATCCCCCCGTCCCCACTCCAATTACCACGTCACTCCGCCGATCAACCATGGCGGAGGAGAGCAGTCGTCGTCCGGTTCCTTCAGAATCTTCTCGCCGGATTTCTTCTGCAACCGGTCTTGCTCCACCAAGAATGTCCGAGGCCACCGGGAATGCTGCCAATACACGAATCTTCGGCGTTCTTCTCCAACCATTCTCCCCACCTGCTAGGTCGGCGGCCACCGGTCCTCATCGCCAGAATTCTACGGCGAGCAACACTGCTCCGCCTGGCCGCAATTCCTCTGCAGCTATCCTTCTTCCACGGTCGTCCTCCACCAACACTGCTTCTTGGGCACCCGTTCTTTCTCTCCCTCCTCGGCCTGCCCACAGCACAATCAACACTGCTCCGCCTGGCCGCAATTCCTCTGCAGCTATCCTTCTTCCACGGTCGTCCGCCACCAACACTGCTTCTTGGGCACCCGTTCTTTCTCTCCCTCCTCGGCCTGCCCACATCACAATCAACACCGCGCCGCCTGGGCCTGGCCGTCGTCCCTGTCCTCGGCCTGCTGGCACTGGGAACACAGCCAACAGCCTCATGAAAACCGCCATCATTGAGAAGATATTGGCGGAGGTGGAGGCTTCTCGGAGTTATGCCAGGTGGGTGGAGGAGTCCACCTCTCTTAGCCTCTCGGCAAGGCAGAATGCGATTGAGGTACAGAGCGAGATCACAGAAGAGTTGAAAGAATGGATCAGAGGATTGAAGCCTGAACGCCTTGCCAAGCTCTCAAGAATGTCGAGAGAGGGAATGCAGAACTTCGCCCAATCTCTCTACAAACGGCATCGTCGCCGTCGGCAAACTTACTCTTGTCCACCGGCAAAACGTCAGCGAGTTAACCCGGTAATTCCCCAATTCTTGATCTTTATTTGGTCACCGAAACATTGGATTACAGAGATTCTCCGTTTGGGTTCTCTCTCCCTACTTACACTTTCACAATCTTTGCAGATTGTAGATGCAGATGCTTCATCCCCTCCACCTATTGGTAAATTTTACTTCAGCAATGGTCACCTCAACCTCTCACCCAACTTAATTCATACTGATTTTGCAGCACCCTTTTAACTAATCTACATTCTTTCTTTCAGTTGATCAGAGATATGCTGCTGGCGCCGGTGATATTCCTGCTCCGACCAGGAGTCCTAAGACTCGGGATTTCCTGCATCTTATCGGTACTGAAGAAGCCCAAATGGAAGAGCGGCAGGAGGAGCCTCTAGGTCCTGATTTCTATCTCTAAACGCAGCCCACTAGACCCAATTGCCGCTGTTAAAAGCACGGTGCCAGGGCCCCTGTAACTAGCCCTTATACGAGTTTCTCTGAGTTCCTTTTGCCTTCGAAATGTACAGTCAGGGATGCCGGGTCGTAGTTGGTAATGGTTTTTTGGAAAGCCATTGATGACACATTGCTAGGTTTTCTGCTCACCAGAATGATAATGAGTAGTTCCTTTTCCCTTCGAAATGTACAGTCAGGGATGCTGGTTTGTAGTTGGTAATGTTTTTTTGGAAAGCCATTGATTACACATTGCTAGGCTGCCTGCTCACTAGAATGATAACACCCTAAGGTTTGCTGTTATTCAATGTCAACCATGTGTCCCTGTACCCTGTTTGAATTGGTATTTTGCTCTAGTCTGCGTTTCTGTGGTTGGTTTCTGCGTTTTGTGATCCTAGACTGCTATTGAGATCTCAACTCTTATGCTTGATTATGTGTTCATTTTCTTGGTCCTGCACCCTTCCAGTTCTTGCTGGTTTTTATTATCATGACATTCATAGATGAGCTATATGGTGGACCAGTGAAGGGTGAGACTTGTAAATAAACTTGAGAGGAATCAAATCTAGTAAAAGTAAACTATTTAGATGCTCTGATTTTCAAGCATATGTAGGGTCATCATCTTTGATCACATGTGTTAGAATTGAGCACATATGTAAGAACTGATTGCCTCAAGCATAGTCTAGTTAAGACTTAATTGACTCTCCTTGCTCTTGTGCTGATGTACAAATAGATTGTCAAGCACTAAATTGTGGTGAGCATTGAAGGCGTTGTGTTCTCTTCTAGTTTTTTCTTCTTCTGGAAATGGGTGATTTACACAGCACACATACATTGCTATGTAGAAGCTGATGGCCTTGCCTCAGCAAAACGGCTAAACCTCAAACCTCAGCAGCAGGTATGGATAAAAAAAACTCTTGCACATCGTTTTCACATGTGACCCGTTTACTGGGTTGGATTTGAGTAATGTTACCAGCCTTATGATTGCAAGAACCAATGCTGCTGCAACTGTCCATTGCTTCAGATTATAGCAGTGAATGGTCTTAAATGGCCAAAAAAAATTGAAGTTCCATGTACCCTTTGAACCTTGAGTTTTATACATCATTTTCTGGTTACATTTGCGGTTGACATATTTGTAGGAATCTTTCATATGAACCCTATCTACCTTAGCACAGTTCAGAAGTAGTACCTAGATGGCTCCTAAAGGTTCAGGATTTCTTTAATTTTGTGCTTTGTTCATCTTGCTGCCTAGGTGGTCTGCTCAGAGGCCAAGGTGCGTGTCAATATTCGGTTTTGAGTTAATAATATGTACAAAATATTGAAAACACTAGCCAAACGGTAGGCTATTAGTCAGTTTCTACTATATTCAAGCTTTATCCTGGAAAATGGCTTGCATTGTTTATGTGAAACCAAATCCTGACTTTGCTGCTTTGTTATTATGCACTAAAGTTTGACTCTGAAGTTGCTGTAAATTCATACTGTTTAATCCTTAAGAGTAGTTTTTTATCTGCCTATTTTCAGGATTAGGAATGGAGGCCCTATGAACTTCATCTCTTATTTAGTTTTGCTGTTATTCTGGTATCAAATGTATGTGATTGAGCAGTTCTTACTCCTTGATATGATGGATAATGAGTCAAGTGCTTGTTGTCTGGTAATCTCTGATTAAATTGACTCATTTTGCTTGGCATTTGATTATGATTTTGGGTACCATGCTATCAAAGGTTCCTGGTACAAATACAAAGATATGTTCAGTGAATCAGCAGTGTGATTAGATCCCCTAGCCATAAAGATCAGTTCAAGAACACAGCACTTCATAGCTTGAGCCTAGAAACTTGGAAACACAGCTTTTGTTAGAACACTTTCAGGTGCCCTAGTAGGCCGGCCGCCCTACCTAAACCAACCTTCAAGCCCAAGACAGCTTGCAAAACTTTGATAGGCATGGTTTACTTAGAGGGCGTCCGGAGAGAAATTGAACCAATAGGGGGAGCTACTTCTGCTGCAATCTTCTTTGCTTGAACAAACGGTGGTTCAACTATGCAAAAGAAGTTGCACAATTTAGACGGATTTGGATGGTAGCATATGGTAAAAATCTCGTTTATTGTTGAAGGAGACTAGGATAAAGAGGAATGTTTAGAATTTAGAAAGATTTTTCTCTCCATTACAGAGCATCTTCTGCTGGTCTCCAATGGCCTTCATAGTTTTGTTGTTGTTGTTGCTTCCCCTCAACTGTGAGTTCTCCTGTAAAGTCCCGCTATAGGAAACCCGTTGGGTCTATACCAAGTGCAAAAGGAAAATGATCATTACACAGATAAAAAGTTGGTTTTCCCCTAGCTTCTTTACATTTCTGCATGTTTCCTTCTTTCGTTTATCTTCCATTTCATTTGTTCTACTGGGTTTCTTGATGACTTGTGGATGCCCTTTTCTCAAATGGAGATGTACAACTTCAGGGGAAGCCTGAGATTCATACTCCACCTTCTGGTTATCAGCTTGATGCGCGGTGTTCCAAGCTAGTTCTTGAGTTGTGGATGATGATCTTTCTCATGTACAGTTGGAAGTCCTCTGTGCCTCACTTCAGGTTATTAGTTTTTTTTTTCTTTCTGGAATCAAAGGTAGAGTAAAATGAAATCGAAATTGTTGGTCTCGGTAATGTGGATAACGATGAACTTGCTTATTGTGGGGAGGAATTATGTCCTGGACAGAATTCTAACAGAAGGTGACGGTCAATGACCAAACGAAACATGAAACAATCTAGTGACCAAACTCACACATGTTGCACAAGAGTTAAAATCCATTTTGCACCAGGCTTCATTGGCAACACACATTCTATAAAAATCATATGGAATGTTACAGTTGGTGCCTGAAATATATAGGCAATAAACAACCATGAACTGCTGTTAACATTACACATCCAAACATGGTCTTGAAATCAACTACTTCAAAATTTAAATAGCAAGGACTTCACGAACAGCAAAGACAGAGACATGTACCAGCTTTCCTAGCTACTCATTTTCATCAAAAAATAGATTTAGCAGAGGTAAGTAGTCGTTATTGAGGGAGTCACTGGTCCAAGTACTGAGGGAGTTTTCGATGCAGCTCTCAACGAACCCAAAAGCTTCACATTCCTCCTCCGAATACAACTCGAGCAATTCCTCGTACCTTGGAATTACAGTAGGCCAGCAAGGGGCCTTCGACACGAAGACCGCCCAACGAGGAGCGTGCACTCTTAGTTCAGAGTAAAACTCTAGCTCGCCACCCCTCCTCAAATCGCAGGACAAGATAGCGGCGGCTTCCCCAGAATCACAAGGAAAATGATGAAAGAAAACCATTTCTGGCTTCTCTGGATGCAGATAAGAATAACGGATGCTCTCAAGTTCATAGTTACACCTCGATGTCTTGAGCAACCCTGGGCTTTCCAAGGCATCTAGGAATGGAGCATCATTAACACCAAGGTCATAGTTACGTAACCTTGATATGTTCAACATCCCTTCACACTTTCCCATCCAATCTTTACCGTCTTCTTCTTCCCCCCTTGTCCAAACATGTTGATGATCGCAACTTGATGTCTTCAACACCCCTTCACATACTTTCCTCCAAGAACACCGGTCTCGTTCTAATCTCCACACGCTTGAGGCGATCCCCCTCGAACAACCAGGTTCGGGTTCTTCCTCGAGCACAAATACGTGCAAGGCACCATTCGAGACGGAAATATCCCACCAAGGATTCGCAAAGAGAGGCGAGGCATCAATACAAGTGGGAGGCACGTCCAGCCGGAAAGGATCGAACACAGCAAGCCTTGGATTATACAAGCCAGCTTCTTCCTCTTGGGTGTCAAGGTAGCACCAAAACAGCTCCCCATTGCAACACACTGCATTTCTCAAATGGAACCTGAGATGGGCATCAACAGAGACAGCCTCCTTCATCCATTCTCTACGCTCGGAACAGAACACGTCCATCTTCAGAGTATTCAGATGGTTGTACATACACACCACCCGGAATCGATACTCGGAATACACAGACACTTGCCCATCCCCAAGATCTAGACAATTCGAGATACAGGGTTCGCAAACTAACCTCGCAACCAATCCCGAGCTCCCGGTCGGCCACAGAGGCTGCAGAGGAAGCGGGAGCCATTGCTTCGTGAAAGGATTGCAGACAATGTACGATCTGTACACTTTAATGGCGTCTTCACGAGCATCCCCAGGAAAGCCGCACAAGAGCAAGTCACCGCAGGAATCCAAAACTACCAGACGCACTCCAGGAGGCGCGGGGACGAAGCTCTGGATGATGGAATCCGGGTCGTCTGAGGGAAGAAGCAGAGGCGGCCGCAGCTCGCTGATTCTCTGGTGGTGAGAAACGAAACGGCGATTGAAGCTAGGGTTGGAGATCAGAGACCTCCAGCGCTTGCAGACGGCTTTGCTCTGCCAGGCGTATCTAGGGTTAGGGAGGCGAATCAAAACTTCTAAGAGGAGATCGTCCCCAAGTTGATTGATCATGGGGGAACGGACCCGCTGTTGCTTACTGGGTCGTGGCTCATAATCGGAATTGCAGATCTCGGTCGCCATGGGAACACCGCCGGAGGAGAGAAGATACGGTGGTTGTAGGATTGTAGCCGACGACGAGAATTGGGGAAGAACATCTTATAAAGCCACTGAGACTAATCCTTCTTCTGTTCGGCTTAATTCATCTTACCACCAAAATATTAAATTTCATTTTTTTTTACTTCATCCGAAGAGCCCAGATGGGCTACTTGGATTGGGCCAGTGTTTGATGAAAGATGGGCTACATGAATAGGGCCCAGTGTTTGATGAAAGATGGGCTACATGAATGTCATCATTGGCCGGCCCATTACTGAAACTGGCGGATTAGAAATATCCAATCCTTATAGGATACGGATTCCGAATCCGAGCCGGAAACCGAAATTCCCCAAGACCAAATCGCCGTGATTCTTCTCTATAAATACAGCACCTTCGAAGTTTCACCAATCCATTCCCAGCCTTCACACAAATCAATTCCAATAGCAGAAGCAGAAGCCATTGCGATCCTCTCCGACGACATCGAAGAAACTACGAATTCTACTCCTCCAAGTGAGCAGGAGAAGAAGGAGAACTCCACTACTCTGCTTCCGAACTCTGCCAATGGGCTCGACATGGAGAAGTACTCCTGGGGGCAGAGCCTCCAGGAAGTAACCATCACCGCTCCGGTCCCTGCCGGAACCAAATCGAGGCAGATCACGTGCGAGATCGAGAAGAAGTCTCTGAAGCTCGGGCTCAAGGGCGAGGAGCCAGCTATGATCATCATCGAGGGCGAGCTGTTCGGTCAGGTGAAAGTTGGCGAATCATTCTGGCATTTGGAGGATCAGAAGACGGTGTCTGTTCTGCTGACGAAATCCGACGAGAGGAGGAACTGGTGGAAGTCGCTGGTGAAGGGAGGGCCGGAGATTGATACCCAGAAGGTGGAGCCAGAGCCCAGCAGGCTGGGTGATCTGGATCCGGAGTTGAGGTCGACGGTGGAGAAGATGATGTTCGACCAGCGACAGAAGGAGATGAGCCGCCCCACGAGCGACGAGATTCAGCAGCAGGAGCTGCTGAAGAAGTTTGATTTCTCCAAGATGAAGAGGGTCGACAAGTTCAGCAATATGGCTTAAGAGCAGTTACTACTGTGTTTTCTTGTGTTCTACATTCTCCTTTTGATGTTTGTTTTCAACTATTGTTGTGTTTTTGCTCTTATCCTTCAATGAAGAATACATGCATCCATCAGATGAGATGAAGATTGATGAATTATAAAAGAAGAGTAATGCAGTTGTTTCAATGGCCACATTTACAAGATTTGTAAGGGAGAAAAGAGAAGTTCTTGGTGGGAGTAGATTACCAAGTACCAAACACAAAGAAGTGAATATCAACTAGCAAGATCAAACATTACAGAAACAATATTAAAGTGGGAAAAGGCTTGTTGCTTGCTAAGCCCTTTCCTTTTTCTCAATAACTTTCTTTTTTTACCTTTTTACCTCTCAACTGTTTCTTATCAGAAACTATTTACACAAGTCTACTAGAGAAATGGGGACTGTTTAAGGGGGGAAATATATGTACAATTCTGAAGCATCTCTAAACTTGAGCAGTTTTGTTCTTCATTCAGTCATACAAACCTTCTTGCTCCCATACATCGACTAGAAAATCTACCATTTCCTGGAACCGAAAAACAGAAGCGGAAAATGATTATCGTTACAAGGAGAGCTGCAGAAAAATACTACTCAGTAGGTCAAGGACTTACAGAGAGTGGGACCGGCCGGGGAAAAGGGTTCCTGCTTCCAAGCAAGCTTTCATAAGTTGCATTCCAACTGGATATTAAATCAAGTATTAAGAACAGACAATGGAACGTGAATTTGAGAAGGTGGGGGTGGGGTTTCTTTCATTTGCTGTGAATACAAAAAGGGTAATTGCTAGCTACAAATGGAAGGAAACACATCATCTGTTGTAACACAGTCAATCCGAAAGCATCAAATCGTTCGGTACAATGATTTGAACAATGATGTTAGAAGACGGTTGGATGTGCAGGAAAAATAATGCATCAGCTTCTTCATAAAAAAATAAATAATAATAATGCATCAGCTTGGCCCTATTTTGCAGAAGCATCTAAATGATGTAGAGTACAATGATCACACAGCACATCACAGAGATGAAGACATTTGACGAATGATTCCAACGAAAGTTGAACAACCACCGGTCCACCAGTACCAACACGAGAATGGCAGCAATCAATAAAGTTTTACTAGAGTAGAAATAAGCAAGTGTTTACAAAGTGGCATCTCAGTCAACATAAAGTTTCAGCTCCTAACATTTCCAAAAAAGCACAGACAAACTCTGATCAGCAACAAGGGAAAGGTTACCTCAACTGTGGTCCACTTGTTTGACGAGTTTGATTGCTGGTAGACTCACCACTCCCAGTCCATTGAAGCCTGCCCTGCTGCCACAGAAGCAGACCTGCACGCACGCATTCAATGAGCCGTAGTTAAGAGGTCTATGATTCAGAATTTTGACCAACACAGAAGAGTAATGGAAGTAAACTTGGAAGAGTGAAGTAAAACAGATTTGTAGTTAGTTACCATGATTCACAAAGTCTGTTGTACTGCCACTCATGGTGCCACCACTGCTAGTGTTGGGGTTTGAAGCACTAATTGAAGATACACTTTTTTGAGATTGCATAGCACTATTATCTAGCTCACAGGTGCTGCTGCTCCAGAAATCTTCAGATATACTAGGCTTCTTCACTGCCCGGCCTTGTATCCTCAATCCTTTCGCTGGCTCGTCCACAGCGATTATCGGTGTGGGCTTCCCGCAGCATCCAAAACAACCACTGTTCTGTTCCATACCAGGTTAGAAACCGAAACCAGTAACGAAAACCGTGTGGGAAGCAGCTAGACCACTTATAGAGGATTGGAATGTATAGAAGACAGAAAATTTCACATTCATTGAATTGGCTTCCTTTTGTTCCCAAACAAGCTTGGTGGAGTGGCAAATAGTCAAAATACCATATAATTAGAAGAAAAGAAAAGGAAATGGACAGATTGGTGTTTGATCAACTTCCATGTCATAGACAAAAAGAAAAACAGATTTAAGGACACAATCAAAAGACCTAAATCAGATTGACCTCAAATAAACAAAACAGGTAAAGCATTCAATCTTGCCATCCAAAAATCAAGCCATCCCATTGACTTACATACACTCTAATGGAAAGTTGATGTCCCCTAGACATGACTTGAAGGCATTATTACACTATAGAGCCAACAATTCTCTACCTGTTTTCTTATGTACTGGTTGTGTTAGGAATTCCATCTCTATCAGGTGAGGAAATTTTCCAGTCCTTGGACGCCATTATTATATTTGCTTTACAACCACTACTACTTTAACCAATCCACCTATAAAGGCTATAAACACTTCAATGGCCAAGCAAATGACATGATCATTAAACAATTTATAATCTTTCATTAATTAGGGGGCAACTGGCAAGGAAAACAATAAAAATGAAAGAAAAATAATCTCTATCAGATTGAAATCAGCAATTTCAGCCTTTCTCCCGCAAAGATTGTCTCCCCTCTTGAAGCCAACTTTCCTAAACTAGAAAAACAAGTAAACAACAATTCTATTCCATCTCAACTCATGCTCCCAATACACAAACAAGGACCAAAAATTTCACCTGGATTCCAGAAATCCAAAACCCAGGAAACAAGGACCAAAAACTACATTTTTACTCAACCAAAAGAAAACTCAGAACAAACAGAAGAAGGAGAAAAGAAGAAAATGAAATCACTTACCCCATACAATCGAGAAAGTGACGGATCCAAGAGCAAGCAGAGGCGTTACTAAGTGTCACCATTTGATCAAGAAATCAACACCACGAGACAACCCAATCATCGAATCGGAACCGGGTACGAATTCAGGGGAAGGAAAAGCTGCAAAAAGGAATCGACTTTATGCTGAAATTGGAAATGGGTAGCGTTGATTTGTTGTTCTGTTCTCCACCATGGCAACCTGCTACTACTGGGTTCTTTCTGTCTGCAACTTTTGGGGAAGGCGCTGAGAGGGCGTGTGGGGAATGGAATGGTGGTGGTGGCTGCTCTGGCTAGAGATGAATGGGGAGTGGGTTTTGGAGCGAGTGATTGAAGTGAATCAAAAATCGTGAGGAAGAAGAAGAGGAAAAAGAGAGAAATGGGGGAAGTTAAGCAATTGATTAGTGAGGTGTCTGTAATGTGGGGATGCGCTTCGTGGGATTGGATTATTTGCCCTTTGCCAACCTATCCTATGCTCTTCACGCGCTTTCTTCTCTCGCGTGCATTTTGCTTGCCAAGGTGAGAAAATGGGTGGGTTGGATGAGTTTTAGGTAAAAATTTGCTTATCTTGATGGTTCGTAGAGAGCGGAATGGATCATACTCATCGATATGTGATATTATCGAGTAGTTGGTAGCATATGATGATTTGTTCAACTAGTTGCGATGGTGTGTGCATGAACGCCTCGGAGCTAGCTTTCAATGATGACATAGTATATAACGTTGTATTTTATTTCGAATCATGTATCGAAAAGTGAATTTGAGACCGTAAGGTTGATTCTGCACATCATATGGGGTATAGAGATGAGTAATAGACTTGATGTTTCGTCATCTGAAAGAACGATGGTGGTAGGTAAGATCATTGTATTTGTCGGATACCAACCTACCCCCAACATTATCCAGGCGTCATTTACTCGTTGGTTAGTTGTAACCAATACCAGTATCTGCCACACGTATATCCACAAGCACATGAATGATGAGTATATAGTGATAGGTGATTCGTACGTTATTTATAGGGACTTCTTTACCAGTATCCAACACCTACAAACGGTGGCAATGCCATTGCCAACATTTGAAACGAGATAATAGCCCACCATCTCGCGCTACTTTGTATTGCTTATTGAGCACATGCCTGCACATTTACAACTTATAACGAAATATTTAATGAAAATTGTAATCTACTATTGAGTTACACATAGCTCCGCCACAACTTACAAAAGAGCTTACTAACCATAGGAGTTGTGACGAATTAAGTTGTTTATGAACAAGGGAAGGCCCGTTCCTAAAGTATAATGCATAGTTTAACTTTGATTCTGTCCAAAAGAGAATATGCATACTTTCCTTTCTATCAACAGAATCCAACAAAGAAATATTGTATAAACTCAAACCAAAGTGAAAAAGGGTGGGGAAAAAAGAAGGGAGGCCATGGCCATGAAAATAAGGCAAAAGGAAATTAAAGCAAAGAGACATCAAAGGTGGTGTAGTGATTAATGATTATCATTATATCCTTTGAGAGAGACCTTCTTTTTCATTATCTCTTATCATCTTCTCATTTTTCTTTCACGAGGATGATGATTTTGACTCTATAATGACAATTTGATGCTGAGGAAATTTTTCTATTGGCAATTGGTCCAAGGGTAGAATAATGCATTGGTGGTAATAATTTGAGTCGTTGATGAATAAGTAAAATCGAATCTTTATATTATTTGTTTATATATATTATCAAATAAGAGAGTCTAGTGAGCTTGAAGATTGTGTAAGACTTATCGTACATTGTACATCAGTCAAGCGCGAATATCGTGAGCTACTAGGTATGGTAACCAATTCATGTAACCAACTAATGACCTTCTGACCAAACAATTTGACATACCACATACCAGGTCGACAACCTATTGATACTCGAGGCGATTGAAGTTACTCGGAGAATGGATCTTGGTGACCTCTAGAACCCAACCACTACATCACTCAATCATCGACCATACCAAGGATTGTAGGAAGAAATGTTTATAGATATATATATATATGACAATTTGAATCTGATACGTTTAACCCAACCTGTTTGACCTGTTTTGGAGCGAGTAATACCCACCCCGTAGGCAGGGTAGGGCGGACATGGGTGCTCTCCTTGATCCGACCTGCCCATTCTATACCTTTTTTTTTTACAAAATTACATGTACTTTTACTCAAATTATCTCATGTTTTAGCTATAATAAAATTGTAATATGTGAGTGTCTATATTTCTTGAATAATTTAACTACTTTGATCATATTATAGTTTGTTTCTTGAAAATCAATATTTCTAATGTTACTTTTTTAAATTGCATACCTATATTATATGGGTCGACCTGTCTCGACCCGCGTTCCATAATAAATTACTCGAACCAAACCTGACCTATCATACTCACACCCGCTCCGACCTGCCTCATAATCATTCATACTTCGAGTCAAGAAAAAAATGGATGATAACAGAGCAGAACCACTATGCCAAATTCATGAATAAGCATTAGGTTTTGGGGCCTCAATTATGCATGACAATTAATTTCGGCTGTGAATTGAGGGACCCTCCTCACCTCACCTTATCTTCTTTGCTGAGTTCTCTATTCTAATTCAACCAATTTCTCACCAATAATGCTTTTCTGGAAGGTGGAGAATCATTCAAATTTCGCATTCCACACAGTTACAACTTACTTTCAATTTCAGAAGCCATGGCGTGGCAAATTTCTAAAGGATCAAAATCCTTTCCATTGATTCCACCTGTTGACCAATGATTCAAACACGGTTCAAACTAGCCGAGCCCACATCAGTTATCGCCAAGCCTGCAGCAGTCAGCCGTCGTTCAGATCATGTGCAACTAGGATTCTGCAGATTCAATTCCAGCTAAAACTGATCATATAACAATCTTATCATTTCACCTGCTTCAGTGCTTGAATATGATAACGAATCCATTATGCAGGATGACTGTAAAAGTATGGCTACATGTCTAACACCATCACATTCTCTTGAATCACACAACACCTCAGCCATAACTAGTCTCATAAGCATGAGCATACGAAGTAGAAAGTAGAGTTTCACTTTTCCGTCTTTCTTATCTCCCTCTCAAAAGACTGTTGCACAGAAGAAAGGGCTGTGGCAGGATAAACAGCATAAAGAACTCCCCAGATTTCAGACTGAATCATGTTTCAGCAGGGTGAAGAAGTAAAGGAGGCTTTTAAGTATTGACATTACTAGTAGGCAATGCGCTTCCATTAGAACGACTGTTTCGGTATCTTATTTCGCTTGCCTGAAGAGGAGAGATGCAAGGCTCCCACTCCATCCAAATGCAACGGACTTCATTGTTGGCTCGTGCTTTTTAGATATGAGAGACGGCAGGCCAAGATTAGAGGGGATCTCTTTCGTTGCACTAGACCCTGCAGACCTGGCAAGAAGGTGGTCAAAGATGGTGTTAATGAGAATCACTTGGTAGATGATGTCTATGTATGTGATTAACATCAAGTGCCGTTGTGCTGTCTCAAACACTTCAGATAGTGCCCAAAAGGACAGGGCAAGGCATTCAGAGCATGGAATTATTCATTTCGGTATGTTTCTCTGTGAGGGCTGCGATCCATATCAGTTTAAGTACCACCTAATCCCTTACATTTGAAAACTTTGATCCAAGTCAAAGTCGCTTGATAGTGCATTACTAAAGTCCAGCAGAGTTTTGGTAAAACAAAAACCCGACATCAAGAGAAGTGCCCATAAGCTGGAGGATCAACATCATCTGCCTGCAACTTTGCATTGCTTGGTCCGGAAGCTACGCTAACGACTCCATTGTTCAGAAATGAAAGACATGAAGAACATAGTAACAACAGTTCTACATCGTCCTAGTTCCTTATCAGCAACATAACTGCTTATATTTCCATATAGCATCTACTCTCCCACTCCTATGCAAGAAAGAGCTATGCAATCAGTGTTACTATTTCCAGCATCAAAACAATCGTATGCATTGAAATGAAACGGCTGCCCGTGAATTCGACAGGGCAAATTCAATCTTTAAAAAGAGTGAGGGAAAGACGATAATACGCACAAGGGGCCTTCATGGGCAAACGTCGCCATGCCTTGCCGCTGCTTGTGCTTAGGATTGGAGCTGCAAAGCACATAGACTCTCCCACGCCGCTTAATTACTTTGCAGAACTCGCACATCTTCTTCACAGAAGATCTCACCTTCATGGCTGCTGAAAAACACCAGAGCAAGCAAATTACAATTTCCCCCCAAACAGAAATAGACCCATACTTGCAACTAACAAATTCAGCAAACCCATAAACTCAAAACGTGAAAAGGCGGCATCTTGCGATATGAATCGAATTGAAACGAGCAACTAAGGGCGAAATTTGCACTGAGAAGCGAAAGATAGCGGAGAGAACGAGAACTCACCGGTTTCGGACGTGAGAAGCTGAACGGCGATGAGAGAAGATCCTGAAAGGAGAATAAAATTCGCCGGGGAAAGGACTGTGATTGGGTTACGACGAGAGGTCGATCGAGCTCAGCCGATGGGGGAGGTTGTAGGTTTTTCAGTGCGACCGAGAGCTGAAAACTCTCACGGCGAGCTGGGGACGATGACCAAAAGTTTAGCCCAATATCTTCTCTTTTTTTTTTGGTAAACGTTTAGCCCAATATCTTGTTTTCGGGTTTCCTAACAAAAAATTGTACTACGAAGTGAGTTTGTGAGGCCCAATGTTAACAAAGCCCAACATAATGGGCTTGGAAATCTCACTCGAATCGGAAGAAAACCTCTACTCACCTCACTCTCATCTCATCTTCTGATGGAAATCAAACTCATGGCCGCGGGTACCCGACCGTCCCCGACCCAGTCAACGCGGGGAATCCCCGCTTTGACCGGATATGAGGCGGGTATGGGTAAAACCCGCAAAAAGTTTGATGGGTATGGGGCGGGTATGGTTTTAGCCTCCCCCGCCCCATACCCATACCCGCCCCACCAAGACAATTTCTTCACAAATACAAATATATGTGGATCAAATTGTAATCTACCAATGGTGATGAGGATAACTCGAGGAAATAAATAGTAGAAATGCAATTGAGTGACCACCTTAATCAAAACCTAATTCATTTCTCTCAATTCTCTTTTCACTCTTTCACTTTCACCCTTGTCAACAAGATTATGTTATTTAATTATTACTTAGTAGATGTATCATAGCGAGAACATAATAAGTTGAAAAATATTATACTCTATATTATGTATTAAAGAATGTTTTAGGATCATATTCTTTGAACCGTATTAAGAAAATAATCGTGTGTTTGTTGACTTCATGATATAATAGGTTCGTTTATAGTTATAGTTAAAACTTTTCTTGTAAGTTTTAGGTATAATAATATTGGATGTACGGGTACGGGTATTACCCATGGGTACCCGAAACCCACGGGTATGGGGATGGGTTTGCAAAACATTCCCCCGCATGGGTATGGGGCGAGTATGGGTTTGGGTATTTGAAGATGGGTATGGGGATGGTTTAGCCAAACCCGCCCCATTGCCATCTTCTCATCCGATCTCTCTCACAGGATGACAATCAAACCCGCGCTCGTGGATAATCAACATGACTCAATCTAGTCAAAGAAGATAAAATCCAACATTTACATATGTTAGCTCGTGCGAGAATAAAATTCGCTTTTGAAATTGACAAATTGAGTTGGGTTCAGGTTGGACCAAAACATCATTTTGCAACTAACCCTAACAATATGTATAATATGAATAAAGCTCTTTCTAAATCCACTCGTTCAATAATAAATCATGAAAAAGGGGGAGTGTAGGAGTTCAATCATAAATTATGAACCGGTGTAGCGAGTGGTTCACATTTTTATTGTTTCAGCCAGTATTAAATCATTAACGAACAGGTACATAATCAACAAGAATATTATAAGTAGAATACACGTTAAAGCATAAATTCAAAATAAAGTACATTAATTATAAACAAAGATGAGTACTAAAATTGCTCAAGTCCAGACGTTAATATTCTCCAACATAATAATAACGATTATTATTAGTGTATTCCTATACAACTTTTAAGTTCAATTATGTTTTGGTTCTTTCTAAAAATAGAATTTTTTTTTAACTAAGTAGCATTATCATCTTCTTAATAGTAATAAAATTTGTTTGCATATCGACACAAAACAAACCCAATTGGAAAAACAGCTTGTGTTGTTAGTAGGAGGACCTCGATTCGAATCCTATATCCATTAGTTTTCAAGTAGGCAGCTGGAAACTTAAATTCAATTGTCCGGTTCCGTACCATCAAAGTGATTAATCGCTCAAACCGATTTTCAATCGACCGACTCAAAAGGCTACTAATACTTAACTGATTCGAGCCGGTTTGATATCTCAATAGTGGTTTTACTTGCCTGATTGGTTCGACTCGATCAGTGGCGGAGCCACTCACAAACCTGGGGGTGCTTTGCAGCCCCTTGGAGTTGTAGGAAAAAAATTCCAACAAAAAGAGTAGGAAGATTTGAACCATGTATAGCCTTCCGTAAATACCCATAAGGTAGGTTTAATGATGAAATCATGTATTCTCATTTAGTTAAAATAGTAATTTTTCCTAAAACATACAACTAAAACGATTTGGTCCTTCCAATAAAGGATCTTCGAAATCAGTTGAACGATACATTGGTGACATATAAACAAAATTTGTGTTACTAGTTTGGACAAGGAATGTGTTCTACAATACTTTAATTTCAAAATATGAAGTCTCGTCGTGGTTCGTTGTAAGCGGTGTGCGTTGAACTATTATTTTACAGTTATACTTTTTATTATGTTGTCAACTTTTTATTTCGTCAAGATTTGAATTTTGATTATGCAGTTTAATTTTGTATGATGAAAAAACACCCCATGACTAATATTCTGGCTCCGCCACTGGACTCGATGTTAACCACTGCGGTAAGGCGTGTACTTCCAATGGATATATATGGAATATGGTTTACCTTTGTATTAGGAACTAATAATTACGTCAGTCGTAATTAAGCAACGGAGGGCAAGTAGCTGACGACTGCTGCTTTTATGACCCTTATTATCTAAGTAAATGAAACTTGCTGGCGAATTAGAAACCAAAGCGTGCAACTTTGCCAACGTTAAGGGCGATTAGTTAATTAATTGGTTGATTAATAACGTGAAGATGTAGCTACACATAGTTGACACTTCCAACCAAAGAATTCACACTTAAGCAAACCCCACAAATCAACAAGTAGTGGGTAGGTATTGGACAAAATAAACACAACTTGCTTAACCATATTATTTGGAGTCGTTAACTAGTTTCAACGATAGTAATTTGGTACGACCGATTGGATCATTTTGGATTGATTATGATGTGAAAAAATCATTGGGAATACACTTAGGACTTTCCAAGGAGTCATCCAGAAGGATTTGCACCTAAGCAATTCCCACAAATTAATCAACAAGTAATGGGTAGGTATTGAACAAAATAACACAACTTGCTTAACTTGAATTTCTTTGGTTGAGAGGTTAGTGAAAGGTTGTTCCTAAATGAAAAGGGGAAACAAGGTTTAGTGATAAGCATAAAGCTTTTGCTCTTCTATATTGAAACCCTAGATAGATGAAGAAGGGTCATCCTTTGGCCACTTTGGAAACTCGTAGAAAGAACTTTTTAGAGTGTAACATAAGATTTGCATAGGTCATGTGTTCCTTCACCTCTTGCTAATTATTAGATTAGTGGATCATTCAACCATTACTTAGTTCAATTTATGAATAAGTGGATGCACGCATCATCTCCCACTACTTCACCACATACATCAATTCACCCAACTCTACATGCATGGTACAAATTTCAACTAACTCAAGGTTGATTTGCTCGATTAAAACTGTCCTGCGTGCATTACATATTACACGACTAGTTTTGTTCACATTCTTGTTGCTAGATATAGGCACTAGGAATGACAATTGTACCTATAATCGTGGGTATCCTATCCTCCTCGACCCAATCAACGAGAGAAATGAGTAATACCCAGTACCCACAAAGAAAATGGACGCATTCCATACTCATAACTAGCATGTATGTAATCCATACATTACCTACACCCAATTACATTAATCTGATATTTTCCTTCTCCATCTTCCACGAATATTAAAAATTAGTATGACACTAAACATCTTCATTTCACTTATTCAGTCCCATCATTACATATATCCCAACACATGGTAGCCATTGGTAACATCAAAACTAGACACAAACAAAGAAAAGAGAATAAGAAAAATACAAAACTAGGGCAAAGCCTTGTGGGCATGGTTGTCACGCCGGCCGGCGTACCACCGGTTGTACCTGGTTCAACCGGTACCGGTCATAAAACCGGCATAATACCACCGGTATGACCGGCATGATCGATATACGAATCTCTAAGTAAAATGATTTTATTTTAGTGAATTTAATTGATAAAAGTTATTTTATTATTTATTTTATGAGTATAAAAGTTAAATATTGATGTTATTTGTTGGATTCAGGTATAAATGTTTAAGTATTGACGTTAAATGTCATGTTTAAATATGAGTATTTATAATTTTATTTGTAATATTGACCGGCATGAACCGGCATAAACTGGTATGTGCCACCGGTTGAACCATTCCACTGGCTAAACCGGCACACTGGCATAAACCGGTTTGACAACCTTGCTTGTGGGCTAAAATGGGCTGGTGTTGGTTGGTTTGTTGGCTTCTTGCCATAGCCAACAACCTTTAAACCGCTAAAAGAGGAGAGGAAGGTCTCCAGTTCTCCATCCACATGCTTTGCCCAATCAAAATCCAGGCAAATTGGGAAGAAGAAGACCCAGCTACAAAACGACTGATGCAAGTGGCAGCTGTATTTTCCGATAAAAAAAGAAGTGGCAGCTGTATTGGAATATAAAACGGTCAAAGTCGCCTGTTGACTGACAATTTGAATAGAGTTAACGGAATTGAATGATGAGTGATCAACGATGAAAAATATTTAAAATGAGTGATTAATGAGGAAGAATAGATTGATAGTTTTTTTCCTAGCACTAACAGCTTCCAGTTCATTAGCGATTGTATGAGCGCGTAAGTGGATCATGTTAGATACACATTAATATCATATTTGAAATGTTGATATGTCAACTCGAATCATAGAATAGATTGATAGTCTTTTGCACAAACGATCTTTTATTGCCACCTAACCATCTTACTAGTTTTGATCACGAGACAAAAGAGATAACGACACTATCCAAACAGTGGAGGATAAAAGTTGTGCATGGTGGCAATCAAGGCCAAATACTATCAAGACGAGAAAGATCTAAGGCGAGGCAGACACATTAACCAAGATTTGACTTATGGATCTAATAATCACGAAAACTGGGTGAGCGAACGATGGTGTGATTGCTCTTCTATCATGCACTCATCCTTTGAACTTGAAATGATCACTCCATGCACTGCCTTTCAAGAATCATTCATGCAAAATTCATCACAATCTGAATCTCATTATAGAGATTGCTCAAAATGTGACTCACTTAGTGAGAAAGATTGTGGTTACAAATTACAATGAGCATTTGGTAAAAATATGCAACCTTTCCACAATTTACAATTAGGTGCCTACAAAAGCACAGCAACCTCATCTTGACCAAATAGCGTTCAAACTTCATTGCTACCAAACACGACTTGACTTCTCTTCTCTTCTGCTCCCCGCAAGTTGTTTGTATTTAATTTCAATTCACTTAATTATTTATTTGGCATTTTATTGTTTTTGGAATTGAACCTCAAACCCTTATTTTGTTTCCCAAACTAGAAAATAAATTATAAATCCATTGGTTCAAATTCTTTGCTGGCATTCTAACAATAATACCAACAACCCAACACTCACGAGAAATTCTTCGGTGCACCCGGCGTACAGCCCACGTGGTGCACCGAACCAATCAATTTTTGCCACGTATTAAATAGCCCAATTTATTCTCTGACTCTCTCTCCAATTAACCCCTTCCTTCTTTCTTTCTCTTCCTTCTTTTCTTTCCCGTAAAAAATAATAAGTGCACACACCAGACCAGAACTAGAAATCATCATCGGAGAGTTTTGGAAGGATAGCGACGACAAAGCACAACCAAGAAGAGAATAAAGGGATTCATTGCGTTGGTGAATCGTCGACTCTTGATGCGTCGTTAGAAAATAGGCAGATGGTCAGATGGAGAAGGATTTTCAAACCGAATTAATCCTGGGGATGCCATATATAATAACTGTGGTCAGATGAACCCTAAACTCTTCGGGGAATTAATTACAATGGAATCAAGGAAAATTACTTTTGGTGGGCTTGGGGATGTTGCAGCGAAGATGAGCCTTGGTGGATGGATTTTGAATCGGCGCCGAAAGACAACGTCCCCGGAGGAGGAGACGGATATACTTTGGCGGGCGGCGGTTCGTGCGCAAATCCTGCTTTTCTATTTTCCTCTTTTTTTCTGTTTTAAAATTTTGAGTGTAAAATGAAGTGCAACGTGGCACTTATGTATTGGGGCGGAGTACAGCGCACGTGGTGCGCCGGGAGCACCCAAGAATTTCTCAACACTCAAACCACACACAACCTTTTGAGCTACTTAAAAGCTAAATTGGACAACAAAATCATCTTCATTTTAAATTTCTTTACATGTTTCTTCCAATGGCATGCTATTACCAATATGACGTCCGCAAATATGGCTAACCTTGGGGTTACGACATTTTTGTTTTACAATTAATTAAGAATTAGTGCTTGGAGTTGATAATTAATAAACAAAGGGCTATATGGCGCTAATAATAAAATTCATGGTAAAAATTTTCGTTTATGCACAGAAAACTTTTACAGCGATCAAACTAATTCCCATCTGTCTCCAACACTAACTTCCCTTTTACTCGGTAAAAAAATTTACAGTAAAAACACCCCTTCCCTCCGCCTCCAGAAATCCATCCCTCTACAGTTTTACCAACGGGGAGGAAAAGAATTACAGTTACTAAAAGTTACCGTCTGTTGGGATGTGGGCCCCGCTCTTACTTCCTCCGCTACTGAAAAGAATCTGAGGAATCGCCTCGATTTTTTTTTTGGGCACACAATAGAGAAAAAAAAAAATGGATTGAATTATGCACAGAGGAATCGGAGGATCGGAATCAGCAAGAGTAAGTCAATCGTTGAACCCCTCGATCCCTCAGGATCGCGGAGTAGAGCGCCCGTCTGTTCTCCGGCATTCCCCTCTCCCGCGCTGGCGGAGAAACATCGCCGCATCTCTGCGGCGACGACGAAGGCGAAGATTCCGACGAGACGTTCATCTTGGCGGCGGCAATGGCCTCGCAGTGCTTCCTGAACTCATCACCGTTCCCCCTCGGCTCCACCACGTCGTCCGCGAAGCGAACCTTCTTGTTCTTCTTCTCGCTCTTCTTCCCGTCTTCATTCAAAAAATTAAAAAAAACAAATTCCAATCAGCTCAGAGGAAAGACGGAAGAAACAGAGAGAATCAAAGCGAGAAGACGTTTCGCGTACCGGAAGAGATGCAGGATCGCAGAGATCGCGACTGCTGGTGAGCGATTGGCGGTCGGTGTTGGACGGGGAATTGAGCGGCGACGGGGATGGATTTCTGGAGGCGGAGGGCGAGGAGGATGAATGTGCCGGAGACGGCCATGGCGGTGGCGACGACGGCGCCTTGGGAGCAGAGCGTCGGGGACATGGTCGCGGGCAGCGGATTTTTCTGATGAAATCGTTCAATTTTCAAACTTCAAACAGAGGAAGAAAGACGAAGCAGCGACTTGAATAAAAAGTGTGGGCGAGGCGAGAGAGAGGGAATTTAAGGGGTAGTTATCATAAATGGTCACAAACCTATTCACTTTGTACAAAATGGTCACAATTCTTTAATTTTGCACGTTTCAGTAATACAAGTTTGAGTGAATAACAAAGAGGTCAATCCGTCCACTTCCGTCCAAATATCTGTTACTTTTGACCAGTCAGCATGACACGTCATTAAAAAATTTAATAATTTTTTTGTAATCATCCAAATTAACCCACACAGTCCTAACCGGTTAATTAGGTCGGTACCCAACAGCCATAAGCTAATACCCCGTATTGGAGAAAGTAAAGACAGACAAAAGGTCGCTTTTTTGCGAGAGAGCTGTTCTCCGGCAATGCAGCGACGAATCGGGGAAGGCCTTGTGGCGCGGTGAGGTCGAGGCGGAGGAGTGGGGGAGGGGGGGGGGTGAACGTTGCGGGGCTAGTGGTGTTCTGTTGTTTGTTTCGGGAGGAATCGAAAGAGAAATCGTCGGTGGAGAAGATGTTGTCCTAGTTCAGCTCGTGTCCTCGACGGCGGCAAGGACGCTTTCCTTGTCGCGGTGGAGCAGCGACGGATTGGTGGAGAAGAACTGAAGAAGGCGTCGAGGAAGCGGTCGGAGGAAGGAGGGGATTTTCGTTGGCGGAAGTGCTTGTCTTGTTCCTAATTGATCAGAGATCTGATCTGAAAAGGTAAAAAACCACACCAACCAAAACCCAGCTGCACATTCATTCTGATACACACAACAGAGAAAGAGAGAGTGGAAGCGTAGGGTATCCTGCGGCGAGGTCAATTAGTAGTTGGAAGGCAAAGCGCAAAACTTGAGATAGAGAGATCAGAGTCTGCAAAAATTTTCAGTATGGAAAGAGATGTAGATGTAGATATAGTTTGGGTGTCAATTGTCATCATGGGACAAGAATGGTTTTGCTTTTCCTTTCTGGTAACCATAGCGGGAGAGTAGCATATAGGAGGAAGAAGAGGTAGAAAAGGTAGAGGACTCAGGAGAAGAAAGGTGGAATCGAGTTGATGGAAGACCACAAAGGGGAAAGCTGGAGCGTGCGTGGAAGACATAACCGAGTGATTAAACCGGTTAGGGTTGTGTGGCTAGTTTGAATGATTCAATTATTTTTTTTATTAATATTTTTAATGATGTGTCATGCTGATTGGGCAAATGTAACGGATTTTTGGACGGAAGTGGACGGATTGACCTTTTTGTTATTCACTCAAACGTTTATTATTGAAACGTGCAAAATTAAAGAATTGTGACCGTTTTGTACAAAGTAAATAGGTTTGTGACCATTTATGATAACTACCCGGAATTTAAGTAAGGAATTAAGACAGATAATCCGAGTTTTAGTAATAGTTTAACTTTGTGACCTTTGGTTGACCAGACCTAATACTACAAGGAAGTGGAATTATTAATTGTTTTCTTTATCTGGGGAGAGTACGAATTTGTGTTACCTAATCCGAGTCTGGAAATAACTGCGTGGTGGTGGGTGGCTCCAAAAGTGCAATAATACTTCAAAAATTATCACGGTAGATTAGTTTTTATAAGAAATTGTCATTTACACACATCGTTTTTACTTGATCGCGAACATACTGAAGCGATATGCTCCTTGATTGCTTAGGCCGGAAGCGATGAAAAGTAGCATATCGCCGACTTTCGTAGCAGTGGATGTAGATTGCTTGTGTACAAAGCGGTGCCAAGCATTGATTGTTTTTAGGTAACAACGATGTATCCTTTATTAATGTAAGAGGGAAAAGCGATGTACTGCATGTCGCTTTCCGGCCGACAAGTTTTCATTATAGTGTTAGGCGGCGGTGCGCCAGATTAGCCGTCCTGGTGCGCATTGCGGTGGGCTTCCGCGATCAAAAGCATATCCCTTCCGATCTAAACAAATCAAGAGGCAGATCTCTTTCGTTAACCGCAATCAAGTTGAAACATGTGTATAATGAGAATTTTCTTATAAAATTACTGTAAATTAGAATTTTTTAAGTGCTAGTATATTTTGGCAAAAAAAAATCCCAAAAATTGCTATCATACTCCCGTGTTCTATGTGAGAAGAACTTTATAAGCGTCTAGCTTCATTGGATGGAGAATTATGATGGAAATGGAGATGGAAATGGTGTATTGAACGTCGAATCTTATTTGTTATGTCTCGTCAATAAATCATGAAATAACGACCAATTCTTACTCACGAAAAACAACTTTATTTCGATGATTAACCATTTATCACTTGGTCGTCATTGTCAACATCCAGACGATTAGTACAAGAAAACAAAAAGGAGGACGAGAATGGATTCTCCGGCGAGAGGGAGAGGAACTGGCGTCAGCCATGATGTGTCCGATCATCCCCTTTCACTTTCCTTGGAGCCATTCCCAAACACTGGATGGAAATAAGGTTGTTTTTCTGTTGATAGATAGATGTTCTGTTTTCTTCTATCTTAAATAAGATTCTTAATCCCTATTGAGGGTTTTGGAAGATAGGAAAACGACCTTGTAACCAACAAATTGCCTCTTGGCCTCTCGTTTCCTAATTGCTACTAGCCCTTCATTGATTTTTTTTTAAACAAAATCCCATTTTTCTCTTTTAAGAATGCTTTGTAATTAGTCCATATATGTGATCTAGAAGCATAGGAAATAGATGGAGGAACTAGGGGTGGCGGTTCGGTTTTGGGTTTTCGTTTTAAGCAAAATCAAAATCGGGTTTATATACTTAACGTGTAAATATCGATAAAAGGTTCGGTCTCATTTTCGCACAGTTAGCTGATTCGGGTTTCTGATGGTTTTCCGGTTTGGTTAACCGAACTGAATCGACCGCCCCGAGGACGAACTAAAGTTTTGGTATTGAATGAGGAAATCTCGGTGCAACAAGTAAACAAGCAAATGAGCAATGGTAGGAGGCTGGATGCATGCACATGATGATCTAAAACTGGGACTTGCCACTGTTAGCAATGGTAGCAAGCAACATCTATATAAAGAACATCATGCTCAGGATCAAATGAATGGGGAAGCTTTCAACTTCACCATGTCATTGATTGCTTTTGATGAACTTGGCAACTAGCTAGGTGGTGCTTTTGGAATCCGCTGCTTTTTCTGTAATGTACTATCTCCCAAAATCACTACTCTATAAAGGCAGGATTGTCTAAACTGTAGTGTCCAAGCCTACCTGTACGATACAGATTAAGTACTTTAGAAGCTACGACACTGCGACCTTCATCGCCTAATCCACCCGGGATGTGGAATGCTTCTTCCAGAGCAGTGAACTGCATCGCAATGAGCTCTGTCAATTCCTTCTCGTTCTGTAGGTCGCCATCGTAACTCGTTATCGCCTTGGAAAGACTCTGGCGCACATCATGCACTATGAAATCCTACAAGAATACAGCACAGGAATGTCATTCTTAAAAGTGAAGATAGATTGTGCTGATATAGAATATCCTTCTCCATGTATAGCACCAACTCTGGTTGTGTTCAAGGAAGCCAACACAAAAGAGTAGCAACACAGTATTCGGCACTTTCCCACAACACAGACTCTGAATAATTCACTTGCAGTTTACTGGTAAAGAACTCTTATGATTCATGAACCCATTTTGTGAAGTAAATGATCATACCTGTGTGTGATCGGTCAAAGAATGCTTTCTTCCTTTCCCCGCAGACTCGAGACCACTTGAGTCGTCTGTTTTCTGATCACTATACAGGCATCCCTTTCCAGCAGTTGTCCACTTTTTGTATTCACTGCCTAAGGTTAGAATAGCGAGGAAATATTGAGCAAGCACCTCCTCCCCAACCAAACAATCCTTAATAGATCCTGAATTTGAAGAACAAAAGCATGTGTGTTGGAAACATATGAAACGGTAACTACGTGTGCCTTTTCATATCTTTTGCATACTTACATCAGCACAAAGTACTGAAGAAGGAAAAAGCATACAAATGGGTGCACCTGTTAAAGCCAGTTTGGAGCAAGTCCCCACATCGAGAATCTCAGGGGGCAATATACCAGGGGTATCGAGCACAAAAACATTCGGATGGCTAGCAATCTGGAATTATAGAAAGAGAACACATACACACTAAGCCATAAAGCTAGAGTAGATGGAAAGAGAATACAATATAAGGGAAAGGGGAATGAAAAAGGGATGTTCCCATGCAGTTTCTGAAGAAGCCAAGGTCGTGTTCTGATTTACATCCATGCTACGGTCAGTTATCATCATAACTTGGGTTTTCAACAATACCAGATCTCGACACATGTGGTTCCCCCAAAATTATGAATGTCACATATGAGATTTGAAGCAAAAGTGGTGTGGCTTTCGCCATGTTTCATCAACAAGACGTATCAGAGTAAAGATTACCTCTTTTTTTTTTTATGAATTCAGAGTAAAGATTACTTGCCTTCAAGCTAATGATATCTGTTGTTTCTCCAGGATGTGGACTCACCGTTGCATACCTGAACTTCCCTCTTTCTTGGAAAATGAATAAAGACAAAAACTTGATGTTTAAAATGTAAACGAGAGAGATGGTAGAGAGACAGAGTGAGAGACAGAGAGTTACCAAGAGCACTTATCCTGCCAATCTGATGCAAAGAATTGGCAAGAGCCGACTTCCCAACATTTGGAATCCCTACAATCATTAGTACCCTTGTCTGACCCGAATTGTCCTTGTTTAATGCTCGGACTTGTGATTGCAGAAAGTTAAGGAACTGCAGACAAAATAGCAATCGCCCAACATTCAGAAATTCCATTCAATGAGAGAAGGAACAGATGCTTACACATAAATTGAATGGAAATCAGTAAGTAACGACTATATGTTGTCAAGCTAATGCGAGAACAGATGCCATCTTCGAGCAAGTGGAAAATTGACCTCCTTCACATTGTCTTTGTTATGGGAATTCACAGGATAAGAAATGTAATCACGCTGCTGAAAATACTTGCTCCATTCCTACAATAAGAGGCCAAAAGCATCCCCACAGCTTGATTCAGTTCTTCAATTCTCAAACAATCCAAACAGGGAACAGAGAGGGAAACAG